GGGCCTGCCCTAGGCCCGCCCTATCGTAGCGATGTAGCGTACGGCCTGGAGAGAGGGAGGGGACCTGGGATGGGGTAGGGCCGGGGACCGACTTCCAACCCACCCCTTCCCCCTCCGGACCGGACACGCCAGGACCAAGGTACCGACGTACCCGCCGTCCGAACGACAGCGAGGACCGGCGAGCGAGCCCGCCCCTCTCGCACCCCGACGGGACGCCCCGCGAGAGAGAGAGAGAGAGAGAGAGAGAGAGAGAGAGAGAGAGAGAGAGAGAGAGAGAGAGAGAGAGAGAGAGGCGCCAGCGCGGAGTGCGGACGCACGCACCACCCTCCTTGTTGCGCCGGTGCGACTGTCCTCGAGTACGCGCACGCCTCGCTCTCTCTCTCGCACTCACGGCGCTCTCCGCGAGGGTGCGAGAGAGACAGAGCGATGACAGGGGTGGAACCACACGGCGGCTCCGTAAAGGGGCCTTTTGATTTTCATTGGACAATTACGCTCCCCAAACCACTCACACGTGCTGTTCTCTCTCTCTCTCTCTCTCTCTCTCTCTCTCTCTCTCTCTCTCTCTCTCTCCCTCTCTCTCTCTCTCTGTTCTCACAGACAGCGGCCCCTTATTTACTCGCTTGCATCCATCCCCCGCCTCGACCTTTACATTCCCAGCGACCTCAACAACCGCGCCGGCAAAACTTTTCTCACCGCTGAATTTCTTTCTTTCTCTCTCTCTCTCGCTCCGTGAATAATGAAAAAGAGATGAGAGAAAAGAGGAGAGAAAAAAGGAAATGATGAAAATCACCTCGCCTCGCACCGCAGCCCGGCGGCGGCAGAGCGGCGGCCGCGCGCCAGTGACAAAAGAAGAGCGAAAGCGAAAAATTAATTTTGCGGATTCCCGCGACCCAGAATTGGCGGGAAATGGAATGCCGTAATAACGGGAGGAAGGGAGGGGAGAGAGAGAGAGAGAGAGAGAGAGAGAGAGAGAGAGAGAGAGAGAGAGGGGGGGCGAAGGCGAAGAGGCCCAATATGGAAATTCTCATCGTCTTGTTCATCTTTAGTCTTTCGGGCAGCAAGACACTCCCCCCCCCCTTCCCCCGCCCCGAGTTGGCAGGGGAGCCAGGAAGGGGGTGGGGCAGGAGATAGGGGCAATGCTTCCAAATTGTGAGAGCCTCTTGTAGTGGCGGGGCGGGGTCGGCGGGGAAGGCCCTTTCTGCCGAGCGATTCTCGCACACTGACGGAGGGCCCCGCCAGTGCGACAGAGACGGAGCGACGCTCGGGGCTGCGAATGCAGAGGGAGAAAAGAGGTGTCGCCTTTTAACCGCGCCGTCGTCACAATGCCCCCCTCACATTATTCATACTGCAATTGCAATTTGCGCGTCGGACAATGGGGAGGGCCGCACAGTGGGCCAGAAGACCGGTGGAGGCGGCCGAAACTGTAGAAGGGGGGGCAGCCATGCACCTCGGAGGTAGTGGCGGACGAGAGTGACAGTGGCCTTGACAGTGACAGTGCCGTGGCGGAGAAGGCGAGTGCACAGTGTAGTGAAAGTGTCGCGGGAACGAGTGGCGAAAAGGCAGTGACAGTGTGGTGACCCAGCCTCAACTGTTTCTGCACTGTAAAAATAGCACTTGCGGCAACACTGCGCTGACAGTGTAGACGCAGTGACGAGTGGGCAGAGACGGCATTGATTGAATCGCCCAGAAATAGTGAAAGGGAAAGACGATCGGGCGGAGAGGGGGGGGGGCGACGCAATTACCGAAAAAGTCGAGCCGCTGAGTCAGCGGTCGCTCTGTCTCTCTCGCACTCACGGGGCGCTACGGGGCCCTGAGCCGTCGTTGGACTCTTCGTCGCTCCGTCTCTCTCGCACCGCGACGGGACGCCCCGTGAGTGCGAGAGAGACAGAGCGACGGCTGACAATCATCGGGCACCCCAATAGTTCTGGCGGGGCGGCGGGGCTACTGGCACACTGGCATGCCTGTCAGGGATGTAGGTCGCGGCCTGGCCCTGGCGCGCTGGCTAGGGCTGGGCGGCGTGGTGCCCTGCACGTCCCGCGCTGCACTCCACCGCTCTCTATCTGTCTCTCTCGCACCAGTAAGGGACGCCCGAGAGTGCGAGAGAGACAGACACGACTCTCGGAATCGGTCTGCCGGGCGCGCTGCCGCTTTACAGGTCGATGACGTGAGTGATGAGTTGGCCGTGCCGTGCCGTGCCGCCTGTCTACACCCGGCCCTCGCGAGCGTATTGCAAACAAGCGTCGAAGCGGCGCCATTCAATTATGCCGTGCGTCGGTCGGAGTCGCAATCGATGCCATCATTGCGATTGCCGCCACTGCCGCGACCACCCGGAACGCCCGCGGAACGCCCGGAACGCCCGGCGGGCAGGCCGCCGTGAGGCGCGTGTGTGGAGCGCGCTGCCTACCCGCCGGGCGCTCTCCGGCCGCACAGTGGGCCGGTGGAAGACCGGTGGAGGCGACCGAAACTCCAGACGCGTTTTGAGCTCCAGAGTCGCTAAATGGGACTCGAACCGAACGTGTGACCCCACCAGTGGGTTGCTCTCCGAACGAGGAATCCATTGGTGGGGTCACACGTTCGGTTCGAGTCTGGCGACTCTGGAGCTCAAAACACGTCCGGGATTTTGGCCGTTTCCACAGAGCTGTATAGAAGGGAGGGGCGGGGGGCATTTGGCAGGCCACCCAGGTTCCCGCCTGGCCACTACAGGGCACTTTATGCACACTGCGTTTGCTCTAGGCATGCGGTGCTGAGTAATGTCGATCGCTCGTCGATCGCAGAAGACTTGTCTTCATACCGAACTGCTCGACTCAATTAAAGAAGTCAAAAATTCAGTTGAGAATTGAACTCAGCGACCGACTGGCGGTTTCGTATTTCAATGGCGTTATTGCTAATCTTCAAACCGACCGTGGAGTGCGTCCGAATTTCGCCGTGTAGCCACACTTACGACTTTTGCCAGGGTGCCAGGTCGGTGTTGGTGTGAAAGACATTAATACCCGTGACGCCCTGGAACCCTGGAACACCGCTATTCATGTTCCTGGAGGGCAGGGCAGGGCAAGCTGGCGCACTCCCAACGCCCCCCCCCCTCCCCTCCCCCCTGCCCCTCCCTCCCCTTCTGCCGTTGCCGCAATGGAAGTTACAGCCCGGTGGGTGCCCCAGCCAGGCCCTAGCCAGGCCCTAGCCAGGCCCTACCTTGCGACCGGTAGGTCCCCGCAGTACAGTGGGCCAAAAGACCGGTGGAGGCGGCCAAAACTCTAGACGCGTTTTGAGCTCCAGAGTCGCTAAAGAGGGCTCGAGCCGAACTCTACCAATGGATTCCTCGTTCGGAAAGCAATCCATTGATGGGGTCACACGTTCGGTTCGAGTCCCATTTAGCGACTCTGGAGCTCAAAACGCGTCTAGAGCTTTGGCCACGTCCTCCGGTCATCTGGCCCACTGTGCGCAGCCAGAGCCGGTAACGGCCCCAAACATTGCTCCGTTTACTACAGGGAAATGATTAAAAATACAACGACAAAATTACAGAGCTACTGTGTGCTAATTTGGCGATAATTACTGTAATTGGATTAAATCCGCCAGTGGGGGCAAGAGGAGGCGGCGACGCGATAACATTTGGGCACAAACTGGCCGACACGAAGCGACGCTGTCGGCGACAGGAAGCGACTGCCGTGTCCTTAAAATTTTATTTTTCGTTTCCGGGGAAAAACGGAGTGCTGTTTCGCGGCCGCGTGAGATAGCCATCTCGGCAGCGCCATCAGGTCGGCAGGGCCAAGCCCTCCTGCTGAGCACAAAAATCGAAATCCCGAAAGAGGGAATCAATATTTTACTTGAAAAAAGGGGGGGAAACAAGGTACAGTATTACCTCAAAATAAGTGCAGGGAAATCCCAAAAGTGTGGATGTTAGGGATGGAAAGCAGTGCAGACTAATGTACCATTGCTTCTTTACTGTGCCACTGTAGGAAAATGTCAGTACATTAATTACCAAGCCTCTGTGAACATGCTTAGCTACCTGCTACCAAAAACCCCCTATGCTTAAAAAAGGCCCATCATCTGAAAATGCCAACCAGTAAATCAGACTACATTAAATCAGTGCCAGCAATTATATTAAATTCAAGTAGCGAACTTTGAGTGCCCTGAAGGAAAAAGTGCACAGTCAAGGTTTTAATGGTCTAGATCAGTGCTATTGTGTCTTAGATATGATAAGGTACCTTTTAAGTTTTGTTTACGGCCCATCACTTCAGCGTTGTCATTCCAATTCAGCTTTTTAGAAGGAGAGAAAAGATCAATTAGAATGACAGAATTTTCTTGAACAGACATTAGTCTACCAAAATAAATAACATAGAATTTTAAAACGAACAACCCTGAGTTTTTCCCATGTGGAAAGAATGCGTTGGGCCAACTGTCGTGCAACACCGACCACTCAGAGCGCATTGAAGCTCTGGAAAGGGTCCAAACTGCAACCACCCTTGCTGGCCTGCCCCTCACAAATCTCAGCCAGCAGCCCATCTGGCTGCAGAAGCAACAGTTGAATGGGCAACAGTTGCCATATGCCATTCTCTGAATTTCCCAGTGTCTCGGCTCGCGGACTCCCCGAGCCGCGGGTGGGTCTCTCTCGGCAGTCGCGGGCACGCACACTTGCACGGGTGACAACGGGGTTCATTTGCTCCGCTGGGCGAGGCGAGGCGAGTATAGTCTGGCAACCAACAGTGGAACGCCCCCTCGGCACATAACCTCCGACACTGCCAAGTCCGGGCGCTGACAGTGCCGAGTCCGCCGTCGACGCGCGGCAGACAAGTCAGGGGGAGCGGCCGGCCCCCGCGGCGGAGCGGGGTCGCTACACTGGAGAGGATTACGCCAACTAAAATTAACCCCGTGACGTGCGGGGCCTGTCGCGGACGGAGTAGTGCCTGCCCCTCTCGGGCGCCACGGCCGTCACGCCAGCGGCGCCAGCGGGGCGGCGGACATATGGCCGCGACTCCTCGACGGCGTCCTGGAGGGTCCTGGCTCACCTGCTTGACGAGTGGCAGCAGCGTGCGCTCGATGCTCCGCGTTTTTATCTCAAGACCGTCCAAGTCTTTCGGCTTGTTTGCAGCCATGTTTACGCTGGTCCGGGCGGTCGTCTGCTGTGCCGTGCCCGTTGTTGCACTTAGCAGAAGCTATTATTTACCCCGCGCGTTGCCAACCGCCCCGCACTGCAAGTCCCCTCCTCACAGGTTTCCCCGGCGACTTCCGAAGCTGACGCCTTGTTTCAGCAATTTTAATAACAGAGAAAAAAGGAAACGCATTTCGATTCAACGCAGCTCTGTCCCAAAAATCGAGTCAGGGTTAATCAAAATCTACTTTGCAGGTTGCAGGTCTGCAGCGACGGTCGCCATGTGCGGAGGGGAAGAAGAAATCAAGAAAACAAAGCTGAAAACGTAGAATGTTGTTTTCAAAATGGCCGAAATGTGTTGGAATTCGTGAGGCAAGTCATCGCTCAAGTACATTAAAATGTGAATTTCTCCTGTCATAAATGCGTATGTATACTCAATTTTGCATCTGAAATCTCCTCTCGTATCAGGGTTGTCGGGATAAGCCAATAGTATCTATTGACTATGCAAATTACTGATGGGGTCACATCTTTGCAGAAATGTAGGCCCTGGTATCATTTACTCAATCATAACCTTGATTGAGGTTGATAATTCTTGGCTTTTTGCATCAAAACCAGCCATATGTGACTGTTACGCGTTGATGGCATGGGTGGGAAAGGAAACTGTGCGTCTGCTGGGGGACCGGCCATCGTCTAACTTGTCATATTAAATGAATGCACGTCGAAAATAGTGTTGTTGGCAGTTCGTTATCAACCATTTCATGGTTAGCAGAAGACGCCTTGACCATACACACTATCAAATGTTGTTGATTAGCTCTAGTGCTGTTGTTGTTTCGCTCGGTTTTAAGAAACAAACTTAATGATTTGTAATTAGCACAGAACAAAGGGGCTCCTTATCATTCCCATTATACTTGAACTTATTAAGACTTGTAAATTTATGTTCCTGTACATAAATAATATGCACTACTTTTTCTCTTTTAGAATCAACTGGAACTAGGAGATGTTTAACACCTGTAGAGAGACAACAGGTTGCTATGGTGATGTTAATGTTGACTCTTACCCACAAAATGTGGAGGACAGTGAAAAAGTGTCAAATTCTGGACCTGCATGGAATATGCATGCGTCGGGACCCACAGTGCACGGGGCGCACCATGGCAATCATCCGGGGCACTCCTCTCATTCTCCAGCGCCTGCAGCGCCTGCAGCCCCTGCAGCCCCCACTCACTACCACAGTGCCTTCCATCATCACGCAGCAAACCCAGCAGTTGATTCCTATGGCTACTCTCTAGCCCAGGTATGCAGTAAATCTTATTTTTGACTAATCATTTCTTAACCAATTTTAATTTTTTGAATTTTTTAGGGTTTTTGAGTAAGATAAGCAACAGTTCAAATTTCTTTTTAATAAATTAATTCCTGCCATGCATATTACTCTACCAACTTACATATAAGCTGCTTTACACACCTGTTTCTTTTTCTACAGGCTCCTCTCAAAGAGAATGACGCAATTGCTGGCAAAGATGTCATTCGATCCTCCCCACCGCCTGCTGGTGTTGCCACCGCCACTTGGCAGAACAATCGATCTCGCTCTCGCTATCCATCAGCTGTGGCAGGTGGTGCATTCCTCCCGTACCCAACCCAATTGAACCATTATGATGGACCTCCGCTGGAAGCAGGCCCACACGGAATGGGTCACAGTCACATGCTCAGCAGAAAGCAGTCGTGGCCTGGTGAAAACCCATTTACCACCATGCCCCCTGGAGGACAGTACCAGAGGGATCCTACCTCTGCTATGTATGCAGAGAATATCAGAGGTAACGTAGCAGGGGGCATCATCCGACACACAACTAGTGTGTCTGGCATGGAGGCAAGAAACCCGCCTTCACAACAGCATCAGGCTGTGCCGCACCACTTGCACCATCAACAGCAGTCACTTCTGCACCAGCAGCAGCAGCAGCAGCACTCCGCACCCCACCACCAGCTGTTATGCCAACTGGTTCAGAAGGAACGTGAAGCACATCGACTTCCAGGTTATCAAGACAGACACTCAGTTGTGAGAAGCCGCATTTCGGGCTACCATGAGCCTCTTTTCCCTCAGCATCAGCACCTACAATATTGCGGTTCCCAAGATGTTTTGAGAAAAGTACCGCTGCCTGTGCCTATGGATGGTGATCGTCGCAGTGCCTTCACTGCAAGACAAACCTCTGCATACACCCATGGACCATCTCAATGGAACAAAAGTGCGGTTCCATTCATGCCACCATTTCATACGCAACAAGTGCTGGCACCACACCGGGGAGGTGGCTCTGCGTTTCAGCCCTGCAACAAAGTTGGAGAGCACGAGGCGTATCCGCCTGAAAGCCTCATCTGGTCCAAGTCTGGTCAGGCTGGTCCGGACTATGGGGGTCATATGCAGGGGCCTGGACAGGCTGCATGGATGCATGATGCTCAGTCCCAAATGTTTCACTCAAGACAGATGAACAAGCCAGGTCTCATAAACAATGGCTCCAATGTTCTGGGCCTCGACGCCGTTCAGATGGGCGGGCATGCAGCCATGCATCCCTCTGGGGGAAGACAGGCAGGCAATGTCCCCAAGGGTGCGCATGTACCAATCGCATACCAGCAACAGCACCTCCATCTGCATAATCCTCATTTAAGATCTCAAATGATGCACCAGCCTCAAGCCCCTCCACAACATGCTCTGCAGCAGCAACCAATGATGCAACAGCACCAGTCAAGTCCATTATCAAACTCACAGCATAGCCCTATGGTGACGAGCCCTCATGATATGCAGAGTCCTCAGATGTCGAACTCCTGCTCTCAGCAACCTTCTCTCCAGCAGGCCCAACAGCAGAATGATAGTCAACTTGTCTGCAATGAAGGTGATGGGAAAGAGAGTCGGGGAAATATTCGTTCTCTCCGCAACTGTCTTGATGTTCGCCAGTTCATCGAGAACTGGGATGAAGACACAGAAGTCGGTACTCCGAGACCCTGCATTGATGAAGCGGAAGCGGGGGACAATGTGGAACAGCCCCTTGTCACAACAGAGGAAGCCCTTATTGTCCTCGACTGTAGGTCCCTCCGCAGGGAGGAGGCTGCCAACCTGCTCAATATGTATTCAGTTCCTGAAGCAGAGGGCTTGCTTGCCTGTTCTGGTGAAGGCATGTTTAGCACCGCTACAGACACAGTGGCACAAAGTGCCCTCCAGAATCTATTGGACAGTGTGACCAGTTCTGGGAGTAACTCAACCACCATTGCGACCCCAATGGCAAGTCCCACGGGACAAGTTGGAGGACGCAGCTTGGACATGCTTTTAAATGCTGCTCTGCCTACACCGCCTGCATCACAAGAGCACAACATTGCACAGACCAACTTGCCTTTAAGCACACCTGTTGCAGTTGTCAGCCTTAACAGCCCCATTTCACCACATCTAGGAGACACCATCAGGCAGCCGAAGATGGACGAAACCGGATTTGGGGTGATGTCTCCCACTTCACCTGCAGCGTCTGTGAAATTCACTTGTGCCACTGTGCATACACCATTCGTCAAGTTTCCTTCGGCCGATGATCCTCCGTCTGTTATCCAGTCAAGCAGGGATCATATGGGCTTCAGTGCTGCTCATCAATTTACCAGTGATAGACCGGAAGTGAATGTGATGTCCCCCTCTGCATCCAAGGCAGTGGATCTGCCACCTGTCCCTGTACCTCCACTGCATGTCGACACTCAGCCTTCTGCTGCTGAGACTGACATACTTCCGTCTCCCGCGCTTTCTGATGCCAGCACTGAAAGTAAGATGGCATCACTGAGAGCATTCAGAAAGCAGAAGGCTCACAGTCCAGACCATATGAGTGAGGTGCATGATAGTTTGGACTCAAATTCTCATGATACTTCTGATGTTCACCCAAGGAGTTCTCGCACTTCCTCCTTAATGGAGAGTGATGATGCTGTGGACCGTTCGCAATGGGCCTTTGCACAAATTACTAAAACTTCTAGAACTCCATCCCATGAAGATTTCAGAGCTAATAATGGACCTAGCATCATCAAAGTGAATCAGAACTGGGAAACAGCTGACAATGTGCAGGATTTACACAACTTTAAATTGAAGCCTTTCAGCAGTTCTAATCATGCAATGGTTGATAAGAGTACAGCCCCCCTCAACTGTAGTTTGGAGACCCAAAAGTCTGACAGCTCAAAATTCGATAAAAGCACGTCTCCCACAATTTTCCTTACCAATAAGGATACTCAAACAGAAGAATCCCGCCAGGACAGAAAAAGAGTTGACACATGTGCATTCAATGAAACATTTGCTCAAACATCAGTCCACTGTATTCAGGATGAGATCCAGAGTGATACTTTTGCTCAGACTTCTGTTCGTTGTCAACAAAATCCTGTTGGTTGTCAACAAGATGAAATTCATCATGAATCGTTTGCTCAGACATCTCTTCTTTCTCTTAGTGAGGAAATAGAAAACTACACTGCTGAGGAGACATCATGTCAAGCTCCAAATGAAAAACTGCCATTGAATTCTACTGACCTGCTGAGAGTTTCAAGTTTCAAGTTAGGGGCTCCAACTAGCAGCCTTGCAGAAAGCTTAAGTAAACAAACTGAAATTGTTACGGGGTTTTTATCTGGACCAACTCATCCTCAACAGTTAGATATTGGTAATGAAGCTGAAGAGTTGCCCTCATTGGATGAAGCTGGAGCTGAAGTTATCAATACCAGTGAATCAAATGCAGGTTGTGGTACATCTGACCTCTTACCTACCGATTTGGAAAAAAGACAAGTTCCTTCCAAAGTTTTAGAAAATGAAGTCCAATTTAGAGAAGATGAATGCAGGACTGAAAATAGCTCCACCAGTGTAGCAAAACTTTTATCACCTGTAAAACCTGATCTCGATGATTGTATTAAAGTCTCACTCCCAGAGTGCACCAAATTTAATAAGCAGCTGGAGGATTTAAAAACAAATGAAGATGTTACTTCTAATAAACCTTGTGCATTGAGCTGTTCGAATGAGAAAGATGACAAACTTGCTTCTTCATCTGACGAGGCAATTTCCAAAGAGGACAGCGACGGTGATGAAAGAAACAGAAGCGTCGGTACAGGAATTGATGAAGAGCTTATCAAGAATGAATTTTGTCCACAGTATCTATCAAGAATCGTAGATTCATCTCCTGGTAACATTCCCAAGATTCTTTTATCTCGCTTGAAGGAGAAGTCTTCCAAGAAGAATGGAGTGATAAAGAGGTTGCCAAGTATACGCTTGACAAGGGTGTGTTCACCAATGAGCTCCAGTTTATCTGATCCAGAGTATGTGTGCTCTGTGTCAGACACTGAACCTGGAACACCATCAAGACTAGATGGTAGTACAATGGACTCTGTGTTTTCTGATCAGGCCAGTAATGATCATAGAAGACCACCCACTTTACATCGTAAGAATAAACGAGTCAAGCACTGTGACGCTGAAGTTCAGAGTTCACCTTTATCATCGATTAATGTTCGCCCTGCAGAAGACCATGAAGACGATAACTCAATTAATAGAAAAGAATCTAACCCGTCCACAGATATGCCTTCTGAAAATGTTATCGCCTCTTCTGCTGCTAACAGCCTTCATATATCAACCTCTGATAATAGGAATAATCATTGTTCTGATATGGCTGAAAGAAGAAGTCCTCATGAAGAGAGGTCTATTGAAGTTCAAACTGAGGGGCACATATCATCAGGAGCGGGCTTAAAAAGTTCTGATGATTCCGTACTAAATATTCCACAATCTGATAGCTTGAATGAAATTGAAAGAAGTACAGAAAATGTGTCTCCAAGGTTTTCTACCTCGACATCACAAGAATTTATTTCCACAGAACATCAAGAAACTGGTTTGACTGAAAAGTTGCCAGCTGATAAATGCAGCTCACCAATCGGAAGCAAATCAATTCCACAGTTGCCTACTGACCCTCAAATGGCCTTTAATAGCAAAGCACTTGATCAATTGGGAAAAGAAAAGGTTCTTCTGGTACCTGAAGAAAACGAATTAGCAATTGATTTATCACTTCAGAAAATAGAAAACAGAAGAACAACAGTTGAGGATGTGTCAGACTTGAACATTTTGACATCCCGTCAGAGTAACTCACCAGTTGTTAGGCAATGTGGACCAAAGCTGGATTTTCCTGTTCCAAAAGAAATGAGCCCAAATGCCAGATGTGGAGGTATTGAAAAATTAGTTATTCTAAAATCATGTGGTGGTTCTTCGTCCAATTCTGTGGAATATTACAAAGTTGATGAAATTGTAAGTGAGAAAGATAAATTGATTGATGAGACGATGTCCTGTGATGAAAAATTGAAACAATTGAAAGAACTCCAAAATGTTAATCAGGTAGAAACAGAAACATCTCTATTCACGCCTGACCTATCTGACCTAACAATTGGAGACTTAGAAGAAAATGATAGTCTATCTGAAGAAACTGGTTTGCATAGTTCTGCCAAATCTCTTACAGAAGATGTATTTTTGTCGCAGAGAATTCTTTGCAAACGTTCATCCATTGACATCTGTGAGAATGACATTGGGCGCAGCATAGTGAACCTAAAAGCATCTTCCCAGGAATTTTTTGAAACAGGCAATTCCTTTGTAGAGACATGCAGTCCTCTTGCTGAAAAGAATATTTTGCAAGAAAATATTTTTAAAATGATCCAAAAGTCGAAGATGAGGTTGTTAGTGCTGGCAACTCTTCCATGAGTCCTGTTGTGGAGGTGGCCTCATCCCAGCGAATTGTTTTGTTCCCATCTAACAATAGAAAAGATCTTATGCCAATCGGAGCAGGTACCAGTGGGACATCTGAACGTCTACCTGCAACAGAATCAACAGAATTAACTCCAGAAGAAAATCTTACAAATAGTGTTCCAGAAATTACAACATTTTCAGAGCCCGTAGAATATTCAGATTTGTTTGGAGTCAAAGGAAATGAAACAAAATGTGACATGTCTGATGTAGTTGTAACAAATCCTTCTAGCAGAGAAGAATCTCCCCAGACCACTCCTAAAAGCTCCTATGGGGTGAATGTTCAAAAGGGCTCAGAAACGGAGTCAGTTTTGTCCTCTGAAATACCTGAGAACTCAAATGTTTATTCATCGTCTCTGTTTCTAGACCCTCACTCTCAAATGCAGCCAATTGTCAGTGGAGAAAATTTACCGCAAGCAGGATGTGAAGAAAACTGCTCTTCTGCTTCACCATCTTGCAGTTCAAAACCTCATGAAAGTCCAATTGATTGTGTAGGACAGAATTCATCTACTGGCACAAATGTTGATGATACCTCTCCTAATGCTCACTGTTCAGATGCTAATTTGGATGAGAAGGATGAGACACTTCTTGAGTTTGACAGTTGTGATTTACAAAAGAATGTTGAAGATGATACCCAACCAACTTCTGTGTCAGTTACATCTTCTTCTTCGGGTTCTTTGGTCCAGCAAGTAGATGAAAATGGTGGTAGCACTTCTGTGCATGCTTCAGATGCTGACCAATCCTGTAAAGATCATACCCAAGATGCACTTGGTGTTAATGATTTGGAAAGTCCAGCTGAAGATGCTACCACTGATCATCCAGCACCTCTTGAGGCAGAGGCGGATCCATTGATTCCTGAAGAAATTGCTTCGAGTGAAGAAGGTACTTCCCTGAAGTCTGTTTCTGATGTTAATGAATTTTGTCACTCCCCGTCAATTGAAAATGACAGTGCCAAGTCTGTGAACAATAGATTGGAGCTGCACAGTAACCAAGAAAATAGAGCTAATCCAGAAATTCTTTTGGAAAACAATTATACTATCTGTCTCTCAGACATTCCTCTACCCTCTGAAGAAGGCTATCAAAATTATTTGGCTAAAAGAAATCTCGCGACAAGGCCTGAATTAGTTGTAACTTCACAAAGTGTTGTTTCTTCTGAGAATTCCTATCCAAGACACTTTAGTGTACAAGTAGAAGAAGATACCAGAATAACTACTGCAGATAAAGATACTCAGAGTAGTGATGACAGCTTCTCACTCTCGGATGAAGAAAAAGCTTTCCCAGATCCTCTTGCTCCAAACTTTGATGTTACTCGAATTCCATTACCAGATGAATGCATTGCAATAAAGAATAGAATTATGAAGTCAAGAAATAGGAAAAGGCCTCGAGAGCTGTGTGGAAATGAATGTTGCACTTCTGCTGAATCAAGTAAATTTAGTGAAGCAAACTATATGGGCACTTCTGTTGGGATTCAATGCTCCAAACCACGTGATTCAAAGAATTTGTTCAGCTTGAGGAGCAAAGCATCTCAAACTCACAAAATTCAGATAAAATTGAAGCCACGTCATCCAAGTTTAGAGTCATTTCATTCGCACAACAATCAGACCCTAATGGAGGTTGTTGAAGAAGTGTCTAAAGTTTTGCATGATGTTGACAGTGGGGATTGCATGCAGCAAGTGAAAGAGAAGGAAGGATTCTCATCTCTTTCTTGCCCGGAGGACAGACCACAAGCTTGTGAATATGTGGTTGAGCCCAACCGGTCCAAGTACTGTGATTACCCAGATGTAGGAGCAGACCGAATAGATGACTGTAATATTTTAGAAGTTAGATGCAAAGAAGTGTTTCCTGTTAATGACTGTAATGGTCTTGAAGGAAGGATTGAAGAAAAGACAGCGACCTCTACTGCAGTGCTGCATCAAGAAGAGGCCTGTCCCCAGCACGTGCTTAAAGAATCAATCGAACCATCTCAACTTTGCGATGGTGAAGAATTTCAAGATCCAACCAATGTTACCCAGGATGGGGCTCGACCTTCCCTCTATGGCCCTCCTGAAATTAAGAATAGTCCAGCCCACAGCTTGGATCCCCATTGCATCACCAATGAAGCAACCACTTCTAGATGTGATGATGCAGTTGAAAATAATTTCCAGGCTAGCACTGATATCTTATCACTGTCCAATCTTCCTTCCTCAAATGTTCCAGTTAATGTTTCTTGTGATGTGAGCTCGAATCCAAGCACTTCGTCATTCTCCAAGAAAGAAGAGGAAAACTGTAAATCTCCTTTTTAAACTTAAATATCAATGAAATTTGCAAACCAATTGACAAAAAATGTTCAGAAGCTAATTCTTCTGCCACCACAGCTGATAACAAAGAAGAAGTTCCAAGGTTTGAACAGAAAACAGAAGTGTCAAATTGTTCTAGTGGACATTTTCATGAGCCATTGCTTAACCCGTTGGACCTTGATTTTAGGGAAACAGAGGCTAAATGTCTGGATCTTATTACAAAAGACTGTCATGAAAAGTGGCAAGATTTTTCAACAGTTGATAAAAGTGCCTTGTTAAATAGTACTGAGGATGCTCCCAGTGAAAATAACAGTTTTATTACTGACAACCCCTCTAGCAAATCATTTGATTCTGGCCAAGAAAACTGTAACAATAGAAATGAGTCTGAAGTGCATACGTGCACTAGTAAACTGGTTGTGTCTGATACTGACTTGGAGAAGACTGAACCTTTTGAAAATAAATTTGAGAATGGTAGTAATAGAACATTGTTAGTGGAAACACAGGAATTTATAGAAGAAGAGCAGAAAATAAATTGTGATAAACATGAACGAGAAAATGTGCCATCTGCTCGAGAAGAGGAATATATTAATTGTGGTGTAGTAGCGGACCAATTTGTTTATTGTGAAAATGAGAGGGAAGAAACATCTCCTGTGAGAGAGGGAGAATATTCATTTCCTTCAAATGATGGACTCAAAATCCTGCCCAATGGAGAAGAGGAAGGAACTTCTGACACTGCTACTGGGAAAGACAATCCTTTTCCATTTAGTCATAGAAACATTCCATGTAATATAGATGAAAAAGTGCCTTTTTCATCCACAGAATTATCCACCTTGGATACTCCTTGTAAGGCACTGGACAGTGGCAGTGATGGTGCTCCTGATGCTAATGTTACTTTTGATGATGTGCACATGGCCATTGGGAAACGAGTGTACAAACTTTCTGCTGAATGGCAGACCATGTACCTTGGTGAAGACGACAACGAGCAAGATGAAGCAGAAACATGTATTTCTTCATGTCAAAACTTGGCTATAAATTCAGAAGAACATGCCAAGACCCTGCCAGCTCCCTCAAAGAATGTCTATGAAAAGTCACTGGAGTCGCCTTCCAATTCGAATGCTGAATTTGTTAAATTGTCTGATATGGATGCCACCATTGGTGAGTCAATGCTTGAATTGGTCGATAACGATGAAGTTGAAATGAATGAACTGAATGAAGATGATCTTCCCCCATTAGATGCCCCTGGCTTAGAAGTCGAAGTTGCCAACTCTGCGGACTCTGACTCTGATCGTGAAATGCCTTGCCTCGAGCCAGAATCAGACGATCAAGTCCTGTCAAATACCATGCACACCTCTTCTGGAGAATCCCATGTACCCAATTCAACCAGCCACAGCGTACAAGAAAATATCCCTGCAGACCTCAGCACTATGACTGATGTCTCAAATGTGTCGAAGAACTCAGAAGAAGTGGATGAAAGCCACGTAACTGCAGAGGAAGGTGGTGCGTCCAGCAGAGCGAGCCCCGCCGTTCCAGTGTTCTCCACCTTGAGGTTGTCCTCCACGACGGCGCCCAGGAAGGACATGCCGCGCGTGGGGGTCAAGCGGCCCCACGAGTCGGACGACTCAGACTCTGACGATTCGGGGACCGACGACGACGATGACAACTGCTCCAGTGGTAGCGACGCCGACGGCCGGCAGGAGAGGCCTCGCGGTAAGCGAATGCACAGCGAGGAGACGGACGACGCGGGGCTCTCGCGCGCCCCAGAGGACCGCCAGCACGGCGTCGAAGAGTCCGTCCAGGTCGGGTCTAAGGAAGCCGTGGCCGAAGCGCAATTAGAGGAGTGGTCCGTGGCCGTGGAGGACACACCAGGGCTGCCCGAGCCTGACGGAGACGTGGTGGCCGTGGCCGAGGCCCTGGAGGAGGTGTCCGAGGCCGTGGAGCAGGTTTCGGAGGCGCTGGAGGAGATGTCCGAGGCCATGGAGGTGTCCGAGGCCATGGAGGTGTCCGAGGCCCTGGAGGAGGCGCCCGTGGCCGTGGAGGAGGTCTCTGAGACCCTGGAGGTGTCTGAGGCCCTGGAGGAGGTGCCCGAGACCGTGGAGGAGATACCCGAGGTGGAGGTGTCCGGGCCGGTGCCCGGTGTCGGAGTGGACTGCATCGAGATCTCGGACATCCGCACCGACCCCACCGAGTGGGTCAAGGACGCCGACGTGGCGGTCGACGTGGCGGTCCCCGAGGACTCGACCTGGCGCTGCGTCGAGGTCATCTCGACGGAGGAGAGCGTGCGCGAGGAGGTGGTGGAGACGGTGGTGGAGGCCGAGGTGCAGGATGACGACGACCAGGAGGTGGGCGAGCCGCGGCCGCGACTCAAGTGCAGCCTGAGCTGGGACCGCGTGCTACTGGCCGGCGAGGCCTTCGTGCTGGAGCCCGCCAAGGTGGGCGTGCGCCTGGAGCACGAGGAGGCCGCCGGCGAGGCGTCGCCCTGGAACGTGGTGGACCACGTGGTGGACCGCGACGCCGAGTCCGCGGCCAGCGCCCACGAGGAGAACAACAACCACCTCCCGAAGAGCCCGCCCTCCAGCTCCATGTTCAAGGTCACCAAGTTGATCCTGGAGAGACCCGCGCCTCCGGCCAGCCCCGGCCTCAGCGCGCCCTGCACCAGCCACCCGGACAGGTGAGTCATTAGCCTTTTTTTTTTCTTTCGAAACTTCCGGTGTTGAGATCTTTTTGCAGTGTATGGAACACGACCCTGACTGCGCATTTCCTTGTACAGCAGGTCCCCCGACGGCGGCCACTCCCTCAAGACGAAGGGGGCCCTCAAGAGCTACCACAGCGACGACTCGCTGGCGTCGCTGGCGTCGCAGGGGTCGCGGCGGCGCCGGGAGTCGCGGCAGGAGAAAAGCAGGCATCGCCACGGCAAGCGGCGCTGGTACTCGCACCTGTCCCCCGCCGCCCCCACGGCGCGGTCGTCGCGGTCCCCGGGGGCGGGGGTCGACGGCGAGGTGCCCAAGGTCATCATCAAGCGGCAGTCGTCGACCTCGCCGGCGTGGCAGCTGCTGCACGGCCGCCCCCGCATGGCCAAGTCCCCCGTGGTGGTGCTGGAGCGCGACCCCAGGATCGACGCCATGGCGCTGCGCGCCGCCGCCCGCCTGCGCCGCCTGGACCGCAAGGAGCAGCGCGTCAGCGAGCCGGGCAGCCCTCGGGACAGCCACGCGCCCTCCAGGGGCTCCTCGCAGCGCGGGTCCAGCGAGCCGCGCGCTCGCCGCCAGTCGCCGCCAGCGCGGAAGCGTTCGCGCAGCATGCGCGAGCACGGCCTCCGCGAGCACGGCCTCCGCGAGCACGGCCTCCGCGAGCACGGCCTCCGCCACGGCGCGCTGGCCGAGGACGACGACGACGAGGCCGGCAAGACCAAGCGCCGCAAGAAGTCCTCGTCGTCCTCGGGCCACGACGAGGACCGCAAGGACCGCGGGCGCGGCCGCCACCGCAGTCGGGACAAGGACAAGGACCGCGAGCGGAAGGCCGTGGCCAAGGCCAAGGGCGGCCAGGGCCAGAGCGCCGCGCACATGCACATCAACGAGCTGGTGAAGCGGTGGCAGATGACGCCGCCGGGGAAGGACACCCCCATGCCGATGCCTTCGCCCGACCCGGCCACCCCGCCGCCCGCCTCGGACGCCTCGCAGTCCCCGCAGTACGGCTGGCACCAGGTGCACCAGATGGAGGGGGGCTTCCCGACGGACGACGCGACCCCCGAGGCGGAGACCGAGGCGGAGGCCGCCCTGGAGCCGAGCCGCAGCCACTGGAGCCAGCTGCTCGACGCGCCCTTCGTGGCCGTGTCGGGCGACGCGCCGCCGCCGCTGCAGACCCCGGCCGAGGCCGCGGCCGCGTACGGCGACGCGTACGTGTGCGAGGCCTGTGGCAAGGCCCTGAGCGGCGAGCCGTCCCCGGCCAGGGCGGACCACATCAAGCAGCACCCCTACCACTGCCAGCGCTGCTACCAGGCCTTCGCCTCCCAGGTCAGACCAACTCACCTCTCACAATTCGGTCGGAAAGCGGGTACTCCCCACCACTTCCCCACCGTTCCCCGCGTGTTGGCCCCCAGGCGAGAGGGGACGTGCGGGGAACGGTGGGGAAGTGGTGGGGGAACCCACTTTCCGACCCAATAAATTTAAAGATATTTTTTTTTCCTTCCCTGTAACTTGCCCAGACTTTCCAACAAATTGTGCTCATGCCCTTTCCTCTTTGTCTTTCTCTAGAGCGACTTCACGCAACATTTGAAGGTTGCTCATCCAAACACGCAGGAACTCCATCACTGCCTATTGTGTCTTCGAACTTTTCCCAATGAGAGACAGCATGCGATTCACATGAAAGTAAGCCATGTGTATGTTATGAGTTTGTCATCACTGTTGTTACATTTACAAGTTTTAATGTGTTGTTCTGTATTTCTTTTTTTCTCTCATCAGGGTCAAAGTCACTGTCACATGGAAAGGTCACAGCGCAGGACTATACACACCCTGTTCCGGATGTTTACTGGTTCAGATTGTCCTCGACTGAGTCCCCTTACTCCAGAAGACATGCATGCCCTGGACTGGTTGCCCAATGACTCTGGTGTTATTCATTTCTACCACCAAGCAACGCCTCTACAAATAGCCACAGAGGTAAAACATTTTGTCCGTCAACTAGCTACCTCATGTTTGATATGCACTAACTAAATTGTTCCTTCTTCCAGGACTGGCATTTGCACCATGGAATTGCATCCATCAAATCTGTTAAGAAAGATACTCCAAACCCTGATTAATTATGTCTCGTGTTCTTGACTGTTGAAATTGACTGTTTGATATTGTTTTTGATGAATGTGTGATTCACATTAGACAGGAATCTATCATTCCCAACGTGTACCGTATTTTACCACCTGTTTCTTAAGTAAATCATGTGTAAACCAAAGAGTAAGTGAGGAAACTCTGCCAATGTTTCTCTGGGACCAACAAGGTACATTGTTGCAAACCTTTCCTTTATGGACATCAGTTGAACAAAAATTGAAGTCCTCAGTGCATTGCTGTTACCTTTTGTCTGCAATATCTACTTAGCTCTGAGTTAAGTGGTGTCTGTTGATGCTTTTGGAAGTCTTATAGAATGGTCATTGTCATTTGACATTGTCATTGCATCTCTCTCATTCTTGTCATTTTGTTGAAGTCATTGTTTAGTCAATATAGTATTTTAGAGTACTATTAATCTTTATTTAGTGTTATGCCATTGCATTTGGCAGGATACTGTCAAAATTTTAAGAAGTGTATATAGTTTGTTTTGTTCTGTTCCCTTGTTGAACTATGCACAGGGTGTAATGCACCTGATCACAGTTAGTCATTTTGAATTGCTTTAGCATCTGTTAATTATTTCAAAGTTTTACTCAAGTGTTTCCCACCATATTTAATTGTGATCTCTTGTTACCACAGTGAATGCAATACTATTTCAGTTTCATGTCTGCATTCAAGCGTGAAAGTAGTTTAATTTAGTTCTGTCATAATAATTACTCCTAACTATGTTCATCTGTAACAAAGCCTTATTGCTGTTAGGCCATCTGTGAGAGTACACTGTAGCATAATGTTTTCTCACAAACTCAATGTTAAATTGTGTTTTGTGGTTTTTCCCACTTTTGTGGAACTACTAATTTTACAGGGTGATTTTTATTCTTGTGTTATTTCGTGTGATTTCGTCATTCGTTTATACTATGATATTTGATCAAGTTTGTTGAAGTTTGTCGAAATCATGTTCTACATTGTGTTCATCCTGAACTTTGAAATCTTTAAATCAATTTTTTCATGTAGGTAGTCTCTTCTACATGGTCTCATAATCCAAAGGGTATTTTACCCTAGTGATTTGTGAATATAGTACTTTTTGAGAAATAGTTATATTCATAACTTGATTTTTTTAAGATTTTACATTGCAAATATTTTTGGTATTGGATTTGGCTTATGTTCCTAGAACAAACTCGCGTTGGGTATTTCCAATGAGACATATATTTGTTCTGTATTGCAAAATGAAATATTTTTTGAAGAATGATGAACTCTTGGCCTCATGAAATGTTCAGCCTTTACCTCAAATATTTTGAAAATATTGTATGCGTAGTCATGTTTCTATGGGGAACGATGTTTTTTGGTGTTAGGTTGTGGAAAGTGGGCAATTCATATGAGATATCTCAGGACTGTGCATATTTTACATCTGAGATTTGATGTAGTGTGTGTTTTGTCTTGCGATTGAACTGAGTGATTTGTGTGTTTATTCTAACTTGTTGATACTTGTATAAATTTTATTCGCTTTTGTGATGTGAATAATGCAGTGCACTTCACCTCAATACTACTTGAATAATTGTTAAGTTTTAAGATTGTATACTTACAGCCAAATGGTGTATGATGTCTCATACCTTTGTTGTTTACCCAAAGGTATCATTGTTGTAGTCAAATCATATGCCATGTGTTTTACAATCTTTGTTCAGTTTGTCTAATTTAATTTTACTTTTTTTTGTTTGAAATCTTCTCTTTGATCATTTGTTTTCTGTTTTCCTTTCCTTTGTTTCTCGCTGTTCCTTTATTTCAGCCATCTTGTTAGTTAATTTATCATGGAACAGTGTATTGTGGTTTGTGCAATCAGAACATCTATTTATGAAATGTTAAAGAAATTATCATTGTTGTGACGTGTTTGAAATTTCTATCGATGATTATGTAGCCCTTTTGAATTGATCTTGTCTTTATTAAGAAGTCTGAAGCTTGTACGGTGCTCTTTGACTGTCCAAAGCAGCTTATAATGATTTGTTGGACCAGTGCCTTTTATTGAACTTTCCCTAAACTGTCTTTGAAATCAATCATGTTTTCTTGGGACCAAAATGTATTGCTGAACATATTTGAAGAGCTTGATTAACTTAATAGTAAATTTATGTGGCTGAAGGGTGTGCAATGTGCTTACCATCAAAACAAAACTTTTCAACTTAAAGCTTGCAGTTGAATTTTGTTGGAATTGATATTGAATTTTGGTGTATCCATCTCAAGGCTACTTTCATCAGTTCAGTTGATTCTTCAAAAAACAAAAAAGATTACATAAACACAGCATAATTGTACTTCTATTTTATATCGTTCTTCATATATTAAAAATTATTTCCCACCATTTTTATTATGTTTGTTGTATTCAGGCATTCTGGCTGTGTTAATACATAAGGTTTCTTAAGCAAGACCCTTTTAAGATTTATTCGTACTAATTTGCATGGATTTCCTATCAAAAAGATATTGTGTTGTTTTTTGTCTGACCCACGTTAATGATGTTCAGTTTTATATTAGCCACTTTAACTTTTAAAGCAAAATGGGTTTGTTTTGTGCTGAATCCCATTTAGTCTTGGTGATTACTTCTGACTAAGGCCTCGGTAATTCTTTATACACACTGTTTGCACTTTTTGTCAATTATTTAAGTGTGCTGTGATAAAGCATTATTGCATGTATATATATGGTTACTGCAATGATGTGTTCTAACTGATAGTGTACGAAAGTGTATGATGCCAGTGTCTACATACCTTCAGTGACAACATTAGTGACATTCATGTACATCATACTCTTCCCAAAGTCCTTGATTTTAAGGTTTATCTGTGTTTATTTTTAACTATATTTGATGCTGATTGCCAGTTTAGAGAGCTCTTCATTTACAGACACTACCCACCAGACTGCTGTGTTATGAGTGCAGGCTGGTAGGCAGTGTGTGTCTTGGAAATTTTTCTTTAGTGGCATAGTTGGTTTGAAAGCACCAATTTTAAATAAATTTTGGCTTTTAACTTTGATGGTTTTTTCGTGCCTTGGAAATGCTGCAGTGTCTCATGATTTTATATATTGTCACTGTTTTGCTGTGCAATATTTTACTTAAATTTGAGGAAATGCTGGGCCCTTAAAGTTTCAAGCTTTGAATCATATGTGAAGTCAGAACTAACTCACCAGTCAAGACAGCAGATTTGTGTAGAGGAGCTCTGTAAGTTCAGTCAAATCTCATATCAGTTTCTATTTCTTGTCATTCCAAAGTATAGTCATTCCATTATTGTTAATTAAGTATTTCCAGTAGGTATGTATTTGTATTATTGTCCTTGTTTGTTGCATCTTCCTTGTTTTCACCTTGTGTGACAGTGTGTCAATTTTTTTCTTGTCTTTTTTTATCAGAATAGTGTACTTAAAATACTGCAGGAAATCTGGACACCAGTTGCTCTACTGGTATTGTATAGTCTGAACATTATGCCCTTTCCTTTCCTGTGGTTTTTCTTTCTCTTTTGTTACGTTTTGATAATACTATCATTCCCTTTGGGACACTATAGGACTGTCTCAATCTGTAAGTCATGGAGGTGAGGTATTTTCAGAGAAGAATTGTTACCTAGTTTATTGTGAATGGTTAATTTAGCACTGTTTGCATGCTAATTGAATAAAGAACTGTGAGGATCGTTTCATTCCTGGGTTTTATTTCTTCCTTCGTGCCCACCTCTGAGTAGCAGCAGCAGCAGCAGGGAGTGCTGGTTCGGACGTTTCAAAAAGGCGCGGGTAGCGTCAAACCCTGGCTGCAGCCCAGAGCCCAGTGGGGTCCCATAGCCATCAGCGGAGAGAAGGCAGGCAAGATGACGTGGTGCGCAGAGCGCAGACGTGGCTCCATCTGTTTCTGACAGGAGATAAACAACACTTGTCCGTCGTCCGTCAACAAGCTGCTTTTCGCCTTTCCTCTGCGTTTTCTCCAAGAGTTCGTGTGACAATGTCTGGCCCGCAGTGGGAACTTGTGACGAAGAACAAGAAGGACAAGCCGGCTAACGGCGTAACTCGCAAACTCACCAAAACTGAGAAGAAAAAGTTCGCCGATAACGCTCCCAAAGTCGAGGATTTGTGTAAGTCCATTCCCGGCCGGTCTTTTCTTTGTAAATCGGCGAATCGCTTCTATTTTACCGAAATGAATGGAATCCGTGGTAGTTTTTGAACGGTCATTGTTCGATTGTTGAACATGACACACTGCACAGGCCCTAACCTTGTTTGACTGCCCTGTCATTCATAAGGAGGTCAGAATCGACTCTCGGTTTTGACTACGGCTGTTGTTAAATTTATCAGTCACTTGTGTACCTGCTCGTCGTAGTGAGTTTCCCCCTTCATTCATTTTCTCAACTCATTCATCTCTGATTTATCTTACAGTGCCCATGTCCAAGGTGAAATCTCTCTACTCGGATTTTCCTGAAGTCAACAAGCCACCTGCGGTGGATGTTAAGAAAGGCAAGGAGAATGATGCGAAGAAGCAACAGCAGAAGAAGCCCCAGCAGCAGAAGGCTGAGAAGCCCAAGGAGAGCAAGCCCAAGACCCTCGATGCAGCCATCAATAGGGTGGGTTATCTTGCCTTGCTCGTTGGTGCACCTCATTCTTTTCCATTTCTCTCCAAATAATTTTGCTCTGTCTTAATCTTTACAGATAGATGTGCCAGAATTTCAGAATTTAATTGCTGCACTGCAAGCAAAGTTTGACGGGTCTACCCTAATGTGGCTGAGGACGATCGATAACTTTTTAGACCAAAGTCTGACTGTCGAAATTAGTGACCCTGTGTTTTCTTCGAAAAACCATGAGTATCCCCTCTGTCTTCTACCACCTGCGATGCTGTCTTCCTTAAAAGACGCTCTGGAAACTGCTGGTGAAGCCAATCGGCAACTTTATTTTGAAATTCTTCTCAATCATTTAGCGCAAGAACTGACCAAAGGTTGGTATGGTTTGCTCCTGTGATGTGCAAAGACAAGATTAATTCAGAATGATCTTTTAATGATATCTTCCTACCATCTTCAGGATTCTCCGCTGTTGGTACAAGAATATTATTACAAGTGATGGGAACATCCTACCCTGAGACAGTGGTTGCGGCTATCCCTAAATGTTTAGCTCTTCAAAATTCTTATAAAAGCAGAAAACCTATATGGCTCTCTATTCTGTGGGCTATGGGCCAGGGTGGGTTTAAAGATCTCTCCGTTGGTTTGAAAGGTAAGACTTCTTTCTGATTCTGATGTTGACATTTGGAAGTTATATTGTTTGATGTTCAGGTACTATTTCTCATCTTATTTTTCCTCCCTTTGTTTAGTTTGGCAAGATGTCATGCTCCCTGTTCTGGAATTGAGGAATTATTCACAATATGTTGTTGAATATTTAACAAGGCTTCTAGGAAGGCACTCAGCTAGTCCTGCCCTTAGCGTTGACGAATATCTAAGTGCAATGGACTCAATTTTGCGACCTGACGTATCAATTTCAAATCTACTCACTGATTCTCTTCAGCGTCAAGCAAAGATATTGAGAGTAAGTGACAAGCTTTTGTGAAAAATTTTAAAAAATATCCCCATAATGGTTTTGTTTTAATCTTTCTTTCAGAAAATTGCAGTCAATGCTACTCCTGATGCCAAACTGAATCTTTTCTTCAAGCCTCTCATGAATAGATTAGCAACAGCAGACACTGATGCCTACAAGGAAGAGGTACCCTACACTAACTGATCCACACTGTTCACTTCAATCAATTAACTAAAGATTACTGAACCTTGTATGAAACTCTTCTTTTACAGGTTTTGGAGTTCCTGTATTTGTGCCTGTGTGCAGATGACCAATGTTTCAACACATGGAAGCAAATCTACTCATCAAACTTGTCCGAAAGCGCTGCTCTTCTGGAACATATCGGTTAGTCAGTTCAGAATTCAAGCAACTTGATAATTATTAACTACTATTCTCATAACACAAAATTCATTTTCAGCGAGCAAAGCGAGTTCCTCAGAAACTAAACCTGCTGAAAAGTCTTGCAAGTCTTTTATAGACTTTGTTGTCAAGACTAATGCATCATTACAAACTGCAAAACCCAAGCTTAAGGGATTAGAAGACAGCCGTAAAGTTTGTGAGGTATTGTCTTCCTATTGTCTTTTTCTTATACTGTTGTTTAATCATGACTAAAAGTGCACATTGAGATTAGGCCTGTAACCATTGTCATTAACAACATCTACATAAGCAGCATTTTTACATCTGATAGGAGTTGCACTTTGTCGATGATCATAACATATCATCTCCATGGCTTAACAGGTAGAGAAGCAATTACAAAAATACTGCAATATTGCATTAAATTTTATATGTAAGTAATCAAGGGCTATATACATTGTAGGAAAATAATTTGACTTACACAGCTTCAGTTACGCTTCTCTCCAGCCTCATTTTCATAATTTGCATTGTCAGTTTATTTTATTTTTTTGCATTAGTTGGATTGCGTTTCATGTTATAGGTAGAGCATGAATATGGTAGGAGTTGTAATTTAACTCAAATTTTTATTTTACGTAAATTTGAAAAACTTCTTACAGTATACTGCCTAAAGAAACCCCCGAAATGCCTCTGATCAAAGATGCTGGTCTGCTTTATTCCGTGTCTGATGTGCACCATACTCGCCTGCACACTACTTGTGCTCACATACCACTCATATCTCTCCCTCCCTTCTCAAGGTCGACCGTTTGCCAGTTCGCCCAGCTGACTGATTCCGAGAGGGAGAAAGCGCCCTATCTCTCTCTCTCTCTCTCTCTCTCTCCTCTCTCGCTTTCATGAGACTGTCGGTCCTGTCCTGTCGAGCCACCGGGAGTCAAAGTCCCTCTGGCACCCTTATGGGGAGCCCTGTGAGTGCGAGAGAGACAGAGCGACGAGACGACTCTCCTGAATGGAATGGCTCAGCCCGCACTCGCGAATCCGCGAATGCGCGGCACTGCCGGCGTGGCGTGGCCTCCGCCACTTTCACTATTCACTCGTGGCAGTCTGCAAACTGATTCCGAGAGTCGTTCTCGTCGCGCCGTCTCTCTCGCACTCGCGGGGCGTCCAGTGTAGGTGCGAGAGAGACAGACGTTGGGAATCCGTCTGCCGGGGGAATGAGTGGATGCGAGGGGGGCGTACTTGCGGCGCACTTGCGCTCTCCCCCTCTCTGTTCTGTTTGCGCTCCTCGTCTGAACGTGCCGCTTCTCTGTCCGTCGTTCGTTCGTTCGTCGGCTGGAGTGCCTGTGGGAGTTCCCCCGGCGCCGCCACACTGCCAGTTGCCAGTGTGTCTTGCTCGGCGCTCCGCGCTCGGCCGGCAAGACCTGTCTAGAGAGCCTGTGTCAAAAAGGAAAGGAAAGAGGGAAGGGCAGGGCGGGGCGTTGCCGGCGGCGGCGCTGGTTTCTTCTCTCTTTGCTTTGGACTTTGCGCGCCGCTCGTGGTTGCTCGCCCCGCCGCTCTCTGCGCTACCTGCTGGCGATAACACGAACTGAGGGTGATGTGGTAATCGTCCCCTTCCCCACCCCCACCCCCTCCCGGGCCTGCTTCGTGGCTTCGGCTCGGTGTTCGGCTGTTTTCGCTGACGCTGACAGCTGAGTTCGTGTCTCTTGTGCGTGTAGGATCGTTACGTAGCAATCATCATCCCTCCGTCATTGTACTAGGTGATTTGTGTTTTCTCTGCTTGTATTGTGTTAGATGTGATTTTTCAGATTGATTTTGTTGTTTGGGTATGTGGGGCCCTGATAGTTTGAGCTGGATCGTTCGTGTGAGGCGGCTACAGGAGTGAATTTGCGCTCTGAGTGGGTAGGGGGTGGTTCTTGCTGGAGGCTTTGTCCAGCAACCCCATAATTTTGGCGGGAAAAGCCTGGTTAATTTAGTCGAAATCTGTCCAATCCTCGCCAAGATTTAATGACTTTGCCGGGTTTGATCGCGAATGTCGGGCGTTTCCGTATGGTGGGGTGGCGCTTGCCAACACTAACCCCGCCAATGCGACTGGCAGGCAGGCAGGCAGTTTCTCGACGAACGGAGCGTATCTGTTTTCCAAGTTTCCGTGGCCTTCGCTTTTGACGTTGCGTTTCCTTTGGACGCGTTGGGCACGGAGAACCAAGTCCACTAGAAAGTGGAACTATGTTCAGTCAGAATTTCTCTGGTCACTTGCCGTTTCGTATTACCTGTGGAGGTTATGTCCGTGTCCTGCATGGTGCCATTGATAATTAGTTTGTGCTCGCATTCGGCGCGTCTGTCAGCCTGCTTTTTCTGAATGTGCGGCTTTTGTGTAGTTCATTGTGTTTTTTAAATTCATTCTGACATCGGGATTTCTGTCTCCCTGACGTAGAACATAAATGTTTGTTTTCCTGCTCTCCTAGCGAACTAACATCCTGACGCTTTGTGTTCCAGTCACTCTCCTTCAAAATGGCTTCAAAGAAGAAGAGCTCGTACTGGAAATTCATCAGCTTCATCCTCATTCTTGCATTTGGCGGTATGGTTGCCTACGATATCAAACTTCATGGTAGTTTTAAAGGTAAGTGTCTGTCTGTCATGATGTTCATTCTGATTTGAATTTTCGATACTGAATCATTTTCCTTTCTCTTTCAGAATCTACTGTGGGACGAACCTTACACGACACTGGTGCTTTGGCCTATGGAAATCTTGCTCTGGAACAAGCCAAAGTCTACACACAGAAAGGGGCCGAGTAAGAATGCATCATTAGTTTTTAAAATTATTTATCTGTTGTCTTTTTGTGTTAATTCTTTCTTATATTTATCTTAGATGGACACGTGAAAATGGTCCTATTTATTATGCATCAGCTGTCGAAGTTTCCAAACCGTACCTTGAACTTGCCCGTGACTTGGGTCTCATTGCATACAACAGTGCATCAAAAGCTTGCGTTGCCGTTGATAGTTGGGTGAGCCACTCATTTCTTATCTTATACGATTTATAGTTGCCTCTTATGCCTATTGTTTAATTTGCCATCTTTTTGCAGTGCACTACAAATGCCCCCGAAGTCACTAGTCAGGTGAAGAAATACGCAACTGTCGCGGGAGAAACCTTCGTACAGTATGCTGGTGATTTCGGACGTTACACCAGGGTTGGATTTCAATCTGCTCAGGAATATGCTGCCAAAAATATTTTTGTGTAAGTGGGTCCTTTTTTCCAAGGGGTTCTCTGTAGGGTTCCTCACTCTAATATTTGACTTCGGTGCCTACAGTTCTCATTGCTGCAGCAAATATTAAACGAAGTCCTTAGTTGGGGTCATTTTGAAAAGTAAATGACAAGTAAGTCTGTGAAGTGTGAACAGATAAGCTAAAAACTTGTGTTTTCGTTTTTTGGGTTCCAATCACTAACATTTTGTGAGCGTCTTCCTCTGTCAAAGTCTGGGTTTATCCAATATTTGAGTGTGTTTCATAGCATTTTATTAATTGAAGATGTATATGTGCTGAATGGTGTTTGTCATACTTACATTAAATGAACATTCAGAATTCCAAGGTATGTTGCTTAACTTTGTTCTCTTGATTGCAGTGGAAAATGGTCTCCGGAAAATCTACAGAAGATGACCCATGAAGCGGTGAATGTTACCCAACGGTACGTCATCTCAACCTATGAATGGATTGTGGAGCAAGTTGATTCAGTTAGCAAAGCCCGTTGATCAAATACCACTTTTTTAAAAATCCTGAGCCCTGTAATTTTGTTCATTGGTGTAAGTCTTTCTATTATGTACCTTATCTGACAGAGGAGAGCTCAAGTCATTGTTTGTCTATTTATATCCTTTCTCATTTCTTTCCTCTCATGTTGCTTTTCTATGGTATTGATACTTTGACTGATGATTTGGCATGGGGTTTCCAGTACCAGTGTGTCATAGGCACGGCATCCCAAGCAGTTGGTTTTTCTTTCGGGTGTCTTCTTTTTAAAAAAATTTCTTTGTAATGGAAAACAGAGCAAGTGTACCTTTTCTTTCTGTTCACTGTCAATTTTGAAAGAACTGAGAATAGTTGTTAATGTCTTTTGTATAAAATCATTGTTAGGTTTCTCAAGTTTTAGAATTGTGTATATGTGAATTATTTGTTTCTAAAGTGTTACTGAATGATCATGACATTTTAAAAATTGGAGCATTCCCTGTAATTGTGCTTATTTCTATGCTGCTATGATGTGTAGCTAACTTAAGTCATTCCTTGTAATTATGCAAATTTAAATGGACTGAGAATTTATCTCCATAGTTTTAATTTATTTTGTTCTTCAGTGAAATTGTGTTTGTGATCAAGCTGCTACATTAATAGATTCTTTAGATTTTAGCCTTACCAGATTTACTTTTCTTTTACTATGTATGTATTTTACAAAACACTGCTGGTGTTATATGAAATTCCTATCACTACCTGTAGAATGATTGTAGAGCATCATTTTGCTTCGTTTTATTCCTCACGACAGGATTCTATTTATATTTGTAAATTTTCAGTATTTGTCTCCTTGTTTTTGAGTCACAAATTTTTCATCTGTTAGGATGCATGCAAGCAATTTTTTTTTTCTGCATAATAATAAATGTAGGGTTTGTCAAAGAACGTCTTGTTTTACATACCTGGACCAAAGACATGATTTGTGGGTCGTCAGCCGAGCCCGCTGCAACCGCAGGTCATGGAACACGAACGAGGCAGAAAAAGAACAAGAAGGCGCCTGGCACGTAGGCAGCCCTTGAGACAAAGACCTTCAAGTGGTGGCCTACCTGCCAGGCGAAGACTTAAGAAGGCTGCCTTACACTGCGCAAGACCAGCACATACTGTACTTCTTGCACGAATCGAGAGCTGCGACGCAGCCTTCTACACAGTCTCCGCCCGGCGGGTAGGCCTAGGCCACCACTCGAAGCTCACTGTCGTTGGTGCTGCCTACGTGCCAGGCGAACGGCCCGTCCGTCCGTCTACCCGTCAGCCTAAGAGGCGTTGCCGCATTGCCCGCCTTTACTTAGAAGGCGTGGGCGACGTTCTTCGCCAGGGCGTCGACATCCTCACTTCCAGTATTTGCAAGTTTCTCGCATTATCTTTGGGATCGCACAAAAAGTGACTGATTCCGAGAGTCTCTCGCACTCATGAGGCGTCCCGTATTGGTGCGAGAGAGACAGAGCGACGAAAACGACTCTCGGAATCAGTATTCTGTCGAGGAAAAACGTGTCGAACCAAAGGACGGTCAAATTGGGCAAAGGACCGCCTAAAGACGCCGCCGTCTGCAAGCGACCTTTATCGTCGGACAACCCGAGGCGGACTTTACCTGAAGCTGCACCACTCGACCAAAAGCTTTACGGAAACATTGTTGTATGTAATAACTGCCCTGCCCGCAGATAAGTCGACTTGTATAAGATGTTTCTCCGGGCGTGCGCACCCTCACTGCCGTGGAGTGCTCGGACGGCGAGATTCAGCCCGGCCGCGCCATGCAGCAGATCCAGCAGGGACGAGTCCACCTCCCGCCGCTCGGGCCTCTCGTCGTCTCCAAGAAGGCCGTCGAGGAGGACACCCAGCTCGGCCGGGGGCTGCGGCTGTCCGCCGACAAGGTGAGCCAACTCCCGGGGGACGCACAGTGGACTCGCCAGAAGACCGATGGAGGCGGCCAAAACTCTAGACGCGTTTTGAGCTCCCAGAGTCGCTAAAGGGGGCTCGAATCGAACGTGTGACCCCACCGATGGATTCCTCGTTCGGAGAGCAATCCATTGGTGGGGTCACACGTTCGGTTCGAGCCCCATTTAGCGACTCTGGAGCTCAAAACGCTTCTGGAGTTTCGGCCGCCTCCACCCGTCTTCTGGCCCACTGTAGGGAAAAAGCCCCACTACGCCGCTATCGCTTGTTGTGTTTCTGGTTTCGCGGGTTTCGCGTCCCTCCTTCGGCTTGGTGCAATTCTTGTTTGTATTCGTCCCCCTGATGACGGGGGCCCGGCCGGGGGCCCGGACGACACCAGGAAAGCATGGAAGGGCGAGGGCGCGGCATCTCTTCATCTCTCTGCTGCAAGGGTGGTCGCTCTCTTCTCTGAGCTGGCGAGCGAAGGCGAAGATGGGTCTGAACATCGGAGGGTTTGCAGATCGGCCTGCCCTGTCTGACTGCCAAATTGCATCAGCTAACTTTTGCACTGCTGCTGACTATTTGGTGCCGCGAGCGATAGCCGAAGGGGTCCGCCACGGCGTGCAGAAGCAAGGCAAGAACGTTGTCTTCAAACCGGTAGAATGTTTTTTTTGGGGGGGGAGGGGGGAATTTCCTGCCGTTTTTTACAGTGAGGTGCAGGGCCAGGGCGTCGAAACGCTTCTGTGTGAGTCTTCTCGAGAACTGCGTGGGGCGAGTGCCGAGTGGCCGAATCTTGGATGACGTCAACGAGGCATTTAGCAACAACGGGTCCCCGCCCGCCCCGCCGAGCCACCAAGGCGCCAAGCCCAACGCCGGGCGGGGCGCCCTGTCCCGAAGTGACCTGCTCGGACTCAACCCCGGCCACCATATTCCTCCTAAGACCAAGGGCAGATCCGGAGACGGGTTAAAAAAGGGGGTGGGAGTGGGAAAAGTCGGCCACTCAGAGGGGTAACGTGTGACTTTTTGCCTACCCCCTCCGGAATCCAACCCTGGCTACAAGAGGGCGCCAGTGGATTCCTCGTGCGAAGGGCGATCTATTGGTACCATCATGTGTCCGATTCGAGTCCTATTGACGAATAGAGAGGAAGGGCAGGTGCGTCCGCCTGGTCTCGCTCTGTCTCTCTCGCACCCCAGCGGCACGCCCCACGGGTGCGAGAGAGACGGAGAACCGCTCGACCGACGCGCTGACGCTCTGTTCGACCTGGCGACAAACTGCTGGTAATTCGCAACAACAACAACAAAGGTTTCGATTCCGAATGAATCCGCCTCTCTCGCACTCGCGGGGTGTCGCGAGGCGGTGCGAGAGAGGCGGAGCGTCGCGCGCGGAATCGCTCGCCGCTGCCCGTGGCGCCACATGTGTTTGATGAAACAATACAGCACGGCCCGGCGAAGCCAGGCGAAGCCAGGCGAAGCCCGCAAGGACAAGGACGCTTGCCGAATTTGAAATGCACCTGCCTATCGGGGTACCCGTCAGCCCACCGCGGCCCACCGCGCATGCGCGCAGGCCGCCCGACCTGACCTAACCTGACCCACCCGCCCCAATAATAATACACCTCTCGCTCGAACGTTCCCAAGTGCAAACGACATTTGTTTTCGACCGGATTCGCGTTGGTTGCTGTTGTCATTCCCGTAAGGCGGGCCCCTTTTTTTTAGAGTGTACCAAACAGGTACTAAATCTTTATAGGGTGGCGCGACGCACGGACCCTGATCCCTCTTAGGATGGCGGATAACGCCGGTTCCGGTGTCGTTTGCCTCTCCACGCAAAAACGAGGATTTTGGGCGCCGGAATGAAAAATACGTAAATATTTGCGCAAGACGCAGTACACACTCCGAGTCATGCGGCTTGTTGTGTTCTGTGTTCCGCAGGTGGCGCGTGGCTTCGTGTTATTGCTCGGCTGTTTCGTTTTCGCGCCGTTTCGCGCGGGCTGCGCGGGCCCAGGCCGGGCGGTGCACAGTGGGCCAGAAGACCGGTGGAGGCGGCCGAAACTCCAGACGCGTTTTGAGCTCCAGAGTCGCTTAACAGGACTCGAACGGAACGTGTGACCCCGCCAATGGATTGCTCTCCGGACGAAGAATCCATTGGTGGGTTCACACGTTCGGTTCGAGTCCCATTTAGCCACTCTGGAGCTCAAAACGCGTCTAGAGTTTTGGCCGCCTGCGCCGGTCGTCCGGCCCACTCTGCGCCAGCGCACGTTTGGTCGAGTACATTCTTTGAGCGCGCCGCGCTATTTGTCTTCTTCTGTCGAAATTTACCGTTGAGGCTTTTCGATAGCTCTATCTGATCGGATTTCATGCGGCGGCGTGGTGGCTCGGCGCGCCTGCTTAGGGGAAAGGGGGGGGGGGAGAGCCTTGGCAATGGCTCTTTTGAAGTCGACAGGTCAGCGAGGCCCCATCAAAACAAGAGCAAAAAGAGACCGCCGCCAATGCGATCCAACGACGCGCGTTACAGCACGTTGTAAGGGCTTTCGTGTGACTTGGTCTGACTTGGGCCCGACATGTCCCGCTCTGTCTCTCTCGCACTCGAGGGCCTCTGCGCACGGGTGCGAGAGAGACGGATTGGGTCCGGCTAGAGCCGCCCAAATGAACACAACACACGCATGCGATGCACGCGGGGGCCGCGTGACGCTCTATCTCGATATCTCGAAGTGACGTCATGCCGCGGCGGCGCGGCGCGCACAGTGGAGTGGCGCGTCTGGAGTTCATCGGGGAATTTCGACACGGTGCCAAAATATCAGGCAAGCCGTCGCACAGTGGGCCAGAAGATCGGTGCAGCCGGACAAAACTCTAGACGCGTTTTGAGCTCCAGAGTCGCTAAATGGGACTCGAACCGAACGTGTGACCCCACCAATGGATTGCTCTCCAAACGAGCAATCCATTGGTGGGGTCACACGTTCGGTTCGAGTCCCATTTAGCGACTCTGGAGCTCAAAACGCGTCTAGAGTTTTGTCCGGCTGCACCGGTCTTCTGGCAAATCCACCGTGCGACGCTCGCGGCAGTTGTCTGCGGGGGAAGTTCTCGGCGCAGCGGCGCTTGTGGTTCCCGGAAAGGAAAACTATTCCCTGCGCGATCACCTGATTGGCGAAACGAGTTCAGAGGCAGGATGCAGTGGGTCGCTGCGACTGGATGCATTTCGCAGCGTAAACAATAACAGGAAAAGTAAAGCAACGATACCAATCAGCAACTTTGGCCCGTCCAGCATTTCCTTGAGGAAAAGTCAGATTACACGTGCGCGCACGTGTGGCACCATGTGCACTTGAAACTTGAAACTCAATGAAGCGGAGCCCTCCATTCAGGCAGTGTGGCGGCGTCCGGCCGAAAAGACCCTCTCCCCAATTTCAATGGCCAGTGGCTTTCGTCGCTCCGTCTCTCTCGCACCCCTCCGGTGCACAGTGGGCCAGAAGACCAAGGCGGCCGAAACTCTAGACGGGTTTTGAGCTCCAGAGTCGCTAAATGGGACTCGAACCGAACGTGTGACCCCACCAATGGATTCCTCGTCCGGAGAGCAATCCATTGGTGGGGTCACACGTTCGGTTCGAGTCCTGTTTAGCGACTCTGGAGCTCAAAACGCGTCTAGAGTTTTAGCCGCCTCCACCGATCTTCTGGCCCACTGTTCGGCGCGCCCCGCGAGTGCGAGAGAGACGGAGGCCGGTCAAAACAGTGTCACGCGTTTCCGCGGAGTGCGCCATGGCTGCGCGCTGCTGGCGTGGTCGGCGTGGTCGGCCCCGAAGGCCGAAACGGGGTTAGCCAGTAATGTAGTCATGGCTTGACTCGGCACGGTTCTATTGGCTTTCTTTCCGTCGTGATGGGTCGTCATGACACCGGGCCCTGCGCCCTGCGCCCTGCACGAGGACTCGCTCTGTCTCTCTCGCACTCACGGCGCGCTCCGTTGCGGCGCGAGATAGACAGAGCGACGAGGCCTGCCGTGGTCTGCCGGCAGACGTCACTGCTGGGGCGTCATCGCCGAGCCTACGCATGCACGCCGGCCACGCCGCACGCGCACCACCACGACGACACACCCCCAGCACCGCAGCGTCGCTCTCTCTCTCTCTCTCTCTCTCTCTCTCTCTCTCTCTCTCTCTCTCTCTCTCTCTCTCGCACTCGTGGGGCGTCCCGTAGGGCTGTGGGAGAGAGAGAGAGAGGAGAGAGAGAGAGAGAGAGAGAGAGAGAGAGAGAGAAAGAGAGAGAGCGACGTAGGGCGCTGGGCGCGCGCCAACCGAACCGGCCTCACCACTCGGGGCATTAGCCAAGTCTAATCGGTGCTGCAGCTCGACCACTGTAAGCCAGGCCACTGCATTCGGAATGCGCTTTGCCGCGAGCGAGAGAGAAAGATAGTCGACGTTTTTTGACTGCGCGGCGTGCGGCCCGTGGCTGTCGTCTGCCTGCCCAACGATTCACCAGCGATTCGTCTCTCTGTCTATCGCACAGTGGGCCGGTGGAGGCGACCAAAACTCAAGACGCGTTTTGAGCTGCAGAGTCGCTAATTGGGACTCGAACCGAACGTGTGACCCCACCAATGGATTGCTCTCCGAACGAGGAATCCATTGGTGGGTTCACACGTTCGGTTCGAGTCCCATTTAGCCACTCTGGAGCTCAAAACGCGTCTAGAGTTTTGGCCGCCTGCGCCGGTCGTCCGGCCCACTGTGCGCCGGCCGCTCCGTTCGGGTGCGAGAGAGACAGCCACAGACCGCTCTTTTGAATGGAGCCCTCGGCTGCACGGCGCTCGTCCGTTTTCTGTGCCATCCTATTTCCGGTTCCGCCGTTCCGTGCCACTTGCACCCTTATCTGTGCGCGGCCAGTACCAGCCGGCTGCCACCACTGCCACTTACGCCCTGCGGGCCTGCGGGCCTGCGGGCCTGCGGGCCTGCGCTACCCGACGGGCCGCGTGGAGGCGGGGACAAAAACGCTCGCGCCCCCGAGAGAAGGCAGTCAGACTAACCCTTGTGAGTACTTAACGTAGAGCCCGTCCAGTCTGCCGTGCCGCTGCCGCCTACACTGTGTTTATCTCGTAAACGGCGAGAGGGGGCGTCCGTCCAGTGACGTGATTCCTAATTGGCTGTAGGGGGCCAGCTGATAAGGGATTCCTCACATCGCCAATTTCGTCAACGCGGGGCTCGCCCTGCTCGCCGCCCGCCACGAGGCGTTCCCAGGCGTTCCGAGGCGTTCCCCGCCCCACCCCGCCCCGCCCCGCCCCGAGTGTCTCGCTGGCGCCCGCGCGTTACATCCGAGCCGTTCCGACGGGTCGCTCTGTCTCTCTCGCGCCCTTACGGGCCGCGCCGTGAGTGCGACAGAGACAGAGCGACGAAGCGGACTTTCGGAATGAGTGCGCAGGGTCGCCGCCGGGGCGATGCGGTGGCGGTGGCGGTGTCCGCGGCCCGGGGCATCACGTCGGGCATCAAGCCCCTCCTCTCCATCCTCCTCTCCTCTTCCTTCTTCCACATCCTCCTCCTCCTCCTCCCTTCCTTCTTCCTCCCACGCTTTCTGTCCGCCGCATCGCCTCATCGCATCGGCGGGAAGGGAAGGGAAGCTAGGGAACGACAACTACAACGTGTCAGACGTCCGCACACACTTGAGCCTTGCGCGCCCGAGCTTGAGCAGCCCGCCGAACAGAAGCGAAACGCCCCGCGAGTGCCCGCCGGTTCCGTCCTCGTTCGAACGCTCCGAACGCACCCAGCTCCACTTGGAGTACACAAGCACCCGTGCCGATTTCTTCGCGTGTCCCTGGTTGTTGTGTGACTTTTTCCTCGTAAACACTCGCCGCCGACATGAGGATTTAAAAGTTGCGGCTCTAGGGTTGAGTGATTTGGATTTGCCACCGTCCCCGGACCCGGACCGACGTCGTCGTCAACAACACATGTGTTTGCATCGACATGGTGCGCTCGACTGTTCGCCAGCTGGTTTTGCGACCTAAGGTAACGTCACTGCGGGGCTGGGTTTGCTCGATTTCTGGTGTACTGCCCCTGTGCTTCACGCCGGGGCTGTTACTTCAACATGTCATGTCGAGATTCCCCTGTTTATGACGAATTTGTCAAGAGGACCATAACCTTCACAACTGCTGCTGTACCCCTTGTGTCATGTTCTGAGAACCCTTCTTCCTTTCTCCATGTGGAGTTTGATTCTGCCGAGCCTGGTTGTTGATTTGACGTACGTGACGTGGTGCTTGACTATCAGCTGTGAGGGGAAACTTCCTCGTGCTCACTGTGTTGTTCTGGAGCGAAAAAATAGCTGACGACAACTGACTTGCTTTCTCTGCTCTAATGTTATGTGTTCAAAACTTTTAAGCAATTTTTATTTTTTACCAGTGTTTGTACATATATTATTTGTACAAGCACCAAATTTTCAAAAAGTGCTATATTTATTAAGCAGTGTGTAGGTGCCATTGCACCACCGATGCATTTTGATAAAACAATTTTAAATAAGTGTGAAAATTTGATCTGAGTTTTATTTAATTTTTGTAGTGTTGTGCAAGTATCTTTTGTGACCTTCATGTTCTCAATTCATTTTCATTTTTTAATTAAATAAAATTCCTCAAATTTAACGTGATTTGGAGAGCCAGTACTTGGTATTCTTTCATCTCAAGAGTGCTAAAAGATCTCGTGAGGTCAAGGCCAAAGCACCCCTTCAATCATGTTGAAATGCTAGACCCGTCCATTTGGTTGGCGTATATGTGGCGCAAGTCGTTTTTATCTCTCTTCAGTTTGAGAGACCGACCGGCTGATGCAATTACATACATTCTAGTTTCTTTCTTTTTTCCTCTTTCCTTGTATTCCATTTGAAGTTTATCAGTTGATCAATTGATATTGATGAACAGACAGAACATTCTTCTGTTTCTCATAAACTTGTTCCGTGTGTGTTAGAATTTTTCTGAATTATTGAATTTAATTTTTTTCTGTATTAGCCTGATTTTTTTTTTTTTGAACAGTCCAGTTAGCATATCATTTCAGCCTTGTATAAAGTTTGCCGATTTCTTGTATTTTGTTGTTTCAGTTTTTGGCCCATCAACTGCGTTGTTTACACACTGAAGATAAAAAATGGCAGTCCGTTGCAACTGCTGCGGCCACAGCTGCCACTCAGGGTGTCTGTGTCCCTGCACAAGAGAGCCTGCCATCCATGCACACGTTCAGGGTAAGCCTCCAGTCTCACACAAGTTTTGCTGCCTGTGGAAGGTCAAAGAATTCATCCTTGTTTACAATTTTAACACATGTGTTGGGGTTACTGATAAAATGCTGATGTCATGCAATGCGGACACATGCTGTTTCCTAAGGAGGGTGTCATTGCAACACAATTGTTTCTTCAGTCCCGAAGCTGATAAATGATAAACATGGTTTCTTTCTCCCTCTCCTTACGTTGTCACTGTATTTTGTATTTTTATAATCTGAAAACAATACTGTGACACTGAATGTACTGAGTACTGATTGGGAATGACATATTGTGTGATTTTAGTTACCTATAAAAGCTAGTAAAGCTGTAAATATTTGTAACTAAAAGTATAATAGGCTCATAGTTTGTAACTTCATTATGAAGTCTATTTGATGTGAGCAAAAATGTTGAGTATGGGAGATTTGTGTCGGTTTGTCTAAGAGATAACGAGGAGCAACATTCTTGCCTCATAATTGCCATACTTCAATTAAAAATAAAATAAAAACAGCAATACAGCTGTCTGATAAAGATTGTGCCGAGCTATTGTCATGGTGTTTTTCTGTTGAGAGTGCCAGAGGCATTCAATCAGATAAAATAAAACCTGAAGTTTTTTTTTCTTCATCCGCAACACATATGAATGAACAATCCAATCATGGAGTGTACATGTTAGTCATTCTTTTGTATTGTTTTTTTTTTTTTGTTATTTATTCAGTATTCGGATACCATAGTACGTTTGGCTGAGCCCCACCAACTACAACCCAAACCTGACGCTGCAGGGCTTCAGTTTGGAAAATTGTTTACTGACCATATGCTCAAGATAGAGTACCACAAACGACTTGGAGGGTGGCAAAAACCAGTGATCACTCCCTTTGAAAATCTTGTTCTCCATCCAGCTGCCAAAGTGCTACATTATGCTGTTGAGGTACAATAATTTTTTCTGAAGTCTCTTACTTTGTTTGTGGTGTTTCTATTTTTCCCTTTATTCTTTAAATTTTAATTGTTACCTTTTATTACAGTTGTTTGAAGGCATGAAAGCCTATCGTGGTGTTGATGGGAGGATACGAGTTTTCCGTCCAGAAATGAACATGGATCGAATGAATCGGTCTGCAGCCAGAGCTGGTCTACCAACATTCAGTGGACCGGAGTTGATAAAATGCCTGAGCCGCTTAGTTAGTATCGACCAGGAATGGGTGCCCCATTCAGAGTCTTCAAGCCTTTACATTCGTCCAACCTTCATCGGTATTGATGTGAGTAAAATAGAGAATGTGAGCACGTTGGCAGGTAGTGTGGGGAGGGGAGTTACCCTGTTCATCTGAACAATTTATTTCTCTGCCTCTCTTCTTTGTTCTTCTTCTCTTTCTCTTTCTTTCTCTCTCTCTCTCTCTCTCTCTCTCTCTCTCTCTCTCTCTCTCTCTCTCTCTCTCTCTCTCTCTCTCTCTCTCTCTGATTGTGGGAGGGACGGAAACCCATGTCCCCAGTGTGGTCATCACATGAATATGCAGCAGGAAGAGAAGCAAGTGACTCTGCCAAATTTAAACTAGTGGTTGATTTGAATCAAACCTGAAGTGAAATTTATTCAGTGGTGTGTTTCCTCTAGTGAAAAGTTTCCAAATTCACACCACCCTCTTAATTTGAATTTGTAAGCTAGCATACAAATTAATAGAGAAGTCAATTATGAATGTTTTATTCAGTTAGTGTCCCTTTTTTTGTGTTTTAATATTAGCATCGTTTGATGCTCCACCAGTTGGTATTTATCTCTTCCTGTTTGAAGACTGGCATGAGAGGAATTATCAGCAAAATGAGAGTGATAATAAGGGGTGATAACAAGTTCTGGAACATCAGCTGGTGGCTCAAATTGATATAGCTGTGGGGTGTGGCTCTGTGTATGTCAACAACTTGTCAACTTTTCTCTGCTCTTTTTCCAGCCTTCTTTGGGTATTGCATGCTCTGAGTCAGCTCTGCTCTACGCTATTCTGTCGCCTGTTGGGGCTTACTTTTCATCCGGCTTCCAACCTGTCACTTTGATGGCAGATCCAAAGTATACACGAGCATTCCCAGGTGGCTGTGGTGATCGCAAAATGGGCTCCAATTATGCCCCCACCATACATGTACAGGTATGTTTTCAATATTTGACCAATAGTATCTCCCATTGGTCTCTCGCAGTCTTTTCCAAATGTTTTCTATTTTTATAGCGAGAGGCCACTGAGAGAGGCTACCAACAAGTTTTGTGGCTCTATGGTGAAGATGAACAGCTGACTGAAGTTGGAACTATGAATATTTTCCTATTCTTTATCAATGATGACGGAGGTAAGCACATTCAACCGCATATCCATTTGTTATTAACTACTAAAAAAAATAAATTTGACCTTGTTTCTGTTTTTTAGAACGAGAGCTAGTCACACCAAATCTGGATGGCTTAATTTTGCCTGGAGTCACACGCCTGTCCATTCTAGAGCTGACACGTAGCTGGAATGAATTTAAGGTTTCTGAGCGAAAAATAACTATGGCTGAAGTGATAAAGCTGATGAACGAGAACAGAGTAAGTTGCATTTAACGATTTTGATCGCCATTTTTCACAGAATTTTAGACTGCTTTCCTAATTTGTATTTGGAACTTACAGCTGTTAGAAATGTTTGGTGCCGGCACGGCTTGCATTGTGAGCCCTGTAGCATCAATCCATTACAAGGATATAACAATCAACGTACCTACAGGTAGCCAAGAAAATCCACTGTACTACAGACTAGAACGAGCTCTGACCTCCATCCAGTACGGTCGCGTTCAGCATCCTTGGGCTGTGACAATTGACTAAGGAATGTTGCCCCTATTTGCTCATTTTTTCAAGAAAAAAAAAGAAGGAAAAAAGGCTACCTGTTTTCATTTAAAAGCAATGAGCAGCACTTTCAGGAATTAAAATGGCCTGCAGCCTTCCTTTCCAAGGAAATATAGGTCTTCTATTGAATATGTGAGAATTACTGCGAGAGTAAAAACCCTTTTTATTGCTGCGTATGTTATCTATTTTTAGTCATTTTGAAGTAGTACAAAACAGTAACGCAAGTGGTACAGTTGTTTTATTGTATGTCAAGGGCAATTGCTTTACTGTGTTGTCCAAAGTGTATGGTTAGGTATTTAAGGCTTAGTCAGAAGTGACATAAGAGATAAGTTTTTAGAAGATTTTTAAAAAGAAGCAAAACTGGCTGATTGTCCTTAAAACCTTAGGACCGCAGACAGATGTGTACTTAGTTAAGCTCACTGTTACTCATATTTTGTATAAATTCATTTCATTGTCTCATTAATTTATGTGAAAGCCCATTGAGTTGAGCTGTGCTCTGTCACTTTTTATTTATGTTGTAACTTATGTTTAGATTTTCCTTGTTGCCTAATTGTACAACGTTCAGGTTTTCCTATGATTTTATTTTTAAATTAAGTTATTATCTTTGTGTTGGTTGAAAATTGAGCCATTATTATCTTACTGTCTTGATAATGTAAATGCTTGCAAAAGCCCTGAATTCTCATTTTACTCTTGTGCTGTTCTGCTTACCCATTTTCTTCACAAAGTTTCTGTTAAAGCTCTTGAAATTTCTTGTAATGCCCACTCACTACTCATGAGGCTGAAAGACGGTAATGGTTCATAATTTTCAAAATTGTGACAGGAACATTTCTGTTTGACAAATCATTAAGATTTGACATGTGTGCCATGTATGATTTGCCTGTGCCTTACTGGTTTGTTGTCTCTGTGACCTTTGATAGTTTTCATTTAAGTTGGGAATGGAAGTAAATTTTATTGATTCATCTGTGATCTTCAACATAGGCTGTTTTGAAATTATGTTATCAATTGTAAAAAGAATGAAATTAGTTAACAAAAATCAAATGATACAACAGAAATAATGTTTGTTGTAACGATTTTGGGTCTGCTTCTTATGTGACATGTTTGTCATTGTCACATTTGAACTGGCAAAGTTTCGAGTTTCGACATATGTTAGCCTTTATGTATTGTAGATATGGAAATTGTGCTTATCCATGTGTGTCAGTATTTTTTCATAACATTAGGCTAGATCTTTTTTTGTTGTTGTTAAGATATCAATTGATAACTCAATTATTAAAAACATTTTGGCGCTTGTGCTATTTGACATGTTTTTGTTGTGAAAATGTATTTTTTCATCAGCTGTTTTGGTGTTGAACATGTGTATCTGATACCTTCGATGGACATGATCTAAAATTGAATGGAGAATAGTCTTACTTGATTGATATTTGATCTGATGGATGAGAAATGAAAGAACTTAAGTTGCATTAGACCACTTGTTGCTTTTTGTTATCTTTGTATGCGTTTCTATGGAAATTTGTGAAATTTTTATTTTTACTGACAGCATTTATGTGCGTTGAGAGAAAGAATGGAAATAACAGGAAGTGTACTACTGTTATGGTCTGAAGTATTTGTGACTACTGTGTGGCGAGTTGTTGAAATTCCTCAATAAAGCATGGTAAGTTAAACTTGTGTTTCATTTCTATACCTAAAAAAGTGAAGATTGCAGCACATTCATGGCGCACTCCAGGAGGCATGCTTCTGGGGAGCCAATGAGGTGTGGGGGCATCAATCAATTGAGGCTCACTAAAGATAGATATTATGTACAATTTTATTCAAAAATATACTACACAATATGCAAGCATCAGCAACAACACAGAAAATAGATATTCATATAGCATAAAAAGAAGAAAGCTAAGGATTGGATGAATCTTAAACCATGATTCGTAAAAATTTCATAATTTCAACATAATTAAATTATAATAACAGACAAAAAGTACAGAGGAGAAAATAACAATCATAAACATCTGTTTGTTTTTATTTTAAGGGATGAAAAAACCTGACCAGATTCCATGATGATGATGCATAGGGTAAAATATACCCACTTTCTCCAAATAGAGTAATGAAAAACAAAACAATAATATACACAACTTGGCACAATCAATTTATTCCTAGGTTTAAGGCACTGAAACCCTGACGGGTTTTTCAACATTAGCCAACCGGTGGCTGTTTAAGATAACCCATGACAAAAAAAAAAAAGTCACCAAATGCGGGAAAAAATGCAAACATAAAAGGGACGGGACAACCAAATTTTAACTCTTAGCCTTCATTTAGACTGTCTCACTGCATAAGAAAAATAGCCTCGAAATGGCAATAGATTTAGAGTTCACACACACACTCATCATGTGAAAAATACATTCAATAAATTAAGAAGTTCATTGAGATATGAATGACTTGCATAGAAACTGTTGAAGAACAAATCGGCAAGGACAAAATGTTCACAGTCCCAAGAAGACCTGACGGCCTATGACAAGGAATAAAATTAAATAGCAATGAGAAATGGAGATTGGATGGACAGTCCCCTCAGACATCCACCTTGAATGGTGAGCCAGGAATGTGCTCATCACCCCATTTAACCAACACAATATAATCTCCTCGTTCACGCACAACATAGTTCACTTGGTAATTGTTGCGTCCCATATGTTTAATGAAACACTCTTCGCATGGGCCCTTAGGACCATACATACCTACATAAAGGATATTGTTACCTGAAAAATAAATTCAACATTAGGATGGGTAGGTGCAAGATTTAAAATGTGAACGAACACGAACTTTTAATAACTCACCTGCATCTCCAGCATGGACAGTGAACTGGTTTTGCTTCTGAAGATACGCCTTCTTGAGGCCCATTCCTTTGCAAGTCACCTTTGATGCATCAGATTTGAAGTGTGGTAGTGTCGGACCTTGAACCCTGCTCTTTGAAACCTTATGAACAGTCTCCACCACTACTGAAGAAGATTCTTGCGCTCCTCGCTCAGCTAAGTCCTCACCTTTAGACAAATTAATTAAAAAATTAGATTAATAAAATTCTTCCCAACACCGTAAGGGATAAATCACAGAACACAGAGTACGTACCAGTGCAAGTAACTTTGAAGGGAGAGCCAACGATGTGATAGCTGTTGTACTTGACGCTAATGTAGTAGTCTCCCGGCACCAGCGGGGTGTACCGCACTTTGTAGCCCTCCTCCACCTCCGTGCAGTCCATGGACACCTTGGACGGCCCGTCGATGGTCACAGCCAGTGTACCGGCTCCAGCGGCACAGGTGTCAACGATGAAGTCCGTCTTGTGGCCTGCGGAGGGGGGACCGAGTGTGTCAGACGCACAGTGGACCAGAGGACCGGTGAGGATGGTCAAAGGTTGTCCAGAGGGCAGTGCAGTGGAGGGAGACTCACCGGTCTTGACCTCGCCCAGGCCGTTGCCCACGGCGTGCACGGCGGCGGGGTCGGCGTCCTCCTTGCCCACCTTGATGCGGAAGGGCGACCCGGGAATGTGCACGCCGTTGAACTTGGAGTGGATCGAGTTGACGCCGTTCTCGCGCGGCATGAAGCGCACGGAGTACGTGTCCTGGTCGATGAGCTGGATGAAGCAGTCGTCCTCGGAGCCGCCGGGGGACACGATCTGTCGAGAAGAAATGTCAGTCTCTGTCGCACTCACGGGGCGTTCCGTAGTGCAGTGGGCCAGAGGACCGGTGGAGGCGGACAAAACCCTAGACGCGTTTTGAGCTCCAGAGTCGCTAAATGGGACTCGAACCGAACGTGTGACCCCACCAATGGATTGCTCTCCGAACGAGGAGTCCATTGGTGGGGTCACACGCTCGGTTCGAGTCCTGCTTAGCGACTCTGCAGCTCAAAACGCGTCTAGAGTGTCGGCCGCCTCCACCGGCCTTCTGGCACACTGCGACACCCACCTTGGCGTCCAGCTCGCCCTTGGCGCCGTTCTTGTGCACCAGGAACTGGGCGGGCTTGTCCACCTGCACGTCCGTGGGGAACTGCGCCACCTCCAGCTTGTGCGCGTCGCCCATGGCCGGCGAGATGTACACCTTGTAGGGCGAGTCGGGGATGTGCTGGTCGTTGAACTTGATGCCCACGCGGTACTCGCCTGCCGACACACCGCAAAAAGGCATTCAATTTCGGGTGTCACCTCACCAATGGATTGCTCTCCGAACGAGGAATCCATTGGTGGGGTCACACGTTCGGTTCGAGTCCAGTTTAGCTACTCTGGAGCTCAAAGCGCGTCTGGAGTTCCGGCCGCCGCATGACCCACTGTGTTGCGGTTGCGGTGCCCCACCCCTTGGATGAGTAACCCGCTGCCGAAATGCGCCCCGTCTAGAGAGGTTGCATTCTGCTTCATTTTATTTTAAGCTCTTGTCTTCACTTCATTTCCCTCTAAATGTGTCATTTTTGTCGGCGCGACGGTGGCAACGGACTGCACTCCGTCCCCGCAGCCTCGCAGCCCAGCGGGCCTATTCCGAGCAGTGGTTCAACAACGCCGTCTCTCTCGCACCCGAGCGGGACGCCGGGACGGACGCCGGGACGCCTCGCGGGTGCGACAGAGACAGAGCGACCAAACGCCCAGGGAACAGGAATACCGCCGCCCACTCGTCGGGAGGTGGGGGGAAAAGGGGGTGTCCTTCTTGGCAGCCGCCCCGGGACAGCTCACCGTCTCACGAACCCACGGCCTCGCGGCACAGTCGCTCCCGCTGGGGCCCGAGGAGGAGGGGCCTCAAACAGAAGCGGAAAACAATGGAAGAGTGCGGGTCAGGTCTTCAGGTCGGGGTGAACGCCACCACACCAACACAAACGGTGAGAGGTGGCAGTGGGGGTTGAAGCGGCAGTGGGGGTAGAAGTGGCAGTGGGGGTTGAAGCGGCAGTGGGGGTAGAAGTGGCAGTGGGGGTAGAAGTGGCAGTGGGGGTAGAAGTGGTAGTAGGGGTTGAAGAAGTAGTAGGGGCTGAAGTGGCAGTGGGCGTAGCAATGGATATAGGGAGGGGGCAGGGACCACCGAAGAGGAGTGCAAATGCGGCTCGTTTAAGTTGGAGATGCAGTGGCGACAGGCCTGACGGACTGACGGGCACTCATCGCTAGCCACTACACTACGAAGGCATCGAGGGAGCGAGGGAAGCGCGTCGGCAGCCGTTCGTCACACTGCTAGTGGCGAGGAGGGCCTCTCACCGTCATCGCCGGCCGAGCCTTCGGGCCCCGGCCCCGGGTCTCCGGAGAGGTTGATTTGCTGACACACTTTGAACGTCTTGAACGGCAGTGTTTTGAACTCAGCCATGCTGCGCAATGCTGCGCGGGCGCCGCCGTCTACTGACAGCCCGCGCGAAACCGCGCCGCCGCGCCAGGGGCGGCCAGGGGCCGGGGTGGAGCGAGGGGAGGGGGTGGGGGAGGGGGCGGCTGCGCTGCGGTGGGGGGCGGTGACGCATAGCGCCAAACCTACACGTTTTGCCGTGTCGGAGGGGGCGCAAGGGAAGCCCCTCTCGAGAGGGACGTCTCTCTCTCGCACTCGTGGGTCGCACCGTACAGGACCGCACCAGACAGACCGACCGCTGCCTGCCCTGCCCCACGACACCAACCCAAAAAGCGCGCCGGTCTAATTATAGCGCCCCCAAGTGTGACCGGGCGACGTCACCCGGCGGCTGTGGCCGCCCAAGGCTCCGACGGCCACCTGTTTGACGGGGACCTCGACGCACGGCGCACTCACCTGGGTCGCCCACCCGGTAGCTGACGTAGCAGGAGCCGTCCTTGCGGTCCTTGAAGTCGATCTCGGCCTTGCTGGGGCCCTCCACGGAGATGGCGAGCGAGCCTGCGCCGGCCTCGCGGGTCCACACGTTGAACTCGGTGGGCTGGCCCGCCTCACCGCGCTCCAGGCCGGGGCCGCCGGCGTGGACGCGGTGCGCGCCGCCGTCCCGCAGCGGGCCCACCGTAAACTGGAAGGGCGAGCCGGGGATGTGCATCTCCTTGTAGCGCACCGACACCGTGTGCACGCCGAGCTCCTTGGGCACGAAGTGCACCGCGTACAGCCCGTCCTCCACCTCGTTGATCTCGGCGTCCTCCGTCACGCCGCCCGGGGACGTCACCGTCGACGACAAGTCCAGCGACGTCACTCCTGCAGCGCCACAAGCACCGTCACACCCAGTCCACGGTTGGAGGCGGTCGAAATCCCGGACGCGTTTTGAGCTCCAGAGTCGCTAAGCAGGACTCGAACCGAACGTCTGACCCCACCAATAGATTCCTCGTTCGAAGAGCAATCCATTGGTGGGGTCACACGTTCGGTTCGAGTCCCATTTAGCGACTCTGGAGCTCAAAACGCGTCTTGAGTATTGGCCGCCTCCACCGGTCTTCTGGCCCACTGTACAGCGGCCAAGTCTAACGCAACCTACCCGGCATCTTGAAGGTGAGCTTGCACTCGCTGCCGACCTCGGTGATGGGCACGGCCTCGCGCTGCCGCTGGATCTTCTCGCGCTGCCGGTTGCTGCCCTCGCCCTGCACCTTCACGGTGAAGGGGGAGCCCTCCACGTGGTGGTCGGCGAACTTGAGGTTCACGATGTAGTAGCCCGGCTCGGTGGGCTTGTACGAGATGTTGAGCGTGCCGTCCTCCTTGTCCTGGCACTGGATCTCCGCCTTGCTGGGGCCCTCGATGGAGAGGGACAGGCCGCCGTAGCCTGCAGTGCAAAGGGTGGGGTTAGTTCCGGTGGCACCTTTTGCACCTGTCGCACGGGCCCGCAGCACAGTGGGCCAGAAGACCGTGGAGGCGGCCAAAACTCCAGACGCGTTAGCTCCAGAGTCGCTGAGCAGGACTCGAACCGAACGTGTGACCCCACCAATGGATTGCTCTCCGATGGAGGAAACCATTGGTGAGGTCACACGCTTGGTTTGAGTCCCATACAGCGACGCCGGAGCTCAGAACGCGTCCGGGGTTTCGACCGACAGATGACGTACCGGCATTGCGCGTGTCCACGGTGAAGGTGTTGTCCACGTGGGTCTTGCCGTCCTTGAGCGCGTTGCCCGTCACCTTGACCTTCTTGGCGTCGCCCACCTCCTTGTCCGCCACGGTGATCTTAAAGGGCGAGTTGGTGATGTGCTTGCCCATGCGCTTCACGGACACCACGTGCTCGCCGACCTCTCGGGGCGTGAAGGAGATGCCTGCAGGAGAAAAGGGTCGTTAGTTTTGGTTTTATTTTGGCGACAGTATGAACTCTCTGGCACGGCGCCGCACAGTGGGCCCGAAGACCAGTGGAGGTGGTCAAAACTCTCAACGCGTTTTGAGCTCCAGAAGAGTCGCTAAATGGGACTCGAACCGAACGTGTGACCCCACCAATGGAATGCTCTCCGAACGAGGAATCCATTGGTGGAGTCACACGTTCGGTTCGAGCCCCATTTAGCGACTCTGGAGCTCAAAACGCGTCTAGAGTTTTGGCCGCCTTCACCGGTCTTTTGGCCCACTGTGCGCGGCGGTGAGGCGGCGCTCACCCAGGTTGTTGTTGGGCAGCTTCTTGAGGAAGCAGGGCTCCTCCAGGCCACTGGGCGCCTGGATGGACGCGTTGAGGGAGCGGATGTCCTGCTCGGACACCTTGCCGGGCAGGGACACCTCACTGCACGAGCCCACCGAGATCTGGTTGCGCTTGCGGCCCTCGCCCGTGATCTTGGCGTTGTAGGGGCTGCCCTTGATGTGCTTGTCGCCGAACTTGACGGTGATCTTGTACTCGCCGGGGGCGGTGGGCAGGTACGACACGGACACGGTGCCGTCCTTGTTGTCGTGGCAGCTGATCTCCGCCTTGCTGGGGCCCTCCACGGCCATGGACAGGCCGCCCGCGCCGGAGCCCTTGGTGGAGATGGTAAAGTTTCCCGGTTCGCCACACACGCCGTGCGTCAGGCCCGGCCCGTACGCCGTCACGTAGCCGCTGCTTAGCGAGTCCACGTGAAACTTGAAGGGGGACCCTGGATACAGAACATCATCAGTCCGAGTTCAAATACCACCTCCGACAATTTCTCATTTTTAGCGTGTGACCCCACCAATGGATTCCTCGTTCGGAGAGCAATCCATTGGTGGGGTCATACGTTCGGTTCGAGTCCCATTTAGCGACTCTGGAGCTCAAAATGCGTCCAGGACTCCGGCCTTACCCTGGACGTGCTCGCCGTTGTACTTGACGGCCAGCTCGTGCAGCCCCTCCTCGCGCGGCTCGTACTTGACGCACACCGTGCCATCGCGGTTGTCCTCGATGACGGGCTTGTCCACGTTGCCGCTCGGCATCTTCACCTCCGCTGCAAGCAGACCAAGAGACGCGCGATTAAGAACAGGAAACAAAACAAACTTTCAACACACTCTCTTTTAGCGTGTGAAGTTCTTCACACAGTGTACATACTCCGCGCGCGCGTGAGGAGCATAACTCACGGAGTATTGACGCATGCGCTTTGCAAGTGCCCCCACCCCTACCACTCCGCGCCAAAAAATACTCCCCCTTCCCCCACCACCCGGAAGCGTCAGCGCCACTTGCGCGAAAAATTCAACCCCCTGACGCCTTGCGGACGCCGCGGCCGGCAGAGACCAGACGCTTCTGGCTCGCGATGCCCGCGGCTAGCTCGCGGCCATCCTTCCTCATCACCATTAATTTCCCCGCGAGTGCCCCGCCCCGCCCCGCCAGTCACTCGCCCTCGTATTTCACCGCCGGCAAGCACCCCGTAAAGGTGCTCGACGGACCAATGAGTGTGCGGAAGCGGCATCGGTGCACTGTGAAACGGATTTAACGGGTGGATTTATGGGGATGGATATATATGAAGGTGGCTTTATGGGGTTGGATTTATGGGGGTGGATTGATTCATGGGGGTGGATTCATAGGGTAGATTCATAGGGTGGGTTTAATGGAGAATTCAGGGGTGGATTTAGGGGGTAGATTTAGGAGTTGAATTTAGCGGTTGAATTCAGGGGTGGGTTTAGGGGTAGGTTTAGGGGTGGCATTTGGTTGCGCTCGTGTACTAATAAGAAGGTAAAGTTTTGAGCACGTGTTCCGGTCTGTCTTTCTCCCACCCCTACGAGGCGCCAAGGGTGTGCGAGAGATAGACAGAGAAGTTCTGCTGGCCCACTGCGAGCGCGACTGCGAGGGGATGGAATGTTGGCGAGATAGTTAGCGGTCGCGGGACATGCGTCCACATTGCGCGCGTTCGTCGACATTCCGAACGGTCGCTCCGTCTCTCTCGCACTCGTGGGCCGAGCCGCATGCCGCGCAGCGGTGCGAGAGAGACAGAGCGAGCCGGCGCGCTGGGTCGGCGCCAGATGACACATCCCGCGGCCACACAGTGTGCCACACACGCTGCAGAGCCAAACCGCACTCCCAACAGCGGCACGCGCCGCCCTCGCTCTGTCTCTCTCGCACTCACGGGGCGCCCCGCCGGCCGCAACGAGTGCGAGAGAGACGAAACACGATGCAGCCAGGGGCGGAAACCCAAGTGAACGCCAGAGCGAAAACATTCGCCACACCCGGGGCATAACTCAACGTGTGATAAAACGCGGGGGTGAAGTGGCCGGACACGGCGGGACAGGTGCAAAGCGATTGGTACAGCCAATGAGGTATCATTGGCCGCTGGCACGCGGCCCGCTGTACCCGCAGCACAGTGGGCCAGAAGCCAGGTGGAGGCGGCCGAAACTCTAGGCGCGTGCAGAGCTCCAGAGTCGCTAAATGGTCCTCGAACCGAACGTGTGACCCCACCAATGGATTGCTCTCCGAACGAGGAATCCATTGGTGGGGTCACACGTCCGGTTCGAGTCCCATTTAGCGACTCTGGAGCTCGAAACGCGTCTAGAGTTTTGGCCGCCTCCTCCGGTCTTCTGGCCCACTGTGCTGCGGGCCCGTGCGACAGGTGCAAAAGGGGGAGGGAGGGGGCGCCCCGCACCAGAGTGCAGGTCAGGGCGGTTTGTGCGCAGACAGAACGATTACCCAACCAACACTGTCCAATTTGCGCACGTGTTACAGTGTACGCACGCATGTGCGCGTGCACACACACACACACACACACACACACACACACACACACACACACAAACACAGAGAGAGAGAAAGTCACAGTCACAGCGTAAGCGAGCGTTGGGACACCAGTTTGACACACCAGGTGAAGACTCGGGGTTGTGATGCCTGGCCGAGCGGCGCGCGTCCAAATACAAGAAATAGAATAAATAATAAAATAAATAAAAAGTGGAGACGGAAACGGGGGGTGACAGACGAAGCCTGGGCGACCAGCACGCCGACACGCGACAGGACAGGGGCTACAAATTAGCGGGCCGGCGAAGCGCCGCGCCCGAAATCCACACCGCTCGAAAATATGCGGCCAGGCGCCCCGCGTGCCAGCTGAGCGATTCCCGCGCCGCGTCGTTTTCGTCGCTCTGTCTCTCTCTCGCACCCGCACGGGACGCCCCGCGAGTGCGAGAGAGACAGAGCGACGAATGCAGTGACCGGTCCCGGCGTAAAAACCTGGTTATTGCTCGTTTCTATCGAAACCGGTTCATTTTAAGGAACCGGTTAACCTGTATAGACAGGCACCGGTTATTTCGGTAACCGTTTTTTTTTTTTTGTAGAAAACCATTAACCGCGCAGCCCTACCAGAGGGTCCCCAGGGAAAGCCGTGATGAGCAGGGGGGGGGGGGGGGGGGTGCAGTCCCGGCATGGCAGCCCCACTGCCAAGACCAACATGTTTCCGCCATCGGGCGATTCCCCACCCCTCCGCGTGTCTGGCGTGTCGCACTGGCGAGAGCCGTTTTCGCCGCTCCGTCTCTCTCGCACCTCCACGACACACCCCACGAGTGCGAGAGAGACGGAGCGACGACTCTCAGTCTGCAGGCCGGCAGGCTGGCACGGGGGTGGCAGGGCCCTGATGGAGGGCCGGTACAGGCTGGACGCCGCCTGCTGGCGGCACAGTCAACGCCAAAAGTCAATCGAAAAAAAAAATTAAAATGAAGTCCTTCCTTGTACAGATCGCACAGGCAAAAAAAATGTGTATCTGGCTGGAATGGACACACTTTGTCTCCAGACAGTGGAAGTGTCAAAATGAATTACGGTCCCAATGCTTTCGCCGCGAAATGGCACACCACCCGGCGAACCCTTGCCCCCAAGCTCGTAACCCTGACCACGCCGTTTAAACTTTACCGTTCTTCCTGATTTATCCCTGCGATTTGAACGCGGGTGCGTTTGAATTTTTGGCAGTGGAGCGGCGAGCACGGGGTGGTCCTTTGAGCCGCGAAGGCCCGGCCCATTAGCTCCCACCGGGCCGGGCAGCGGACTCATTCCGAGAGTCGTCGCGCTGACTCTCTCGCACCTACGCGTGACGCCCCGTGAGTGCGAGAGAGACAGAGCGACTCTCGGAGCCAGCCTGCCGCCACCAAAGACGGGCGCGGTGCGCGCCTGGCGGCACCAGGTGGACCGCGACCGTGGCGACCACGGAGACCACCTTCACGTCGACGTCGGTGACGGCCGCCGCGGTTCTCCCTCAAACTTGCCTATTTTTAATGAGGCCGGGCTGGACTCTTTGCCAAGACTTGCCCAGGGCCGACCGCGGCGCCGACGGCGACGGCGCGACGGGGCCTAGATGGCCAGATGGCGGGCGGTCACTCGTCGGCGAGGTTCGAACCAACCCGAACCAACCGCGCCGCCGCCACGGGGAAAAATCGTCCCGCGTCGCCGAGGAGGCCAAGCAGGCCGTGCGGCAGCCAAATTGATGGAAGCGACCCCGTGTGCATCCCACCCATCCGTCTCTGTCTCTCTCCCACCCCCACGGGCCGCGGGCCGGTCCACGAGTGCGAGAGAGACAGAGCGACGACACCAAACTTCGGGAATCGCCGAGCGGGCGCGCCAGGTATCGGCTGCGTTTCGAGCGAAAACGTTAAAACGATGTGTCCTCGCCCTCTCCCTCTCTCTCTCTCTGATGGCGGACCGCCCCGGCAGACGACGCAGCTATTTTTAAATTTACTTGCCCAGCGAAAATATGTCAAACAAATTCATTGACGCGCCCCTTTGGCATCGACACTGTCCCTGAGGGCGCGCGCAGCGAGGCGCAGCGAGGCGCAGCGCGGCCCAGGCTGCCCGGCAGTCTCTCTCGCACTCACGGGGCGGCCCGCAAGGGAGAGAGAGAGAGACAGAGCGTCGCCCGCAATTGATTCATCAGCCCATCGCGGCCGATTTGTCAAACATCACTTTGGCAGTGGCGCTGCCGGATTCCGACGCTGGCAGTGCAGGCTGCCAGGCCCAGCCAGCCGCGCCAATTATAAATTAAAGACGGATATTTAAAAAAGCGAAAGCGTTGCGGAGTCGCGCGGAGCGCAGCGCGTGGCGAGCGGTAAAAATAGCGAAGCGACATGGACCCTGCGGCCCGCCGCGTCGCGAGCCATCCGAGGAGCGAGCCTCGAATCGGCCTGTTCCGGGGCCAACTCAACTCACGCGACTCATTCGCCGCGCCCTCCGGAGGACGCACTTACAGTGGAGGGAAGCCCCTCATCTCATCCGGTTCACTACACTGCCGCCACGTCAATGAGAGCGAGTGCCGAAGCGTACTCGCCCACTTTATGAATGGCGGCGGGCCATTGAGTTGCTGGCGAGCGGCGCGGAGGGGCGACAGGCGGCCATTATTCTTGTGCCACAATAGTGGGGCCCCTCGGGGGGCGGGGCGGGGCGGGGCGCGGTGCCAACAGCGTGCCAGCGCAACAAGCACCCCATTGTCTCCGCAGCGACCCGGCCAGCGGCCCGCTGGAACAACACGGCCCATCGTAGGGGCGCACGCCACCGGAAAAACACAACAAAAGATTTATTTTCAAAATTTTTGAAAGATGAAAAAAATTGAACTGGAAAGGATGCACTGTTTTCGAACTCGGCCGCCACTGTCGGCACACTGCGGCCCACAGAGCAGGGACCGCCCTGCCGAGGACCGCGTCGACCCTTGCGCCGCCTACCCTTGCGCGTGTTGAAGTAGTACTGGGTGAGGAAGATGAGGCCCTCGAAGGCGTGGCCGAAGTTGTCCGGCGTCAGCAGCAGGCACTCCTTGGCGACGGTGGACGGCACGGAGCCGTAGTAGATGGCGCGCACCTCGCCGTCGACCTCGGAGATGGTGACGCTCTTGAGGGTGGCGCGGTAGAAGTCGCTCACGTCCAGCCAAGTCGCAGGGGGGGCTTCCTCCGGCTCAGCCCAGCGGTACATCGTTCGCCCACCTCGAGTCCCTCCCTCAGCGGCACCACCGGGCAAGCCACCGGGCACCACGCCGACCACAGCCGCGACAAACTAGCGTGCCGCCGAGAGCCACAGCCTGCGGAGCCTGCGGCACAGCCTCGCGCGCTGGACTGCGCCGCCCGCCGCCGCCCGGCCTCGGCGAACCCCCACCCCCGAACCCCCAGCGCGACCCCCACCCCCACCCCCACCCCCGGCCACGACCCTCCCTCATAAATACGCTTCCGTGCCGTCGACGCCACGCTCGGCGCCGCGCGGCACGTCCGGAAAACACGTAACACCCCCTCCCCCGTTTCGGACCGCTACACACCCCGCCCTGCCCCGTGCCGGCCATACGCAGATCGCAAATCAGAAATAGGCGCTTCTTGACCACCTTCACCTCGCCCGCCTCGGCCCGACAGGCCGACACGCCGCGCACCTGCCGCGGCGCCACCGAGACGGCCGAGACCCACGACGGCCACGACCCTGTCTCTCTCGCACTCATGGAGCGCCTCAAGACCGGTGGAGGCGGCCGAAACTCTAGACGCGTTTTGAGCTCCAGAGTCGCTAAATGGGACTCGAACCGGAAGCGTGACCCCACCAATGGATTCCTCGGGTCCCATTCAGAGACTCTGGAGCTCGAAACGCGTCCGGGGTTTCGGCCGCCTCCGCCGGTCTTCTGGCGAATCCGCTGTGGGCGACTCACCGTTGACGTGCCCGCCAGTGGAGGGCAAGGGGATCTTGGGGAACTGGACGCTGCGGTACTCCTGGTGCGTCCGGGTGGTGGTGGTGGTGGTGGTCCTGGTGACGCTGCTGCCTCGGCCCACGTGCTGGCTCTGCTGGCTCTGCTGGCTCTGCTGCGCCTGGTTCGCCGCGCGTTCCTGCTTCACGAAGTCGTCCTCGGGACTCGCCTGAAACAACAACAACGTCAACACCAAGACAACAATGTCATGCAACATCAATGCCATGCCAAACCATGTGGCAGAAAAATAAATCCCATTTCTCTTTTTGGTGCTAGCTATTGACGCGTTCTGAACTAACCACACTGCCGAAGGCCGAAGTAGAGTCGGCAGTAAACCAGAGTAAACCCGAGCCACCGCTTTTCCGGCCCGCCTCGCCTAGGCCAGCCTAGGCCTGCCCCAAACCAAATAGGAGGTTCCTTGTTGTTGTCGGCACTGGGCCGCGCAGTGCGCCGCACACAACTCGCAAACAAACAGGGAGACCAGACGGCCCAAATAAAAAAGACATAAGCGCGCGTTAAACTACCCCAAAGAGAAACTCGGAACAACAAGACGTGTGCAAGCGCAGATCCAGACTCCCCAGTGGGCCAGAAGACCGGTGGAGGCGGACAAAATCGCGGACGCGTTTTGAGCTCCAGAGTCGCTAAAGCAGGACTCGAACCGAACGTGTGACCCCACCAATGGACAGCTCTTCGACCGAGGAATCCATTGGTGGGGTCACACGTTCGGTTCGAGTCCTGTTCAGCGACTCTGGAGCTCGAAACGCCTCTAAAGTTTTGGCCGACAGCGCCCACTGTGCGGCTGGCCGGGAGAGAGCGCCTTACGAGCAGCAGGTAGGCAGCACGCTCAACGCGCGTGCCAGACGCGGCCTACCCAGCGAGGGGCTATTGTCTGGGACGCGGCCAGCACGGCCAGCGAGTGTGGTGGAGCTGGGAGCAGCGCGGCGAGGAACAGGTGGAGGACAGACGGACGGACAGACAGACAGACTGGGCGGGGGCGGAGAGAGCTACGGCCAGCCACGGCCTGGCAGCCAGACGCAAACAAACGGACTGCAGCAACAACTGCAGGCTCTAATCCTGAAGAGACACTCCCCCTCCTTTCTCTCTGTCGTGGGAGACACTGGCTCCATCCCCTGGCGCCAGCGCGGGGTATCGCCGCAGCGCGCCGGGCGAAAAATGACAGCGCGGTCTCGGGCAAGGGGTATCGCTGAAGCGCCACACAGTGGGCCAGAAGAGCGGCGCAGGCGGCCAAAACTCCAGACGCGTTTTGAGCTCCAGAGTCGCTAAACAGGACTCGAACCGAACGAGTGACCCCACCCATGGATTCCTCGTTCGGAGAGCAATCCATTGGTGGGGTCACATGATCGGTTCGAGGCCTGTTAAGCGACTCTGGAGCTCAAAACGCGTCCGGGACTTTGACCGCCTCCACCGGTCTTCTGGCCAACTGTGAGTCGGTCACCACGGCGACCATTGACTCGCGGTCCGTCGCGTCGCGTCTGGGCGCTTCGCGGCGTTCGCGGCCACCGGCACGACCACGACACAAATATTTATCGCCAGACTTATTTTTATAAAGGGGAAGGGGCGGCGGGGCGCATTCCGAACGGCACGCGGACCAACTAGCGAGTATTGGCTGATTTGCCGCCCACAGTGGAGTTGCCAGAAGACCGGCCGGCGCAGGCGGCCAAAACTCTGGACGCGTTTTCAGCTCCAGAGTCGCTAAAAAGGACTCGAACCGAACGTGTGACCCCACCAATGGATTGCTCTCCGAACGAGGAATCCATTGGTGGGGTCACACGTTTGGGTCGAGTCCTGCTTAGCGACTCTGGAGCTCAAAACGCGTCCAGAGTTTTGGCCGCCTGCGCCCGTCTTCTGGCCCACTGTGGAGCCCCTCAACACACGCTCACACAAACGCAGAGGGCGGCGAGTTTACACATTGGCCGGGCGCGCGAAGCGGACACTTAAGTGACCGGCTCGAGAAGCACCCTGGCGAGGGTCGGCACAAAATACCCGCCGTCTTTTGTTTGTGTCGAAACAGAAGAATGTCGTCTCTTAGTCGTGGCGTCCTCCCCCGCGGCCCGAAGCACCACACCGCAGCCAGCCGATCCCGAGACTCGTCGCTCTGTCTCTCTCGCACTCACGCGTTGCCGCGTGCGGGTGCGACAGAGACAGAGCGACGAAAACGACCACGGCAGCACGAGGGCACCGGGGCGCCCCCCGCTGGCACACCGCCAAACATTGCAAACGAGAAGCAACGCATCACGCAAGTCCGCTGGGTTTCTGTGGATTTCGTCTTCAAAATCAACAGCTTTTTTCCGACACTTTTTCTCAAACGCTTAAACAATGTGGAGTACCCGACATTCCTGCACCAGCGAATGGCTTTGAACGACGGTCACGCTAAGTGCACCTTAATGACGGCCAAGTTGCCAAGAAGCAAGAAACACAGCGTCGCTACACTGGTGCGGCCGAGCGTCGCCAACGTTTGATGAAACCCCAGCGGGCGGAGACAGGGAGAGGGAGGGAGAGGGAGAGAGGGAGAGAGAGCAAGAGAGAGCGCAAGAGAGAGAGAGGGAGCAAGAGAGAGAGAAAGAGAGAGAGAGAGAGCAAGAGAGAGCAAGAGAGAGCAAGAGAGAGAGAGAGAGCAAAAGAGAGCAAGAGAGAGAGAGCAAAAGAGAGAGCGAGAAAGAGAGAGCAGGCAGGGAGAGAGCAGCCCACCCTAGTGAAAAAAGCAGCGGCCACTGTCTCTCACAGTGGCCCGCCAGCCTGGGCGGGCCCTGGGCGGTGGCGCGGCGCAACTTTTGCAGAGTAGTTGCCGGGAAACGGCGCAAGCAAGCAAGCAAGCCGCGTCGCGAAGGCAGAAAAAGAGAGGGCCGCCCGAAATAACGTGGCCGGGCTGTCGCGCTGTCGCCGGCATCAAGAAGTGCGTGCGGGTGCCGCGGTGGCGCGCGGGGCGCGGCCGGGCCTGCACTGGGAGACCCGCACTTCGGGGAGGCACTCGCGGCACAGCAGTCACGAAGGTATCTTGGAGGAGTTCCAATTCCGAAGGGTCGTCGCGTTACTCTGGTGTCTCAGTCTTGGTCAGCCACACCCCCTGCGGCCCGGCGGCAGGCCCCGGGAGGGGCGACCCCTCACCGACGGTGCTAGGACGGTGCTACGCCGATGCTGCCTGCAGCGGATGCAGCGTGCGCGCCCGGCGCCCAGCCGAGCGAAGAGCTGCTGTCTCTCTCGCACCCCTAGGCCCTGCGGGACGCCCCGCGAGTGCGACAGAGACAGAGCGACGGAATCGGCCTGCGGGACACGTATCGGGTCGCCGCCATCGGGAGCCATAACTTGGGCGGTGGAGGGGGCGGCCTGGGGGCGGCTGGCCGACGTGGGCGGACGGGCGGACCTCACGCAGGTGCGTCTTGGGGGCGGCGGGGGCGGGGGGCGGCCCGGACGCGCCGATCGCATCCCGATAGCACTCACCTAGCACGGCCGGCAGGAGGGGGTCCTTGCTGAGGCACTCCTCGGGCTGGTCGCGGCACAACCGACACGGCACTCGCTACAGGCACACACAGACTGAGCACGGCCGAGGGCCTCGGCGCCGCCATGGGGCCAGGCAGCACGCGCCACGCCTCCCCCGCCCACGGGGCACCGCGGGGCCACTGGGGCCACTGTTCCGAGGGGGCGGCCGGGCGGGGCGGGGCGGGGCGGGGGGCGACAATGTGCACGACGGCGGGCCGACGGCCGCCCCAGAACAGAGGGCCGTTACCGCCTGCCCCCGCCACGCCAAAGCACCCCGCGCCCCGCCCTGACGGATTAATTCCGCCTTCTCGCTCATCATCTGGCCGCCGCCTCTCTACCAGCCCCGCCTCGCACCCAGGACAACGACGGCCACCTCTCTACCGGCCCCGCCTCGCACCCAGGACAACGACGGCCACCTCTCTACCAGCCCCGCCTCGCACCCAGGACAACGACGGCCACCTCTCTACCAGCCCCGCCTCGCACCCAGGACAACGACGGCCACCTCTCTAAGACAACGACGGCCACCTCTCTACCGGCCCCGCCTCGCACCCAGGACAACGACGGCCACCTCTCTACCAGCCCCGCCTCGCACCCAGGACAACGACGGCCACCTCTCTACCAGCCCCGCCTCGCACCCAGGACAACGACGGCCACCTCTCTACCAGCCCCGCCTCGCACCCAGGACAACGACGGCCACCTCTCTACCAGCCCCGCCTCGCACCCAGGACAACGACGGCCACCTCTCTACCAGCCCCGCCTCGCACCCAGGACAACGACGGCTACCTCTCTAAGACAACGACGGCCGCCTCTCTAGACGCGGTGGTCCTCATTCATCATTGCCACTCATCCAACTCCATGGCGCGCGAACCCTAACAGCCTGCATGTGCATGTCATTACCTTGCACACACTCACACACACACGCCGCGTGTAATCGCTTTAATCTTACCTGTCGCTCCCACTTTGCCGTCGCGTAGCGCGCGGCTAAAACGGAGTCAGTGCACCGAGATCCGTCGACTGATTCCGCTAAGCGTCTCTCTGTCTCTCTCGCAGCGGGCCGGCGCGGGTCGCGAGTGCGAGAGAGAGGCGCGGCGTGCCGGCCAAGCAGCGTCCCACCTGCAGCGTGCGCACACCCCCGGCAGGGTGGCCGCCTTGGTGGCCGCGCCGCCAAGCGAAGCAAGCGAAGCTCGGTGCTCTTTAAGTGCCATCTGTTTACAAACCGTTAACGCCGAGCCGCGCCCTGTGCCCTGTCTCTCCCGCACTCGTGGGGCATCCCGCAAGGGAGCGAGAGAGACAGCGCCGCGAGGTCGTTATGCAGAATCGTTGCGCCAGCCCAGCCAGCGACGCAGCAAACAGAGCTTGTCTCTCTCGCACGCATGGGAGACCCCTTGGGGGTGCGAGAGAGACGGAGTCAACCTTGAGGGTGCGGCACACCGGGGCAGCGGTCATCAAAGTGCGTTGTGAAACAAACACCCGCCTGTCTGTCTGTCTTCCCTGAAGACTCTCAATCAAACGCGCCGCAAAACGGCGACGCAGATCGCCGCGCCGCGCCACCCAAAGACCGCGAGCCCCTACACTGCAAGGCAAGGCCACTTCCGGCCCTGCACCCTGGAGCTCAAAACGCGTGTAGAGTTTTGGCCGCCTCCACCGGTCTTCTGGCCCACTGCGCGTCGCTGTGTCTCTCTCGCACTCATCTGCAGCTCGTCAAAGACCCGGCTCTCCCCGCGTGCGACGGCTAAATCGCCAGGTCGTCGTTTTTCGACGTCCGGCGCGACACTGTCGGACACTGTCCACCCCGCCCCGTCAAACCGCGTCCTGCTCGTGACGGCGACGGTCCATTTCTCATCGGCGAGGCCCTCTCCGTCTCTCTCGCACCCTGACGGGACGCCCCGTGAGTGCGACAGAGACAGAGCTGGCGGCGCCGTTGGCTGGCGCGGGTCGCAAGGAGTGAGTACTCACGTCGGCCACCTCGGAGGGGCGGCGGGCGTCCGCGTGCCGTGCCGTGCCCAACATCAGGGCCGTGCTCATGCTCACTCAGTCAGGCAGATCAGAACTCAGGCAGAACACGCATCGCAAAAACGGGAGCCGAGGATGTCGAAGACGACGGCGTCGACGTCGTCAAGGCCGCGACAACGGCATGCGGAAGGCCGCACAGTGGGCCAGAAGACCGGTGGAGGCGGCTAAAACTCCAGAAGCGTTTTGAGCTCTAGAGTCGCTAAATGGGACTCGAACCGAACGTGTGACCCCACCAATGGATCGCTCTCCGAACGAGTAATCCATTGATGGGGTCACACGTTCTGTTCGAGTCCTGACTAGCGACTCTGGAGCTCAAAACGCGTCTAGAGTTTTGACCGCCTCCACTGGTCTTCTGGCCCACTGTGAGTGAGTGCGACAGAGACAGAGCGCTGGCCGCGCGCCCGCCAGGTGAGTCCTCACCTCAGGCGGCCCGCTCGCGCCAGGCCAGGCTCGCCTCGCGCGCACGGCGCAGTCGTTTGGACAATTAGAGGCAGTGCTTGACTTATCTGCCGCCAGGTGCGCAGCCCGCAGGCCCCAGCCCGCGCCATCCGAAATAGAGTCGGCATGCGTGTGGGGCACACTGTGGGGCAGGCAGGCGCATTCCCGGTGCACTGTACACACAGTCCCGGACACACCAAAGTGCAGCAAGGTGCAGCAAGGCGCGTTCTCGGGGACGGTACGTACGTACAGTGCGCACGACCACGGCCCCCAGACAGCACCTGCGTTTAACTCTCTGGCTCGTCGTCGAACTGACCCCCTAGTAGTTTTCGCAGAAACACACATGGGCCCTTTAGCGACTCGTTGAACGTATCGGCGGTCAAAATCCCAGACGCATTTTGAGCTCCAGAGTCGCTAAATGGGACTCGAACCGAACGTGTGACCCCACCAATGGATTCCTCGTTCGGAGAGCAATCTATATTGGTGGGGTCACACGTTCGGTTCGAGGCCCATTTAGCGACTCTGGAGCTCAAAACGCGTCCAGAGCTTTGGCCGCCACCACCGGTGTTCTGACAAATCCACTGTGCACTGGTCGTCGCCCTACTCACCGTGAACGTGTAGAAGCCCCCGGGGACGGGCTGGCCGCCGAACTTGACGCTCAGGGTGTAGTCGCCAGCGTCCTTGACGGTGTAGTACACCGAGAAGGTGCCGTCGCCGTTGTCCTCAATGTCGATGTCCAGGTCACTGCGACACCAACCAAAAATTTTTATTTTCATTCAGAATTACAGCGCGCCAAATTTTGTTTACTTTTTAAAAGCGGCCACCGAGAAAAAATCTAAATTGTCCTTAATGTGGCCAAAATTCACTACAGCATCCTAGGATAATAGCCCATCCAATAAATAAGACCGCTTAACTTAATCACTGTAACCGAAACCCCTTCCTTAAAAAATTGCGTCCTGATCATTCTTTTGCACCCCTGACTCACCATCACAATGTAGCGTGGTGGTCCGCGGGGCGAGGGGAAGGAGGATGAGGGGGGGGGGGAGGAGCAAACAGGGGGACCCCCGTGCCAACCAGCTCATTCGCCATTAGAAAAACAACAGAGGGTAAGGGCCCCGGGTAGTCCGATTCCCACACTGTCTCTCTCGCACTCGCGGGGCGTCCCGCAGGGGTGCGAGAGAGACAGCGCGACGGCCCTGCGACTTACGCTGGCATGTGGCCTGCAAGTCAGGCCGGCCAACACAACAAATAAAAATCGCGCTCGAGGGGACAAGGACCGGCATGCACAGTGGATTTGCCAGAAGACCGGTGGAGGCGGACAAAACTCCAGACGCGCTTTGAGCTCCAGAGTCGCTGAACGGGACTCGAACCGAACGTGTGACCCCACCAATGGATTCCTCGTTCGGAGAGCCGTCCATTGGTGGGGTCACACGTTCGGTTCGAGTCCCATTTAGCGACTCTGGAGCTCAAAACGCGGCCGGCGTTTAGTCCGCCTCCACCTGTCTTCTGGCCCACTGCGAAAATCGGTCGCCACATTGCCAAAAAGAAAAAGTGGGTGGCATTTTTTTTAAACTTGAAAATGATGACATTTGCATCACAATTGGACGAAATTTTTAGTAGAGCTGCTAAAGTTACAGCAGTGGGTTTGAAATCCGCACACTGTTCGGCACGTCGAGTGCCACCCTCGCCAAGCCAGCGCACCGCCTTCTCGGCAACGCGCGGCCCGACACAACACGCGGCTAACGATATCAAGCAGGCGGTGGCTTCATTAGCAGCGTAGCAGCGTGACAGGTGCAGACAGAGGCGGCGGTGGCGCGACGCGCGGCGGGGACACTAACTCACTCATCGCTGTTTGACAAAAGCCCTCGCTGTACAACAACAAGTGCCTGCTGGTCGATGCCTTACAGTGGCGTCGCTCTGTCTCACTCGCACCTACGGGCCGTCCGGTGGAGGTGTGAGAGAGACAGAGCGGCGCGGCCAGACGAATCGCCCCGCTGTGCGACAACAAACGCCCTTACAGTGGCGTCGCTCTGTCTCACTCGCACCCACGGGCCGTCCGGTGGAGGTGCGAGAGAGACAGAGCGGCGCGGCCAGACGAATCGCGCCGCTGTGCGACAACAAACGCCCTTACAGTGGCGTCGCTCTGTCTCACTCGCACCCACGGGCCGTCCGGTGGAGGTGCGAGAGAGACAGAGCGGCGCGGCCAGACGAATCGCGCCGCTGTGCGACAACAAACGCCCTTACAGTGGCGTCGCTCTGTCTCACTCGCACCCACGGGCCGTCCGGTGGAGGTGCGAGAGAGACAGAGCGGCGCGGCCAGACGAATCGCGCCGCTGTGCGACAACAAACGCCCTTACAGTGGCGTCGCTCTGTCTCACTCGCACCTACGGGCCGTCCGGTGGAGGTGTGAGAGAGACAGAGCGGCGCGGCCAGACGAATCGCCCCGCTGTGCGACAACAAACGCCCTTACAGTGGCGTCGCTCTGTCTCACTCGCACCCACGGGCCGTCCGGTGGAGGTGCGAGAGAGACAGAGCGGCGCGGCCAGACGAATCGCGCCGCTGTGCGACAACTCCCTTCCGATTCGCAGAGAGGCACGAAGCACGCAGACCAGTGACAAAGCGTTGGCTCGTCGGCGGCTGATCCCCACAGAGCCGTCCGATCCGTCGTGAGGGTGCGAGAGAGACAGAGCGATGAAACACAGCGTGCAGCCGCCCCGCCGACGCCCCCGGACCATTTAAATTTACCGCCGTACCGAGCGGCACCCGCGTGACTATTGGGTAAGGCACGTCTGTCTCGTACACCCGCGGCACGCGCCGTGAGTGCGAGAGAGACAGAGCGACGGTCCGCGGCACGTGACGCCGGCAAAGAGAAAACACGTTATACAATCAGCGGCCAAATTAAAAACGTTTGAGATGGGCCGTGGTGAAGCGAAGGCCGCGCGGCGCCGCAAGGTGAGGGTGGCTTTCTGGCCGATCAGCGAGGCGTGGTGACCGTGAGGCTGTCTGTCCGCCCTCAAGGCCGGATCACAGTGGGCCAGAAGACCGGCGGACGCGGCCGAATATCTGGGCGCGTTGTGAGCTCCAGAGTCGCTGAATGGGGCTCGAACCGAACGTGTGACCAATGGATTGCTCGTTCGGAGAGGAATCCATTGGTGGGGTCACACGTTCGGTTCGAGTCCCGGGCCTGCCTGCCTGCTGGGCTGCAGTCGGCGGGGTTTACAAATGCAGCCAGCAGACGACGCCAACCTCACAGACTGGGTCACGCACAAACACGTACACATGCACGCGGCATTCCCACTGGGAAACCAGGCCAGGATCCTCTGCGCGACTCAATGCCCACCCCGAGAGAACCCTCGCTTCCTGAATGCACCCCAGCCTGCCCCGGCCTGCCCCCGGCCCGCCCCGGCCCCAGTGGCGGTGCCGTGACCCCCGCCGTCCCCGCCCTGGCCTCCGTGCCCTGCCCCACCCCCACCCCCGCTTTCCCCCAGCCTCGTGCTTGCCCGGCTGAGATATTTTGAGATCGCCACCAAGTCGCCGCATCAGCAGACCGATTCCGAGAGTCGTTTTCGTCGCTCTGTCTCTCTCGCACTCATCCAGCACGCCCTGCGAGTGCGGGAGAGACAGAGCGACGAAAGCGATCCTCTGAATCAGCCTGCTACCCCACAGCAGACCGAGCTACTCCGAGCGATCCGTGCCGTGTAGACGCCCCCGTCGCCGGCGTCACCCGCCCATCTGTCTGTCCGTCCGTCTCACGCAGACACGACGGCTGCGTCCAGGCCCACACGGGCGCACAGTGGGCCAGAAGACCGGTGGAGGCGGCCCAAACTCTAGACGCGTGCAGAGCTCCAGAGTCGCTAAATGGGACTCGAACCGAACGTGTGACCCCACCAATGGACGGCTCTCCGAACGAGGAATCCATTGGTGGGATCACACGTTCGGTTCGAGTCCTGTTTAGCGACTCTGGAGCTCTGCACGCGTCTAGGGTTTTGGCCGCCTCCACCGGTCTTCTGGCCCACTGTGGGGCGTGGGCAAACGCCCCGCCGGAACTGCGAACGGCATTCCGACCGCGTAATTCCGTCTCTCTCGCACCCTTGTCCGTGTCGGGTCGGGCCTCGCCACTACACTCGATGGCGCGCTAGCGTAAGGGGTGTCGCGGCGACAATTTGCGCCCCGCTGTTGCCACCTCCGCGGAGAGGCGGGCGGGCGGACAGCAAGCAGACAGACAGACAGACAGACAGACAGACAGACAGACAGACAGACAGGCAGACTCGCCCCGCTCGTTAAGACGCGCGCGGCGCACTTGCAACATTACAACGGTTGCACAAATCGCACCGCCCGGCCCATCCTGCGCGACGAACGGCTCAAACACACGGCCGCGCTTCGCTGTGCTTTGCCAGGATTGTCCGCCCTCCCCCCTCCCCTCTGCCAAGCGACCAGAACAGCAAAACAAAACAAAGTGGGGGAGGGGGAGGGGAGGTGTCATCGGCTTGACGCCCCCCGTCACGTCGTCAGCGTCGTCGCCACCTGCACTGTCAATCGGCGGCGAGGCGGCGACGGACGCCACACTGCTAATCAACACAATGCCGCCTCGTCACTGCCAGTCCGCCAGTGCCGTGCCAGCGACGTTAACGAGGGGGCGGCACACAGTGGGCCAGAAGACCGGTGGAGGCGGCCAAAACTCTAGACGCGTTTTGAGCTCCAGAGTCGCTAAATGGGACGAACCGAACGTGTGGCCCCACTTATGGATTCCTCGTTCGGAGAGCAATCCATTGGTGGGGTCACACGTTTGGGTTCCGAATCGGACGCTGGGGGCGTCCGGAAGGAGAGGCAGAACGGGGCCCAACGGGGCGCTAAAAATAAGGCGAGGGGAGGAGGGCGACGACGGGGATTAGGGGAAATTAGGGAGAAGAAATGGAGCGGGACGCCACGAAAAAAAAAGACAGCCGAAAAGCAAGGCACGGAGTACACGTTGGGTCAGAAGACCGGTGGAGGCGGCCAAAATCCCGGACGCGTTTTCAGCTCCAGAGTCGCTAAATGGGACTCGAACCGAACGTGTGACCCCACCAATGGATTGCTCTCCGTACGAGCAACGACCCACGTCGCGCCTACTCACCTCCCCGACGTGGAGCGGATGCGGCAGGTGACGGCGCCCAGGCCGGCGTTCTTGGCGTTGACGGTGATGCAGTACTCCTCGCCGCTGGCCAGGTTCTGCTGGATGCCCTCGGTGATCTTGCACTTGTCGGCCTGCGCGGGGAAGCACCGCCACGCGGCGGAAGTCAGCCAAGTCTCGCGTGATTTACACTCAGCACAGTGCACTCGTCGCTCTCTCTCTCGCACCTACACGGGACTCCCCACGAGTGCGAGAGAGACAGAGTCCGCGGTGCTGGCGGCTGCGCCGCCACTACTCACGTTGCCCGTGGCGAAGGCCTGCACGCTGATGGGGCAGTTGGGGACGTCCTTGCCGGCGTACTTGATGTTGATCTTGTAGCGGCCGCAGTCGTCCGGCGTGTACGTCACCTTGTAGGTGCCGTCGCCGTTGTCCACCACCTTCACCTTGCGCGGGTAGCCGTCCGGGCCCTGGGGGGAAGAAAGCACAGCGCGGGTTGGAGGACGCACGGCGATACCCCGCGCCGCAGTGGGCCAGAAGACCGGTGGAGGCGGCCAAAATTCTAGACGCGTTTTGAGCTCCAGAGTCACTAAATGGGACTCGAACCGAGCGTGTGACCCCACCAATGGATTCCTCGTTCGGAGAGCAATCCATTGGTGGGGTCACACGTTCGGTTCGAGTCCCATTTAGAGACTCTGGAGCTCAAAACGCGTCTGGAGTTTCACCCGGCAGTGCACTCACCAGAACCTGGACCTGCAGGTCCCCGGCGCCGGCCTGCCTGGCGTCGATGACGAAGTCGACGGGGATGGAGGCGGGCACGCCCTTGCTGGACACGCCGGGGCCGTCGACGCGCACGCGGTCGGGCTCGACGCGCGGCCGGACCTTCATCTGGAAGGGGCTGCCGCCGATCTCCTTGCCGTCCCACGTGATGCTGCCCAGCACCGTCGACCCCTCCGGCGGCGCCACGTACTTGACGTCGTAGGTGCCGTCGTGGTTGTCGCGGACTTCAGTCTTCTGCGGCAGCGGCCCTGCGGCGCAAACCATTTTATTCCCACCAAATGTTACGAACGCTTTCGCAAAAAAAAGGTCCCCGCCGGGAGTCGAACCCGCACCGCACCTTTGTCGCTCCGGATGTTGACGCCGAGCGGCGCCTTGGCCGACTTGCTGGCGTCCACCTTGATGTTGAGCGGCGCGCCCGCGCGGCACTGCGCCGGGTCCAGGCCGGGTCCGGACGCGGACACCTGGGACGGGCTCACCTGCCGGTCCACGGCCACCTGCACAGCGACACACGTCAGGTACACTGTAGAAGAGCCTCCAGGGAAGCCACACTGTTAAAAAGTCGCACGCACGTTGAAGGGGGAGCCGGGAATGTGCGCGTCGGCGAACTTGATGCTGACGTCGTAGTCGCCGGGCTCGGTGGGGATGTACTCGACGGAGCACGAGCCGTCGCGGTTGTCCTTGCAGGTCATCTTGGCCTCGGAGGGCCCCTCGATGGCCAGCCCCAGGCCGCCCTTGCCGGCGCCTGCAACACGCCGCAATCGTCAGCCCCATGGAACGGCCATGATGCATTCGCCCATTCCCGACCCAGATAACCGCCTGAAAGGTAGGCGGAAAAGCATACTTTTCCCCTGTCAGTAAGTCGAAAGTGGTACTCCCCCTCCCCTCCCACCACACGGCCTCTGGACCCGCCATCGGGCGCGGCGCTGCTGGAGCGAGCGCCTGTGGAACGGACGATGGGCCACCACGCGGGGCGGCCGAGCGTGGCGGGCGGGCCTACCCTGGACTTCACAGGCGCTTGGAGGCGTACTGCGGGCCTGCCTACCCGCCACTCCGCAGGCGCTCCACTGCTCCAGAGCCGCTGAACAGGACTCGAACCGAACGTGTGACCCCACCAACGGATTCCTCGTTCGGAGAGCAATCCATTGGTGGGGTCACACGTGCGGTTGGAGTCCCGGTTACCGACTCTGGAGCTCAAAACGCGTCCGGGCTTTCGGCCGCCTCCGCCGGGCTCCCGGCAGACTCACCCTTGGTCTCGACGGTGAACACGTTGGGCCGGTCCACGACGCCGCGCTCCAGGCCGGGGCCGAAGGCGCGGCAGCGCTTGGGGTCGCAGCCGCCGCGCACCGTCACCACGTACGGCGAGCCGGGCACGGGGATGCCGTCGTACAGGATGTCGATGGTGTGCCGGCCCTCCTCGAACGGCGTGTACGCGATGCGGTACGTGCCGTCGGGCTGCGCCGTCACCAGGTTCTCGGTGCGGCCCCCGGACGGGTTCGTGATGGTGCACGTCACGCGCCCGTCGTCCCGCTTGGCCAGCGCGCGCGTGTCCACCACGAAGTCCGTCGGCGAGTCCACGAACACGCCTGCAAACAGAGCAACATCAAGAAAATTTCACCTCGAAACCATTTATCGGAACGCTACGCAAACTTAATCGACACACAATAAGACACTAAATGGGGCGACCGCAGACGGTCGACACCCAACAAGCATGCACGTCTTTGGCGCATCCGCGGTGGCCAGGCGGTTAGAAGCTGAAAAAAAAAACCAAGCTCGGTTAAGAGAACACGGGGCAGAGATTGTGTGTTCCAGAGAAAGTCAGGTGAAAAGTGGAATCAGACAATTTTTCAGGTCTGTCTTGAATATTTAAACCGATGACCGTCGAATTTCAATTCAACCAGAATTATGGTCATTTTATTTGAAATGCATTTAGGTCTCCTTCATCTGGAGCGCTCTCTGGAACGCACGTCAGGGGAAGGGAAGGGTTGGGGGTGGGTCAGACATGCACTTGTTACGTGACAACGCGCTGAAAAATGAAAACGCACCCGTTACACAACACTCAAACAAGCAGTGGCTTAGGGTGAGGGGGGTGGAAGCGAGCAGGGCGCCACGCTACGCCTCGCAGTACCGTTGGGCAGGATGCCGGTGCCGGACACCTTGATGTTCTGCATCTTGTGCTGCTCCTGCTCGGAGCAGACGACGGCCTGGAACGGGGACCCGGGGATGTGCTGGTCGTTGAAGGTGATGTTGATGGAGTAGTCGCCGAGCTCGGTGGGCAGGTAGGCGACGGAGCAGGTGCCGTCGCCGTTGTCCCTGCAGTTGATGGCGGCCTCGCAGGGGCCCTCGACGGTGACGCCGAGGCCGCCCTGGCCGGCGCCGCGGGTGTCGATGACGAACTCGGCGGGCTTGTTGACGACGCCGCCCTGGAGGCCGGGGCCCGTGGCGCGGACGCGGCTCGCGTCGCTGCCGGCCAGGCAGGTGAAGCGGTGTGGCGGCGACACCGGCTCCCCGCCCAGCGTCACCGCCAGCAGGTACTCGCCCAGCTCGGTGGGCGTGAAGTTGACCAGGAAGCCCTCGTGCGTCGGCACCACGTGCGCCTTGATGCGGCTCCCCGACGGGCTGGTGATGGCCACGGCCAGGTCGGCCGGCCGCCCCACGCCGGGCGGCGTCAGCACGCGGAACTGCTGCAGGCTGTTGATGGGGGCGGCTAGGGGGCGCGGGGGAGGGGGCACACCGTCACCATTAACATCACCACCACCCGGGCTGGGGTCTTGGGGAGCGGACGTAGTGGCCCAGAACACAGGCGGCCAAAACTCCTGACGCGTTTTGAGCTCCAGAGTCGCTAAATGGGACTCGAACCGAGCGTGTAACCCCACTCTCCGAACGAGGAATCCATTGGTAGGGTCTCACGTCGGTTAGAGTCCCATTTAGCGACTCTGGAGCTCAAAACGCGTCTAGAGTTTTGGCCGCCTCCACCGGTCTTCTGGCCCACTGTGGGCGCGTCTCCGAGACCTCTGGCCCACGCACCAGAACGGAACATTGCGAGGTTAACAAGAACAGGGCAGTCGCCGGCAGTAGCTGCGCGCAAGAACCCGCGAGCCCAGACCCCAAGCTCCAGCTTAACCCCCGCCCCGCCGCCACTCGGTGTATACTCACTGGGCTCCAGGCCGTCGACGCGGACCTTGGACACGTCCACGTGGGGCTCCACGGCCACGCGGATGGGGCTCTGCGGCACCTGGTGGCCGCCGTACAGCACGGTCACGGTGTGGTTGCCGGGGCTGGGCGCAGTGTAGTCGACGCGGTAGGTGCCGTCCTCGTTGTCCAGCAGTGTGGCGGGCAGGTCCTGGCCCTTCTCGTTGCTCACCGCGATCTGCACCTCGCCTGCACACCGCCAAGTCGGGTAACGGCCAAGGAACGCTGCAGGCGGCCGAAACTCCAAACGCGTTTTGAGCTCCAGAGTCGCTAAGTGGTACTCGAACCGAACGTGTGACCCCACCAATGGATTGCTCTCCGAACCCATTTAGCGACTCTGGAGCTCAAAATGCGTCCAGAGTTTTGACCGCTTCCGGTCTTCCAGCCCACTGTGCGTTCGCGTGTCGCCTACCTTCCCCGGCGTCCCGGCAGTCGATGTTGAAGTGCGTGGGGGAGTTGGTCTTGACGCCCTTCTCCACGCCGGGGCCGAAAACCTGCACGGCGGCGGGGTTCAGGGGCTGCGCGGCGTACACCCGGTAGGGGCTGTTCTTGGTGGCCACGCCGCCGTAGTTGACCTGGAACGGCAAGCGGTAACGAGAGTGGTGAGACCGCGTCGCGCTGCGGACGGCGATACTCCGCGCGGTCGGGCCGCGGCTTCGCGGGGTATCGCCGCGGCGGGACCCAGGCGGGCTGCGCGCTCGGCGGACTCTAGGATGACCGGCCCACCTGCACTTGGTGCTTGCCGCCCAGCTTGGGCGTGTACTGGCAGGAGAAGGTGCCGTCCCGGTTGTCCCGGACGCCGACGTCAACGTTGCTGCCTCTGGAGTCGATCACCTGGCAACACACGGTCGTCAAAAAACCTCGTCTAAAAAGGTGGTGAAAGTGTTTGAACCCGGGACCGTACCTGCACGTCGAGCGGCGCGTTGCCAGCCTTGCGCGTGTCCACCGTGAAGTCGGCGGGCTTGCCCTTGTGGGTGCCGTCGCGCTCCACGCCCTTGCCCTGGCAGACGACGCGGTCCGGGAAGTAGTCGGTGTTGGGCAGCACGCGGGCCATGTGGGGCGAGCCGGGGATGTCTTCGTTGTCGCACAGGATGTGCACGGCGTACTCGCCGGGCGCCGTGGGGTAGTAGCGCACGTCGGCGGACCCGTCGCCGTTGTCGTGGCAGTCGATCTTGGCCTCCGACGGGCCCTCGATGCTGAAGCCCAGCGCGCCCGTCTCGCCGTTGGTGTCCACGGTGAAGAGCGCGGGGTAGCCGACGACGCCGCCCTTGAGGCCGGGCCCGTACGCCTTGATCTTGGTGTCGCGGTGCGGGCCGACGTTCACCTCGAAGGGCGAGCGCGGCACCTCCTGCCCCGCGTACGTCACCATCACAACATGACGGCCCTCCTTGCGCGGCGTGTACACCGCCTGGTACGTGCCGGCCGGGCTGCCCGGCTGCCCGTCCGCCCTGGACAGCCGCACCGGCTCGTTGACGCCGCCCGGCCCGATGACGCGCACCTCGGGCGTGCCCTCGCCCGCGCCCTCCGTGAAGATCTTGAAGTCGGCCGCGTCGCGGACGCGCACCCCGTTGGGCTGGATGCCTCTGCCCGCGCAGCGCACCTTGCGCGCGTCCGACACTGCAACAGGGAGGCAAGGTTCACAGTGGAGGCGGCCGAAGTCCCGGACGCGTGCAGAGCTCCAGAGTCGCTAAATGGGACTCGAACCGAACGTGTGACCCCACCAATGGATTCCCCGTTCGGAGAGCAATCCGTTGGTGGGGTCACACGCTCGGTTCGAGTCCCATTTAGCGACTCTGGAGCTTGGACTCACCCGGGGAGATCCTGACGCCGAACGGGCTGTTGGGGATGGGCTGGCCGGCGAAGAACACGTTGACGGAGTGCAGCCCCACGTTGGGCGCCACGTACTCGCAGCGCCACAGGTCCGGCGAGATCTGGCGGACGTTGACGGGGACGCTGTTCTTGTGGCCGGCAGGGTCCACCACGATCACCTCGGGGACGCCGCGGCCCGCGTCTGAAAGCACGACAACGTGACAGGGTGCTTGGCGTGTAGAGTTTCGTCCGCCTCCACCGGTCTTCTGGCCCACTGTGCGGTGGGCGCCACAAGCTGGCACAGCCGGCTGGCGGCGTGGAGTACCGCCGCGTGATGTCACGGCAATACCCCTCGCACGGCGGCCCCCTCCGTTCTCTCTCGCTCTGATGGCGATTTCCGCACGCGTGCGACAGAGACAGCGCGACGTAGGGGCGCCGGAAGTGTATTTCCTCAGGGGGGGGCAAACAATTTTAAATCCTACGTTCCTAATTACCCCCCTCCCCCACCAAAAAAGGTGCTTAAAAAGACCCTACTCTTTCATGCACCGCCTCGGGAAGGCTTTGACCGCTGATAGTTTAGGAGCAGTGGTCTCGCAAAAATGGTCAAAAAGTGAATGAATTTCAGAAATCATCGTTTTTGCTGACTTTGAGCGGTCACTGCATCCAATTTAGTTGCGGTCAAAGGCCTCCCTCGACGCCTTACTATTCTAAAGACCCTACTCTTTCATGCCCCGCCTCGGGAAGGCTTTGACCGCTGATAGTTTAGGAGCAGTGGTCTCGCAAAAATGGTCAAAAAGTGAATGAATTTCAGAAAATCACCGTTTTTGCTGACTTTGAACTGTCACTGCATCCAATTTAGTTGCGGTCAAAGGCCTCCCTCGACGCCTTACTATTCTTAAGACCCTACTCTTTCAGGCCCCGCCTCGGGAAGGCTTTGACCGCTGATAGTTTAGGAGCAGTGGTCTCGCAAAAATGGTCAAAAGTGAAAGAATTTCAAAAAATCATCGTTTTCGCTGACTTTGAGCGGTCACTGCATCCAATTTAGTTGCGGTCAAAGGCCTCCCTCGACGCCTTACTATCCTAAAGACCCTACTCTTTCATGCCCCGCCTCGGGAAGGCTTTGACCGCTGATAGTTGGAGCAGTGGTCTCGCAAAAATTGTCAAAAGTGATTGAATCCCCGCAAGTATGATTGTCATTTCATTGGATGATGTTGATTATTTCACTGGTTACCAACTAGACGCGCAATGATTATCTTGAGTCGGGTACCCCTTGGAATATGCTGTCCCATTTTTACCCCGTGTCCTATAATTGCTCCAACTGACCCTAGGCTCGATTTTCGCAGCTTCCCACCAAAGTCCAGGGGGGGCGATGCCCCCCCTGCCAAATTCCAGGGGGGGGGGGCAGCCTGCCCACCCTGCACCCCACTTCCGGCGCCCCTGGCGCGACGTACCTTTGGTGGAGATGTCGAAGTACGTCGGCCTGTTGACCATGTTGCCCTCGGGCTGCAGGCCGGGTCCCGAGGCCGTCACCTTGCTGGGGTCGCCGGCGTGGCCCTCCACCAGGACGGGGTAGGGCGACTTGGGGATCTCGCGCCCCGCGAAGCGGATGTACACCTTGTGGTTTCCCTCCGCCTTGGGCGAGTACGAGCAGCTGTACGTCAGGCTGCGGTCGTTGTTGAACCGGACCTCACACTGCCAAACAATCGAGTCAAATAGGCAGGTTAGTTCAGGTTAGGCCCGAGGGAGACAGGTTAGGTTCAAAGCCATTTTTGAAAGTTTTTTTTTTGCTGTTAACATTTGGCATTAACCGGAGTACTCACCGGAATGGGCTGGCCGTTGGGGCCCTCCACCGTCACCTCCACCTTGCCCTTGCCGGCCGAGAAGGTCTCCACGGTGAAGTTGGCGGGCGCGCCGACGACGGGGCCGGTGGGCTCGATCCCGGGGCCGTACGCGCGGACCCTACACGCAAGGAGGCAGCGGTCAGCTCAAGTCTGTCTGTCTCTGTCGCGCTCATTGGGCCAGACGCCGATTGGGTCCTCAGCTCGTGTGCTTTCGCTTCAAGTGCTTGCAGCTCAGTGTAAGTACTCCCGAGTGCGCACTTGAGTCCATCGAGTGCTTCGCGGTGCTTCCAGTGTGAATCACCCCCGCGGCCCACGCCGAGTGACACAGAGTGCGGGGGACCAGCCCGGCCAAGCAGGCCCAGCTGGGTGGCCAAGACGCCGTGTCGCCGCCCACGTGCTCCTTGGGGGAGGCCGCGCCTGGCCGCGCCAGACGTCACTCTCGCACTCGCGGGGCGGCCCCCAAGGGTGCGAGAGAGACAGCGCGAGGCGCGAGGCGCGAACCGGGGCGCGGTTGGCGGGAAGCGAGGGTGGCGCTTCTGACAGTGGCGAGGCAGCCAAGCAGTGGCTCTGGGTCGCGGCCAAAGGTGCACACTGTAATTGCCGATGTGTTCTTGGCACCGCCATTATTTTTAGAACAACGGGATATAAACATTGGCCCGCCCCCAGGCTCGCCCCGGCTTGCCCCAGGCCCTGCCGGGGAGTCCCCTTAAGAGGCAACGAGCCGCTCACGCCGGAAGTCCACCGGGGAAACAGTTTGCTTTCAAACTGTCATTCAACTCTGCCAGCTTTTCAGAAATGTACGTTTTTCTCGGAGCAAAATGCTAATTTTTAAAAATATTTTGAATTATTTTTTCCCTGTTTTTGGTCACTGGCAATATTTTTGACTCTTTGTTAATGCAGTAATAAGAGGTAGAAATATTAATCGATCTACAAAGCAAACACACCAGCATAGATTCTTAAAGCATATATTGAAAAACAAAAACAGCAATTATAAACACAGTTAAAAACAGCTAAATTGAGACTAGAGTACTAATACTGTATAGCAAAACAGACAAGATTAGTATCATCCAACTGACAAATAAAACTAGAGGGATGCACAAAAATTCTCGCTAAATCACAAGACGAGATCAAAGAAAAAGCTCCAGATCATGAACAAGTACGCGACCGTGACCACTGAACGCGCGCGCCGGTTACTGGTTAGCGGGCGAGTGTAGTGTCGGGGCCGCGCCCAAGGCTGGGCCACCGTCTGAATCGTCTTGGCCTCCGGGCTGGAAGGAACCCTAGAAAAGCAGAGGCAACAAGCGTCAAGGCTGACTGCAGCCACAAGTCAAAATGGCATCCTGCAACAACCCCTGTACAAGCACAACTAGCACAACAAAAGAGCGTTTTGAAATCGGCTGTATCGACCAATGAGGTGCCGGGATGCTGTTAAGCCAAAAATCAAGGCGAACACACGGATTATTCTGTTCATTCACTTCGACACACACGAGGAACTAACTCACCGAGGAGGTGGAATGCTGCAAGTACACGACAAAACACGTCAGTATCAGTTCGCACAACCAAAATGCCAAACCCGTTTTTCAAACGTGCGTCGGAAATCGCAGATATTTTTGGTCGCAAGGTTCTGTTAGGTGAAAGAGGAAGGGACAGCTCACCTGTTGGGGTTGGTGCGGGGCCGCAGCGGCGCACCGGGCTTGAGCTTGGCACTGGGGTACTGGGACAGGTACGTCATCATGGACATCTCGTCCATCTTGGGGTTCACCATCTCCTCGGGCGTGATGAGCTGCCGCACGTTGAGCCAGTCGTCAGCCAGCCCGATGGCCTCGGCGGCGTTCTGGATCGCGTCCTTGGGGTCCCAGTCCTGCCAGTCCGGACACAGGCCTGCCAACAGAGCGCCCATTTATGGCGGGAAGACCGTTTTGGCGGGAACTTGAAAAGTAGGGTTAGGTACGCACCTGGCGCCACGGCGTCCACCAGCGCGCCTACCGCCCGGCCGTCGTTCCAGTCCGACGTGAAGTTGGTGATGGGCAGGTCGGGGATCTTGCTCTGGATCCAGTGCAGCAAACTGCGGCAGAAAGCGATGCCTCGAGTCGCACGCCTCTACCAATTTTCACAAACTTGGCAATGCACTGCACTCACCGCTGCTTTGGCGTGGGCTGCTTGTCGCCCGGGGGGTAGTCGTCCTCGCCCTCCCACATGGGCAGGGAGATGGAGTAGTGCAGGATGAGCGTCCATATTAGGCCTAGGATCAACTTGAGCTTACAGTCTACGATGTCTGTGGAATCTGCAACGAGAGAAAAGGAAACTGTCAGAGCACGGTCAGGTTAGCCAACAGTCTGTGCGCGGAATCTGCGACCACAAAGAGCCGGGAAGGTGTTCTGAAACGTCGCGACAGGTTAAGTGGTTCTTCAAAACGGCGCAAACAAGGCTGATTGACAGAGCTGGATCAGCAGACGCGTGTTTACCGCCCCAGAGAGCACCGGGGCCGAGGGGCTCGCCGCCGCGAATAGCCGAGTGCGTCGCGCCGCCTTCCAGCCTTACAGCAAACTGAATCCGTGGCCCTGTCTCTCTCGCGCCCATGCGGGGCGCCCCATGAGTGCGACAGAGACGAAAGGAATGCGGAGCGGGCGCCGGCTCGGACCGTTCGGACGCCGCCCTCGAATAAACAATGGCGTCACCGAGGCCCAGTTCCAACAGAACGCAAAACGGTCGCAAAACGGAGCTATTTTCGGAGGGCTTTGTCAACGATCGCGGCGGCGCACACTCTGGGCGACGCGCAGTTTGGCGATGATCTACTTAAGGAAGGCCGCGCGAAGGTGCCGGATTCCGAGGTATCGTCCGTCTCTCTCGCACCCCTGCGCGACGCCCCACGAGTGCGAGAGAGACAGCGCGGGCGGCGGCCGGTCGCCTTGGCGCGCGCGGTAAGTCCTTATGTGGCCTGCCGAGCACCGCCGCCAACGGCCATCTGGAAGCCTGCTTTCGTTCACTTCGAGATCTCGACGGCATCTCGAAGCGATCCATCGCCGCCACGCCGCCCGTCAATTTTTTCCCCATTTATTTCTCGACACACGCGCGACGGGACGGACAACCCGCGGGGCAGCTATGCCCTTTTGCAGCCATATCGTGACGCAAAAATTACCCGAGTTTAGCGACAACGTGGGAGAAAGATGTGGAGGGACGGACGCCGTCGGCCTTGCCGGAAAAGGCGAGACAAGTGCAGCGGGGAAGGCGGCCACATCGCGGCGAGCGAGAGAGATAGAGCCCTTCCCAAGTCAAGTACCCGTTAGTCAGCAGGCGCGTCTACGCTAGGGCACAGGGCGCATAGGGCACGGCACCAAGACGCCCCGTGAGTGCGAGAGAAACAGAGCCGCCGTGCCTTCGCGCTGGCGCGGCACTGCAAGCGGTGCAAGCAGTGCTACCAACAGTGCTGGCCCTGCGCATTGTACGGCCAAACAACATGTGTTTCTCGCCCATGGACGAGTAGTCACAACGCACTGCGCCGCTGCGCCGCCGCGCGCACCGCCATGGCGCGCCATGCCCAAGCCGGGCTGCTGACGCGGGGAGGTGGGGGGGGGGGGGGGGGGGGACAGGCAGTCACTCGCACCACACCTCGCGCCAATGCCTCGCGCCCGCTTCGCCGTCTCAATCGCAGCCATTCATTCCGGGAAGATGACGCCACCGAAAACGCCGGCCGGACTCATGGCGCGACAGCAAACAGTGTCGCCACACATTCTTTTCGTTTTCCGGAGCAGTGCGACCCCATCAATGGATTCCTCGTTCGGAGAGTAGTCAGTCCATTGGTGGGGTCACACGTTCGGTTCGAGCCCTATTTAGCGACTCTGGAGCTCAAAACGCGTCTGGAGTTTCGGCCGCCTCCACTGGTCTTCTGGCAAATCCACTGTGCGGCGAGCGCCAAACAGTGGCTCAAGGCGGCGCTCAGACGAACGACAAAGCTCGAGCAAGCCGCTGCAACCGACAGAGTGACACCTGCACGCAGACGCCGTTACCATGGTAACCGAACGCCGGCCGGCCGGCCAGCCTCACACAGACTAGACGGGCCTCGGCGGCAGGCCCAGGGGCCCGCGCCCAGGGCACGCCGGCACGGTCAAGGCACCGAAGGCTCCGCGCCGAACCGGTTGAAAGCAGCACCTCTACCCTGCCGGCCAGTCGGCCAGCCCATTCCGAACGACATAACAGCGTTTCGTCGCCGTGTCTCGCACCCCTACGGCACGCCCCGCGAGTGCGACAGAGACAGAGCGACGCCACACCGTTAGTGTCCCGCCCAATTCGGCGCCGATACAGTGGAGGCGCGATCGCGAGGCTCACGCAGCACCCTACTGTGCACAAGGTGACCCCGGCCCGCCGCGGCTCGCCCCGGACCCAGGGCACCTCTGGGCACCTTCCTCTCCCTCTCTCTCCGGGACGCGGGAGCGGCGGGTGACCTCACGCCGGACTCATTTTTATCACCGGCCACAGTGGGCCAGAAGACCGGCGGAGGCGGCCAAAACTCCAGACACGCGCGTTTTGAGCTCCAGAGTCGCTAAATGGGACTCGAACCGAACGTGTGACCCCACCAATGGATTGCTCTCCGAACGAGGAATCCATTGGTGGGGTCAGGCGTTGGCTTCGATTGTCTACCCTGGCTTCGGGGTAACCTGGTCCGCCAACACCGGCAGCGCTCCAGTGGCCCCCCACGCCCACATGCACGCACCTAGACACACACACACGCGCACGTGCTGCGCCCTCATCCGCGAGGATCCCGTGGGAAAGGAGCGTGGCGCGGGGGAGTGGGGGGAAGAGAAAGGGGAGGGGGAGGGAGGCCGGCTCGCTACTTCAGTGGCCGCGCGGGCCGCGCTCCGGCCGGCTCGGTCCACTACTAGTCCGTCCGGAGGTCCGGTCCGGAGTCGAGCCGGCCGGCACCGGGCCGGCACAGCCAGGGCACAGCCAGGGCACAGCCAGGGCACAGCCGCCTCGCTCGCGCCACGCCGCCACGCGGTACGGTCCCTACGGCCTACGGTCCAGTAGCAGGACGGCACACCGGAAACGGGCGGCGCGGGAACGAACCGGAAGTACACCGCCAAAAAGGCGGGACAACCACCCGGACAATTGTTTCCTTATCCTGTCGCTTTCATTGTGGTTGATTTTTCCATTTTATTATTTTCTGGCAGTGCCTTTGGGTCGCGGCGGCGGGGCTCCGAGTTCAAGTTGGCGCCAATTTTGCAAGAGATGCGCGGACACACTGTCAAAGCACCGCCTTGTGTTGGACGCGTTGGTGGCGTTTCCGAGGCTCGTAAAAGGCCGTGGCATGCCGGACATGCTCCACTCCACCGCAAGGCGGCCAAGGCGGGAAGGCAGCGCGCACTCCACTGTAAACGCAATTACTAATTGCCGCAGCTCTTCATTAGCACCGCAATTTATCCGCTCCGCCATTTATTCTCATTACCTAGGTTTGGAATAGGAGGCGGAAGGGGAGTAGTTGGGGGAAGAAGTACAAAGAAGGAAGAGGAAAGAAGGAAAAAGAAAGGAAGGTGAAAGAAAGAAGGACCGAAAGGGCTGAATCCTTGTTGACATTTGATCGGGACCTCATGGCGTTATCACGAGAAGGGTCCTTCTCCCGCATCTATCAAGAAAAAACACAAATAAACCAACAGGTGTACACAACACTGTAGTACGCGGCGGGGCGTGACGTTATAAGGCTATTTAAAATACGCGCAATGAGTCATGCACCGTACCGACTAGGTACAGTCATATCGCTAAGGACTCGAGACTCGAACAACGCCGAAACACTTCAAACGAACACCCTTTGGAGCCAGGGGCAACCAACTCTGTGTACGTCTAATTGTTAATCAGTGAAATAATCAAACATAATCCGACATAATCACAATCATACTTTTGAAGATTCACTCCGTTTTTGACCAACTCTGTGAGGTTGCTGGTGCCAAAATCGATGAGGTCAGAGCCTTCCTGAGGCAAGGGCATGAAAGAGTAGAGTGTGGCGTGGAGGGAGGCCTTTGACGGCCACTAGATTGGACGCAGTGGCTGCCCAAAGTCAGCAAAAACAGCCAACTTCCCACAACTTTTTCACCTGACTTGAGACTGAGATAAGGCCTAGCCTGCGCTTTAAACGCGGTTCCTAATTTACGCACGCCCCCCGCAGACTGAAAGGCAAGTGCCCCCTCCCCCGCGGCACAGGAAGCAGCGCGGCGCACTTTGGGGGCTCCTTTGCTGCCAAAATTCGGACGTTTTCGGTAAAACCGTTAAGTACTCTCTTGGGCGCCCGTTTGCATACGGTGTGAAAAAGGGGGAGGGGGCGGCTAAAAATAGGGGCCCGCTGCGGTGGCGACCGTCGCGCTCTCTCTCTGTCGCACACACAACAGAAATGTCTCACTTCCACTTAGGAGACCCCACCACAAAAACAACGCACCCATCGAGAGTGCAATGCCAGGCCTGTCAAGAGTGGGGTCAGTCGTTCTCTTTGGTATCAGGTGATTAAAATAGTACAAATTTCAAAATTAGCCGTCCCTTGGCGAAGAGTCTGACCCTGGAATTTTTCAGTGCACTTCATATACTCTACATCGCGTCCACTGTAAGCAAGGGACGCCTGCAAGTTGACAGTGTATGTGACAAATCCCTGGAAAACAGACAACGACCCACTCGAAGAGGCGAATCCAACGCCCCGCCGCCACGCCACCCGAAAATCAAAAGACGATTTAAGCCCCGCGACGTGACGTCATCGGAATCCCGAAGGTCGGCCGCCGTGGCCCGCTTAGCCCAGCTGGCGCTGTACAGTGTAGGCGAGGCAGGCATTCCATTCAAGAGCGGCCGGGTTCGATGGTTCGAATCCCGCCGAGGCGCGATCCGTTTTTCGGATTCGGCGCGTCGGGGTGCCTTCGGGTGTCACCAACTGGCAGACAAACAAACCGTCCGGCTCGAGTCAGCCCGGTCGCCGCAATGTTGCAGCGTCGCTTGTCCGTCTCTCTCGCACTCAAGGGCGTTCCGAGCGGGTACGAGAGAGACGGTGAAATCAAGGGACAACGGACATCTGCAAACGGACATGAACCCTGTGACAAAGTGGCCACTGTCTTCCATTCTGCGAGCAGGCTCGCTCTCCGTCGCACTCATGGGGCGTCCGGTCGGGGTGGACAGTGGGCCAGAAGACCGGTGGAGGCGGCCAAAACTCGAGACGCGTTTTGAGCTCCAGAGTCGCTAAATGGGGCTCGAACCGAACGTGTGACTCCAACAATGGATTGCTCTCCGAACGAGGAATACAGTGGTGGGGTCACACGTTCGGTTCGAGTCCTAGCGATTCTGGAGCTCAAAACGCGTCTAGAATTTTGGCCGCCTGCGCCGGCCTTCTGGCCCACTGTGGGGTGTGAGAGAGAGAGTGACGCAACGAACTTCGGTACCGGCCGGCAGCGACACGGGGCGCGACGCACTGAGGGAGAGAGAGGGGGTTGGGGTTGGAAGTGGGACAGGGGCAGACGGTGGCCTATTTTGCAGCCAGAGACAATTCGTCTCACTCGTTGACGCGCCCCGGGCCCACCTCTCTGTCTCTCTCGCGCCCCACGCAACGCCCCGTGAGGGCGAGGGAGACCACTCCCAGTCCCTCGCAGTTACGGCACGCAGTGTTGACCACAGAGCACCGCGACGCGAGACGTGCATGCAGGTGGTGTAGTGCGGTGTGTTTTGCTACCTTCAGCCCTTCAGGGCGGCCTACCTTAAGAAGGGGTAACATCAACGTCCCCAGGAACATCCCCCCAGCCTGCGGCAACAACCCTCTGGTCCACAGAGCGTCACGGACGCAGCATCACAAGTCACGTGGGCTTCCCCCTCCCCGCCCCACTCCGGATCCGCACCTGCCGAGCGGACTGATGGAATGCCTGCCTATCCGACGCCAGACCGCCCAGCACATCGTGGACGGCCTCTCTAAAGAGACAAAGCGGAAAGGAAGGTGGACGGGGGACTCGCGAGTCCAATCCTTGACCTCCGCCGGCGGATTGACTCCGAGAGTCGTTTTTGATCGCTCGGCCGGTCTAGGGACGCCCATGAGTGCGAGAGGGACAGAGCGACGAAAACGACTCAGTCTGCTGTAACTGGCCATGCCATGATCGAAGCAATCTCCGTCTCCCTCCCTCCCCCGCGGATGGATGATGGGTGCAGAGAAAGCGCCACTCACTGCCAGTCCATTGACGGCCATGACGGCCGCGTGGGTGGAGGGGGCAGGGTCACGTGAGCGCCGGCCCTTATTTTAGGACAGCCATGCTCCACTTTATAAGCTCGCTACTTGGCCGGAGGCGCCGCGCCGCACGCCGCACGCGTCGGCCACAGTGTGGGCCAGAAGGCCGGTGGAGGCGGCCAAAACTCTAGACGCGTTTTGATCTCCAGAGTCGCTAAATGGGACTCGAACCGAACGTGTGACCCCACCAATGGATTGCTCTCCGAACGAGGAATCCATTGGTGGGGTCACACGCTCGGTTCGAGTCCCATTTAGCGACTCGGGAGCTCAAAACGCGTAGGCGCGCGCAATTTTTCATACGGCGCGCTCCCAGCCCGCCGGCCACGCCCACGCCATTCCCGCCATTCCGACTTTTGGCGGCAAACACGTCGTCGCGGCGCGCGGCTCGCCGAGAGTGCGGCCAGCGCGACTCAGACTGCTCCGTCTCTCTCGCACCCACACGCCGCGCCCCGTGAGCGCGAGAGAGACAGACACAGCGACTCGGAATCAGTGTGGTGATAACGAGCGGAACTAAGCAAGCGGCGGGGCGTGGCACCGCCCGCACCGCCGGCACACTGTTTATTACGTGCGCGCGATTTTTCATAGCCGGTTTCGCGCGGGAAGCATTTTGCCCAGAGGGAATGCCGGCCGGCGCAGCGGGGCGCGTCGGAGGAGGGGAGGGGAGGGGAGGGAGGGGGAGGGGGGGGGAGGTGCGGCAGCGTGGCGGCCATGGCCGTGGTGCGCGGTGCACTAGCGCCCCGCTGGAGGCAGTGCAGCACAGCAGACTGATTCCGAGAGTCGTCGCTCTCTCTCGCTCTCACGGGGCGCCCCGTCCAGGTGCGACAGAGACCGCGACTGCAGTTACACAGTGCAGACGCACCGGCGGCCGGCATACCGCACACGCACAGTGTGCGCACACAGCCGCAGCGACCGCAGCACGACGGCGGCGGCGGTCGAACAGTGGCTCTGTCTCTCTCGCACCCCTGCCGCGCCCCGCGAGTGCGAGAGAGACAGAGCCACTGTTCGGAATCAGCACGAGCACGCGTGTCAACAACTCGCTTGCGTTTCGACTCGAGTCCCGCAGGAGGGCTCCGACGGGCTGTCCGCAGCACAGTGGGCCAGAAGACCGGTGGAGGCGGCCAAAGTTCTAGACGTGTTTTGAGCCCCAGAGTCGCTAAGCAGGCCTCGAACCGAACATGTGACCCCACCAATGGATTGCTCCCCGAACGAGGAATCCATTGGTGGGGTCACACGCTCGGTTCGAGGCCTGTTTAGCGACTCTGGAGCTCAAAACGCGACTGGAGTTTTGGCCGCCCCCGCCGGTCTTCTGGCCCACTGTGCGCAGGCCTCAGCCGCCTGATTCGCTCTGTCTCTGTCGCACTCGCGGGGCGTGCCGCAGGGGAGCGAGAGAGACAGAGCGCGGGGCGAATCAGGCGGCGCGCAGCTTAGCTTAGTCCTCGGGGAGATCTCGAGTCAAGAGCACAGGGCGCTATCTAGAGGGCGCCATGCCAACCAGATTAAAGACAGAGAGCTTTTGCTGTCGAAATGAAGGTCCAGCCGACAGTGCGCACCCTTGTCCCATGCGATCGCACCGCCGATCTCGAAACGCACTGCACTGCACTCGCAAGTGCACTTGCATTCCCTGGCAACCATTGTATCCGGCCTCACTTTTCTGCAGACCTCGCTCCGTCTCCGTCGCTCTTGCGCGGTGTCGCGTGGGTGTGCGAGAGAGAGAGAGAGCGATCCCCCGCCTGTTTGCACGCCGCTATCTTTTTGCAATACACACCTCGCCTCCATTTGGCCGGCGAAAGGCGCGAAGATTAGCGCGCTCTGTCGCCCTGCCGTCGGGCCGTCGGGAGCGAGAGAGACAGAGCGACGGAGCGACGGCACTGCGGAATCGCTTGGCAGCGGACCGCGGGCAACACACAATCTGCGAGTGTCACTTCACTTGGGGCACACTCGGCCAACAGTCCAGGCGTGTTGTCTCCATCCGCGTGAGTGTGCGTGTGTGCAGTGATAAGGCTGGGCGGCTGGGCGTTCCCTTTCCTTCTTCACCTGGAAACCAAACCGGCGCGCGCGGGGCGCGACGCGACGGTGCCGCAGCGGCAACGGATTGTGAGCCCTCCCCCCCCCCTTCCCGCCCCGCCCGCCCCGCCCCTTCGCCCGACCGGCACCGCCGGCACCTCGGCGCTGACGTCACCAAGGGCCTAACTGTCAGAGCGCCGCGCGCCGTGCTGGCCGCTGCCTTTGCCGTCGGCTGGCGGGCTGGCGGGCTGGCTGGGGCTGGCTGGCGGGCGAGCCGGGCTGCCGGTTCGGTTCACGGTGTGCCGGCATGCCGTGGTGCCGGCAAGGCAGCCGGCCGGCATGCCCAGGGCAGCCCAGGCCACCGAGGCATGCCTTGCTCGGAGTCAATCAGCGCGGGGGGCGGGGACCGCGGGGACGCGTCCACGTATGCTGCGCGCGGCGCGCGGCGTGCGGCACACTGCGCGTTTTGTTTTCGATAAGACTGTCAGTCCGCCGGCGGTCCTACACTGCCTCCGAGCTGTGTCTCTCGCACTCGCGGCCCTCGGCGGACTCCCGCGCACGGCACTCACCGATGTTGACGATGCGGATGCCCTCGCCGCGCTCCAGGAACTGCAGCGCCACCGAGACGTTCTCCAGCTTCTGGCTGCGGAAGGTGGGCCGCTTGTTGTACTTGGGCAGCTTCTTGCCCGACAGCACCTCGATGAGCGTGATGAGGCGCAGCCCGTCCGACAGGTCCGTCTCCAGGTTGCCGATGTGCTTGCTCACCGTCTTGAGGTGCTCGTTGGCCCAGCGCGTGAACGTGTTTTGCTGGATGCGCTTCCACTGGGCGTCTTCCGCCAAATCCCGCTCGGCCGCTGCCATCTCCTCGGAGTCCTGGTCGGTACTGCCCGAGCCGGCTGCGGCTGCCAGTGTGCCTCCGGCCGACTCCGGCCCCGGCTGGCCGCCCGGCGGGCCCATGTCGCCCGCGCCGGCCGCACCGGCGGCAACCACGCTCATGGCGCTACCCCAACGCCCGGCCCGCGCTGGAACTAAAAGTCTCTGGCGCGGCGGGTACCGCCAGCACCGCCAGCACCGCCAGGTACCGGCTGGACCCGGGCCCGGGCCTCAGCTGGGCCTCAGCGCGGAGTATCGCCGGAGGGAAGTTCCACCGGCGCGGCGCGGAATCTCGCCGACGCCGTCACTGTCACCACACTGCACTTTCACTGCCGCGTAATCCAGTAATCCGGTAATCCAGTGGCGTGGACGCGTCGTTGGGAGTGTTCGACGCGGTGGACGCGCTTGACGTGTCGGGGTCGCGGCTCGGCGGCGAGTGTTGCCACGACGCTGCGCTACGCTGCGCTGGGGCGCTGGGGCTGCGCTGCGCGTGCGACGGCGGGGAGCTGACTGGCAGCCTGGCTGCCTTGCTTGACTCATGCAGGCGACGCCGCCTGCTCCGCCTGCTCCCTGCCCTGCTACCCGACCGGGCCGAGGAGTACACGCCGCGGCCGCGTCCGAAACCGCCTCGGCCCTCTCTGTGCGGGGCTCGCCACTTGGCCAAGGGCAGTGCCGCCCGTGGCACACGAGTGGCACACTGCTGCGTCGCGCCGTCTCTCTCGCGCCGCCACGCGCCGCGCCGCGCGTGCGAGGGAGACAGCGGCGGAGACGGCGACCATGTCGGCGGGGAGGATCCGCGCGCCGCAGCGCCGCGGCCGGGAATAGCGAGACGCCGCCGCGGGTCGGCCGCCCCTCCGGGCTGCGTCCGGAAGCGGCCCCGGCCGTCGTCCGTCTCTCTCGCACCCGGCGGGCGGGGCGGGGCCGGGCAGCCAGCCGAGGCAGCGCCCCGGACGCAGCCCCCGGCCGTCGTCCGTCTCTCTCGCACCCGCGGGCGGGGCGGGGCCGGCAGCCAGCCGAGCAGCGCCCCGGACGCAGCCCCTGGCCGTGGCTCCGAAAATAGCAGCGTCTTTGTCGTGTGTCGTCGGCACCGTCGTCGTCCGTCGCCGCGGCGGCGCCGCAAAAGGAAACGATTCTGCCGGGACACGTGTGCACACCTGTCGCTCCTCGGCCCGCGGCGGCGCACCGTGCCTCTCTCTCTCTCTCTCTCTCTCTCTCTCTCTCTCTCTCTCTCTCTCTCTCTCTCTCTCTCTCTCTCTCTCTCTCTCTCTCACTCACACACACACACACCACGAAATGGCATCGATATGAACGCGCGCAGAGCGACTCTGACGAGACGAATTTCGCGCAAAACCGAAGAGTCAGAGGAAGTGCGAGCCCGTGGGTGTGCGGCCAGGGCACCGCAGGACTCACAAGAGCCTCTCCCTCAACGAACCCACTGGGAAACCACCTGGCGAGCGAACAGCTGTCAGTTGACGGCATTTAGGTCAAATGGGTCAAATGTAGTCGAACACAAAAATGGGTCATTGGACATAACTATTTGAATGAAAAACGCTGATGAAAAATTGACGCTCTCTTGAAGTTTATCAACGTTAGTTGCGAGAAGCGCTTGAGCGGGCATGAGTCTCTCTGGATCCAGCCGCCGCTCCAGCTAGTCCAGCAATGACATCAGGCTCCGTCACGGACACAAATAAGGCTTCTGGAATCCCTAGTCCGCTAGGCCATGGCTAGGCCATGGCTAGGCCCGCTTCATCCGGTACGTGACACTTGTAGTGATGGTGGTGTGGTCTGTATCGGAAATCTACATAAACACTCGCGCTGTATGCTCGGGGAGGGCCGGCCTCGCATTGACTGAAAACAAAAGGGGCAAAGTGAAAACACGTACACGTCATACGAAACTTACCTCCACAGTGGCAGTTGAATGAATTTTTCTGAAAAGAAACCCCGTCGACTCTGGAGCGCCGTGGGAAGTTTTGCCCACTTGTGTGGCGACACTGATGGTTCATTCATGGCGCGACCGGGCGCGACTTGGACAGGGACAGACCGGCCGGCTGCCTACCTGGCGGGCGCCTTTCTTGGTCACGGCACTGCTGACCCACTGCACGCTAAGCCGGCTGGCCTCCCCGCCTCCCCGTCGCTGGATCAGGATGCGCGCTCGCCGGCCAAAGGGGCGGGGGAAGGACGAAAACTTGGCCTAACCTAACCTCCACTTCCCTTCTGCTTGGCGCGCGTTGCGGTGGGTCTCCGAGAGGCCCTCGGCTCCTCCAGGGTGGGGTGGGGTGGGGTAGGGCGAGGCCCATGGGCACACCATGGCTTGCGCGACCATACAAGGCAATGTCTGACTCGCCACGAATCGGATCCGGACCTTTGCGACTGGCGCCGTGTCTGTCGCGTCGTCGCTCTGTCTCTGTCGCACACATGGGGCGCCCCGGGAGAGTGCGAGAGAGACAGAGCGACGTGGCGATTTCCAAGAGTCAGGAAGTTGAGTACGTAAGCCCGTACGTTGAGCCCTAAGACCTGGGCGGTGACAACGAGGGAAGCCCCAAAGAAGCCCATTGGACTGCAACGCTCGCTGCCAGGAGCAGTGTTGCAGCAAAAATTATCAAAATGCACCGATGGTGAAGAGGCTGTCCACCTCAGCTAGAGTGTGGAGGCAATGTCGGGCAATGTGTGCGCCGTGCTTTCGGAAGGTTGCCTAGTGGGCACGCTGAGGTTGGCAACCCTGCGGACTTTGGTGAGCCGGGGGAATTTACGCCGATCTAAGTGGCAGCACTGGGAGGAGTGCCGTGGTGGCCGTTGGGTTGCCTACCCTCCCGGCGGCCTCCTGAACATCACCGTATCACTGAATCCTAGTAGAAGCGAGCGTCGCGTGAGGCCGCACCTCTCCTCCTCTCCGGTCTTTAGTCATTGCTCTCGCCGAGTCGCGTTTTCGTGGAGTGCGGCGATTCCACGGAAAATCGACTGTCACGTTTCCCCTCGTACGCTGTGCCCGCCGTGCCCGGTGAGGCATTCTGGAACCTTTTCATTCTCAACCAGCCTCGCGCTTTGCGCAGTTTGCTAGGTATTTTAGCTTTCGGACCTTTTTTGGCTCTCCTGGAGACTGGTTTGCGGCGCTCTGTCTCTCTCGCACCCGTACGCCACGGCCCGCGAGTGCGAGAGAGACAGAGCGACGGAAACTGCTCTCGGACTCACTCCTTCACGTTTCCCGAAAGGAAGCCGTTTCGACTTGCATCCGGGCTCTCCCCGCGTCGCGTCACCACGCCACTGCCACTACACTCGCTCCGCCCCGCCCCGCCCCGCCCCGCCCCGCCCACGCATTCCTGGCCACGTGCATCATCGGTGCAGCAGCCAAGCCAGCAGCCGCCAGAGAGGACGCTCCTCTTGTTCTTCTTCCCGGGACCGAGACCGCGCAGGGGGAGGGTAGGCCGCCCGCTCGGCAGGGAGGACTAGTGCTAGTGAAAACAAAGATGTCAACTGCACCACCCAAACATTGACGCGGTGCTTCGCAGCTTCGCAGTGCTTTGACGATGCGGCCCTGGCGCGCGCGGACGGAGTGCTGAGGGACGGAGGCAGGGACGGACTCGTGCTGCAGGCCGCGGAGGACGCCGCCAAGGCCGACCCAGGCCGTCGGACAGGGACAGGGGCGGACATGCGAGGTGGAGCCGCAGCCGGCAGCAGGGACGCCATAGGAGGCGCCATGGGCATGGGCCGAGCCTTCTTCGCCAGGGTGCACATCGCGTTCGTGGGCTGCATCCTGCTCTCGCTGGGGGTCAACTCCCTCGTCATTTCGGCAGGTAAGCCCCCCGGGCGTCGACGGCCACCTCCGCGGTCGCGGGGGACGCCCCTGGGCGGCGGCGCAGCGGCCGGCGGAAGCGGCCGAGAGGTTAGCGGTCGGCCGTCGGGGCTCCTTTCTGCTGGCCGTTGAATGGGAATGGAAAAGGTCCGGCCTCGCTCGCGCGGCCCGCAACGACGCAGCGTTTAACGCGCTCGTCGCCAAGCCCTCAGGCGTCGGCCGATCACCCGCCCCGGCCTGTGGACCCACTGGCAACTTGTTTTTATTTACATCCTCCCTCCCAGCAGACTACATTTTTTTGACAGCCAGGATGCATTATCTGTGCCCTCTGCGCTGTTGCGAACAAGCCTTTCAGCAATAGTTCTGGTGGCAAATCCGTTCTTGTAAAGTGGCGAATTTTGTTCATTTCCTTGGGTGAACGGTTTCAATGACAACATTGATGATGGACCGTTCTACAGGTTACGAGTCCTCTGCAGGAAACATTTACGCATTTCCAAGTCTCTGCTTATGTGCAGCATTGGTGCAGAGATTTGATACTGATTGTATTTCCCTTATCAATTTTATGATCACAGATGTACATAGCACGGAGTTGAATTATAGGACTTGAGCTCTATTCCGGCATACGTACAATCTTTATTTTTTTCAATTTAACATATTATTATTTGTGTTCGAAACTTCTGACACTATGACACATTTTTCTCACAATTCCTTTTTCCGTTCTTTACAGAAGTAAGCCCTCCTGAAATTTTAGATGTGACTGTCCCCAAAAATGCAGTTGTGTGTGACAATGCAACATTGATATGTCAAGTTCGTCCAGCATCAGCAAGAGTGTGGTGGTTTTCTGGAGGGAAGAATTATACAGAATCAGATTCCAGGTAACATTTCATCTGAATATTCTGAAAATTAATGTGGACAGCTCTTCGGTTGACATTTCTCCCATGTTTCTAACATGATTCATTCTGTTCTGCACATAGGATTACTGTAGAAACTGTTACTGATGAAAATGGTGAAACTATCAATGCGACGTTGCATTTCTCATGTGTACAAGTGGCTGATATTGCCAATTACACCTGTTTTGCTGTGGTACCTTCTGAAGGTGAAACTCCTGCCTCAAGCAAGACAGTTCTCCTAGATGTCGGCGGTAAGTGTCCATTCATTTTAAAGTCTCTATTTGATTTCCTTCATGGTGAACTTGCGAACAGCAAGCATAATTTAAAAACGTTGTTTTCATAACTTTCAGTCCCTGCGGAAATAGTTTCCACAAAAGTTGGGCGTGCTAAAGTCAGCTCAGAAGAAACTCTGTCATGTTCCATTCGAGGTCATCCACTAGGGCCTATAATCTGGCAGAAAGGCAACGATACCCAATCTCCAGAAGAGTTAAAGTAATGAATTGCTTTATTTTTATTCTCTGCTTTTTATGTAAGAAGTGATCTAATTGTTTTTTTTTTTCCAGCCCGTTGGTTGAAACTAAATTTCTCAATGATTCATATGCTGAAACTACCCTGAAAGTTCGAGATTTAGTACGCAAAGACAATGGCACCTACTATTGCAAAGCACAAGGACCTTCTGGTGAAGCAGTTGCTCCTGTACCCCTTTATGTCCTTGGTATGGATTCCAAAACTTGATTCTAGTTAGTGTTTTTGTCTGTGATTGATTTTTATGCAATAATTAATTGTGCTCCTTCCCACAGACACTCCTCTTGTTAACATTGATTTCATCAAGGCAGTGGGTGCCACTAGAATATTCCTGAATTGGACTGTGAGTGATGGCAATGAACCAGTCCAGCAATATTTCATGCAGGTAACTGTTTGTTAGTCCTAATACTTAGTTGTGAGACTTAATTTTCCATATTTGTAAGGTAAACTGAAACCTGGGCTTTACAGCATATGCAAAATGGCACTGGTTCCTGGACTCACTACAACGAGTATGTTGGAGGCGGGAATACAAGCCATGTTATGAGTAACTTGGAACCTAATTCGTCCTACAAGTTGCGTCTCTCTGCTAAGAATGCTATTGGTACTGGAAATGTGTTTGAGCTTCCCAACTGGGTTACAACTCTGGGCTCAGGCATGTATAAATTGCAATACAGTTAACTGTCAGTTGTTAGAGTGAGACAATTTGCATTAATGGCATAATTTTTATTACAGATCCAGTCTTTATACCTGAAGTGTCTGTGAAAGGAGCAACTCCGGACTCTATATCCATTGGTTGGACTTTGGCACCAATGGCTGTACGAGAACATATTCACTACTACACATTGGTTTTAAGCAACAACAAGACTCGAAGGGAAGCTATTCACCCCGCCAATAGCTACATGAGTGTTTTTATGTTCACTGACTTGGAGCCAGCTACTCTATATCACTTCAAAGTAGCGGCATGTAGTGAATTCACAAAAGAATGTAACAGCTGGTCAAAACCTGTGGATGGAACAACTATGGATGGATGTAAGTATCAACTTGTTGCGGATTCAACAGAATTTACATTATTTTCTTTACAAAGTACAGACAGTTTTGAGAAAAGAATGTTTTCAAGCTAACACTGTGTTTTTCAGTGGCGAGTCCCCCAGAAAATGTGACTGTCACTTGCAAGTTTGACAATGTGAGCTATGCCAGCTTTGTCATGGTGAGCTGGGCGCCTCCTCTGCACCCAAATGGGCACATAATGCACTACAATGTAAGATTATTGAACTTAAAGTGTCATACAACTCTTCCTGCATTTTATATGTTTATTAATTGTTGTTCCCCATGCAGGTCCATTTGATTGGAGAAGCCAAATTCTTAAATGAAAAAGGCTCTTCAGAAATAATGACTTGGGGGCCCAAAGTGAAGACTATTGATTCAAACATGCATTCGGCGAGATTTGATGTGGTTCCTCCTAATACCAACTACACTGTATGTTTTATTACTGTCTTTTTTGTGTTTTCTTTTCTTGATGGTAGTTTTTTTAACTGTTCTATCTCCTTTACCAAATATTTCAGGTGAGCGTGTCAGGGGTTACTAGATCGCGAGGTGGAGGTGGAGAAGCTACTCGCCACTGTATGACACCCCCAACTATACCAGAAAAAGAGAAATTCTCTCGTATTAACTGGGGCAAATTTGAGGAGCATGGTCGATGGATGTTCAAACTGTACCTCCCTCGTATATCGGAGAGAAATGGACCTATTTGTTGTTACAGGTGAATTTTAAAAAAATTATCTAATTTTTCCTCCATTTTTTGTTGCCTGTGCAGTAATCATGTGTTTTGGTGGTTTCAGGGTGTTTGTTGTGAAGCTTCCACCTCAACGAAGTATTTCAGATCTTCCCCCACCTGAAGATTTCCCTATATCCACGTATCAAGAAGTGCAGAGGAGTGCAGACGGAGGAGCGTATGTTGCAGAAATGTTCGAAAGGTATGTTTGGAATATCTACTTGAAAATGTAAATTTCTCTCTGTTGATGCACATCTAACCTGTGGTTCTTGCAGCCTGCCCGCGAGTAGCGATGTTATTGTGGGAGATGGTCGCATGGTGGAGACCAATGCCAGCGGAGCTTGCCAGAGGTGCATGGGCCTGCGGAGACGCATCCTGCCAAGGCCTCCCACCACTCCCAAACCTCTGTCTGGTGATTCTGAAACCTTACCTCCTCCTGCGTACATACCATCGCTTATGTCCACCACTGAGGAACCCCCAGCTGCTGAGGTATGACCTGTTGGCAAAGATCCCTATCAATTTTTCTCTGATCCCAAGCAATTCATTGTCAAAGGGGACTACTTCTGTCACTGGCATGGCTAAAGTTATTTCTCTTGCAGGGTGAAACTACATTACTGCCATCAACACCAGTCATAGTGAGCAGCTTACGAAAAAAGAGATCAAACAACGATATCGTGATAGAGGAGGCCAGTCTTGAGGATGTGACAGGCCCCTCTGTTCCGGCTGCAGATGCAAATGAATCCAATGACTCCCTACCTGTGCATGATGGTCAGCTAGATATGAATAGCAATTATACAGGATTTGTTGAAGTAATTGGTAGGTTTATTTGTATCTCTTCAGCTGTCAGTTCTTCAGATATTAACATTACTCGATTTTGACCTTTTTTTATCTTGATTTCAGTACTCGGAAATCAGAAATCTGTGATACCAGCCTACAGTGGTTATTTTGTTGTATTGAATCCCGGACCTCAAGTGCTACACGCCACTGAATCGACAACAATTGTAACAATTTTACAAGTTTTGTGTGCATTGATGCTTGTGGTCCTGGTATTTTTAGCCGCTCTTTGTCTTTTGCAACGGTACACTAAACAAGTTGCAGAGTCTCAAGGAGTTGAAATGAATCTTCGCACATCATTCAGGTGATTGAATGTTTTCAAATCTCTTTTAGAATTTACTTTGGTACTTTGAGATCTTTTCCATTCTCATGGCTGATTGGTGTCATATTTGCAGGCACTTGTATCGCTCTCTCCGCGGTCGACACGTACTGGAATCTCAGCAACCTCCCGACATGACTCCTATTGTTGCTTCCGAGCTTCCCTCTGCTTATGGAGAAAGGCACAAGGACTCTGACTATGGATTCCAACATGAATTTGAGGTATTACGATAAACCATTTACAGAGTTTCATTTGTAATGCTTTACAACATAATTAAACTCGAATTGTTTTTTCCAGATGTTGCCTGATAGATTTCCAGATAGAACCACATCTGCATCTGAAACAAGAGAGAATATATACAAAAACAGATACCCAGATATCAAAGCTTATGACCAAACAAGAGTCAAACTTGCTCAAATAGATAGTATTGTTGGTTCTGATTACATTAATGCTAATTTTGTTGTTGGCTACAAAGAACGCAAGAAGTTCATCTGTGCTCAAGGTATAGTGTCATGCCCATGAAAAGAAATCTTGCGAAATCCTCACCTGATCATCATAACCCTTTATTATAATATTGGTATTTTTTGTTTGTTTTAGGTCCAATGGAAGACACTGTGTGTGATTTCTGGCGCATGATTTGGGAACAGCACCTTGAATTGGTGCTCATGCTCACAAATTTGGAAGAGTATTCCAAAACTAAGTGTGCCAAATATTGGCCGGATGCTGAGGGCACAAAGACTTTTGGAGATATTTCAGTCTCTCATATAAGTGAAAAGAAATGTTCTGGTAATATAACTGAAGTTTTAACTAAAGATATGAAATCATAATTTTTTGTTTTATGATGAACACTAACCCTTTCTTGCACCTTTAGATTACATTTTAAGGGAGCTGAAAATGACGAAAGGCAGTGGGTCAGAAACAAGGAAGATTATGCAGTACCATTTCTTGGTTTGGAAGGATTTCCAGGCACCTGAATACCCTTCTGGAATTCTTAAATTCATCAGAAGGATGAATGAAGCTTACTCCTTGGAAAAAGGGCCCATTCTTGTTCATTGCAGGTGGGTTTTTATTATTATAACCTGTCAAAATTATTTCATTATTTTGAAAGAAGTCTCATCAAGTACTCTATGTATAATGTTCCTTTGTTTTGCAGTGCTGGTGTTGGACGAACAGGAACTCTTGTAGCACTTGACTCCCTGATTCAACAATTAGCGGAAGAGAAACAAGTTGCTATTTTTAACACTGTTTGTGACTTAAGACATCAAAGGAACTTCTTGGTTCAGTCATTGGTAAGTTTCAACCATTCCATAAAATTTAAATTTCATTGCTGTGTGTTGCAATTTTGTATGTTTATGCTTTCTGTTCTAGAAACAATATATCTTTGTTTATCGAGCATTGGTTGATGTTGCCCAATTTGGTGACACAGAATTGTCCTTGAAGAGCCTTAAATCATCAGTTGAAAGGCTGAGACAAAGAGATAACGGACAAACTAAGACAAGGATGGAGGAAGAATTTGATGTAAGAATCTTACACAATTCACTGTTGCTGACCGTATTGTTGCTTATTATTGCTAAATTTCAAAATGTTTCAGAAAATTTGTGCTGTGGCCGAAGAACGCAAACTTGCCAACACTGGTGTTATGGAAGAGCATGCAGCCAAAAACCGAAGTGAATCGGTTATTCCTTATGATAGGAACCGTGTTATTTTGTCCCCTCTAGCAATCAGAGATCATGCCACCTATATCAATGCCTCTTTCATTGAGGTAAGCACTTTGTCGTTTTTCTTTGGCGTCCAAATTGTATGTCCATATTCTTCTTTTAATCTTTTCACTTTTTACTCTTTTTTTTTTCTTAAAAAAAGGGTTACGATAACACAGAGTCATACATCATTGCCCAAGACCCCCTGGAAAATACTTGTGCAGATTTTTGGAGAATGCTCTCTGAGCAGTGTATTAGTACACTTGTCATGCTTTCAGATGTAAGTAAACAAATTAACTAGACATAAGTTTCAAGTGTTCATGACAATTGATTTTTAAAAAAATGTTTTTCAACCTTAGAAACGACCCACATCTGAGGAAAATAATAGTGGTGACAATAGTAGAAAATGTTTCCGTTACTGGCCTGAACCTGATGATGAAACCACTTATGACCACATTCGTGTGCGATACATCCAAAGTGAAAGTTGCCCCTATTACACTAGAAGAGAATTTAGCGTAACGAACATCAAGGTGGGTATCTTGATGTTCAAGTAACTTCTTATTCTTATAGTATTGAGACTCGCACTAAAAATATCTCTTGGTGTGTTGCAGAATAATGAAAATACATCAGTCACACAGTTCCAGTATCATGGTTGGCCAACAGTTGAGGGCCAGGTACCAGAAGTAACCCGAGGCTTGATTGAACTTGCTGATCAGGCACAGAATCATCAAACTATTCAACAAGGCAGTGGTAGTACGACAGGACCAATGGTTGTCCATTGCATGTAAGTACATCATATTTATTGTCACCTAAAAGGTTAGAAATCTAAAGTATGCTGAATTAATTTGCTTTGTTTTCTTTCCCAGGGCTGGTTCAGACCGTAGCTCCATGTTTGTGGCTCTTAGTATTTTAATTCAACAGCTGCGCACTGAAAAGAAGATTGACGTGTGCACAGTGTCTCGGAAACTTAGGTCCATGCGACAGGGAATGCTTCAGACTTTTGTGAGTGATTCTCATTTGAAATCGCACCAAGTTGTCATTCAACATCTTTACTTACCCCTGGAATTCTTTCCATTTCTCGCAGGCTCAGTACGAGTTCCTTCACCGAGCCATAGTTAACTATGCGGACCTCCATAACCTGACAGAGAATGAATGCAACGGCACCACCTGACACGACGCGGGCGCGCCCGTGGCTGCTGCCCTGGGCGCGTCTGCATCTGCCACGTCTCCCCCCGCCTCTGCTGAGTGGCACGCGGGCACAGGCACCAGCTCTGGACTGCCCCCGCCTGTGCCAGACCGGCCCTCGAGTCGAGCTCGCAGCAAGTCCCTGGGCCAGCTTCTCATCCCATCCAAGCTCACATTGTCAGCACAGTTGCCAGTTTAACAGGTGTCTAGTCATCCCTCCGTCCTGCAGGCCTGCTTGTGTCGTGTCGTGTCACTTGCTCACTGAAACTTTCGGAACCATTACTTGGATGGTTGCGAAGAATCAAAGTTCAGTAAGTAAGGTAATCATCCAAAGAACTAAAAGAAATGATTATGTACCAAAAAAACAAAAACACAAGAATCAGTTTTGTGATGGACAAGGGGAATGCACAATTCTAAATGGCAAGGCTGCAAACCTGACAATGTTTTGCATTTTTCAAAGGGAATGCACTATTTTAAATGGCTGCAAACCTGACAATGTTTTGCATTTTTCAAAGGGAATGCACTATTTTAAATGGCTGCAAACCTGACAATGTTTTGCATTTTTCAAAGGAAAAAAAAATGTAAATGGCTTTAAAATGTATTATATCAATTTACTAGAGGTTAAAAAAAAATACCTATTTAAGTCTAGTCTGATTTGTCATTCTGAATCCGTGTTAAAGTATTCTTAATCAGATGACTATGTGTAAGTTGAACAGTATATGCCCTTCTGCTCATTTGAAAGTAGCTTAAAATGGGACCATCGATGGTAAAGGCAAAAAATTATACTTCTCCTCTATTGCTTCATATTGAAAAATGTGTGAACAAGGTTCCATACCATATTAGGCAATGGTTTTCCAATTTCAAAGTAAGGCCAACATTGCACAACATCATAAGTCCTTCTCCCACTACTTTCACTTAATGGAGCTCATTATCTATTCTTTAAATTTTTATCTCACATCATTTTTTTGTTTTACATGCATGCATGAAATATGTGGACAGTTGTAGCACATCCATGACATCAGTATGGTCTCTTTATTTCCCTTCTCTTAAACTCCTAAACTCCTTCAACTCCTCTCTGTTCTCAAACATTTTTTTGGTGACTGAAAGTAAACCTTAAACGTCATTCTATTTTTAATTTCTTTTTGTTATTTTGTCTCCTTTCTGAGAGGATTGAAGACTATGTGATCAACAGCACAAAAAAAATGTCAATGTAAACATCATCCTATGTAACTGCAACAAGGTAGTTTTAACTTTGTCATTCTGGAAGTTCGAAAATTCCCTGTAAAAACTATACTGTATTGTTTCGTTAATATGATGTAAATGAAATGAATGCATTCAAGTACTGATGACCACAATGCATCCAGTTGCTTGGATGACACACATATTAGTCAAAAGAAAAACATTTTATTTTATTCTATAACTTTTTGCTTTTAATTAAGTTGTGTATATTTTAGAGGTAATTCTAGCATTGTGGTACCTTATAGTGCCACCTACTCGTCTGTTCAATATGTTTTTACAGTATTATTGAGTGCTTTTCTGCATCAGTGATGACTCAATAATAGTGCTTTTTCTAGTAAAATTTTAACTACTGTTTTGCTGACTTCGACCATGAACAGACTAATTAGAGTGAGATTGATGGTAATGAAATTTTTATTGTTTTAAAGTTATGATTTTAATATTGGTTGACTATCGTTCCAGTGATGCTCCTCTCACTCCCAAGTTTGCTTATTTAACTATTTGCATTTTAGTGATGCTTCTTGACTGATTGTCGCTCTTATCATGTAAGAAATACATGTATTGTTAATAGACTCAGTATTGTTAATGATGTTGGTAAGAAATTTTGTGTGTGATATTGTGGTCATTTTTTTTCTGGTGCAAGGAACCGATTCCTTTCAGAGAAGTAGCTTGGTAAATCTCGATCGTTTGTGTCGTAAGGTTACTTTGTCCTCTCTGCACCAAAAACTTATGGATCCGCAACAAAGTCATAAACCAAAATTATATGCTTTCTAGTGTTTGTTTCAAATCATGACTATTCACAGCCAAAGAACTTTTTTTTCATAAACTCTCCTTTAAATTGTAGGATTAAGGGTTTTGGCAAGTGAATGAAGTGATAGTTGAAAACTTTGCAATTTTCTGCAAAGCAGACTTGTCCCAAATTTATATTCGATTTTCAATTACTACTCCTGTGCTTCATTTCATGTTAATCCCTTATATTGAATGCAAAAGCTCCTATTTAGGAGACTTTTGAGATTTTTTACCATGTTTGGGATGTGGCTATCTTGTGTATAGGTAATCTAAAATTTTCTTACTGCATTGCTTATGTAGTTGGTAGCTTTTTCATTCTAATGTGTCATATGATAAGTATTAAACATGTGGGCATACTGCTGAGTATTGCTAATGCTCATTAGATACGTAATTGAAGAATAGTCTGACTGTTCTAAATGCTTGTTTTACTACATGGTTTATCCCTTAACATAAGAATTCTTTTAGTTCCTTTGAAGAATTCCAACTGTTAATAAAACTTCTGCATCACACATTGAACATTTTAAGCATCATTGATCCCAGATGTTGTGATTCAACACAATTTATTTTTTAAGTAGTAATGCTTGTGTTCATCATTTGATATTGTCTCTGCAGTCAAACTTAATTGCTTTATGAGGTAGTCTTGAGATACTTCTAAATTGCTCAAAATAATCATGATGATGAGGGCCATGTGAACTGATTTATTATGTGGTTCTCAATGTCTTTAACGGTGACAGTTACGGTAGCTTTGGGTTTTAATATTTTGCATTCTTTTTCATCGAAATCTCTCCAATACAAATTTTGAAACATTTGGTGTGGTGTATAACTTCTAGAGCATGTTTAACTTTAATGTGAACATGTATCCAGCTTATTTAAGTCTGCTGTGTCAAAAACGCTTTTAATTTTGTATAAAACTATTTTGTTAATTTTGAATGGTGTACTTAAGACGCTTCATAGAGAAAATTAGAGGATGTACCTATTTGTAACAACCTTTGTTATTTGCCGTTGTTCTTTTTTCCTTTTTAAATTTGATTTTGTTTTCTGATATTGTAGTGGTACTGTGAGCCTAAATAATGTGAGCAGCTCGTGTAAATTGTAATGTATTCAGTGGGACATTTTTCATACTCTCTTTAAGTTGTAATTGTGATATTTTAAAATAAAATCCAGTGGACTTTCTTCATTAGTTTTTTGTGCACATGAAGCAATGACAACCACTTTTTCTTCCCCTGATATTATGAGCATGTGTTAAGAGAGTGAATTGCTGCTCACATTGCTATGGTTGTTTCCTTTAAGCAGTTTTCTCTAAAGTGGAAAAGAGGAACAATGAAAGGGCTACAGAAATTTTGAGTTCCCTACAATTGTTAAACATTCAACTGCGAAAGTATAGAGTCGCACTGCATTGACTGTGATGCAAACAGATGCAAAACTGGAAAACAAAGTCCTTAGAATGGTTCGGTTTTCTGCGCATAAGTAAAAGAATGAAAAACAAGGAAGTTTGTATAATATTCCATCTGATTCTGTTCTGTATTGAATGCTGTCCCCCTGCCCCCAGCCATTCTTAACCTTTCTGTGATTTTTATACTGATGTTTGTGTACATATGAACAGAAAAATTTAATTTGTCTTTTGTATGCCCCTTTTTTAACTGATACTGTAAATGTATGTATTCATAATCTGTTTACCTACACTGAAACATTGTCACCTTCATAGGTTACATGTTTTGTTTCTACATATTTATATTGCAGTACCATCATTGATTCCATTGATGAAGCACATTATTGTACTTCTCGACATACAAATTTTGGACTAGGTTACATACACCTGTATTTGTCATTGTGTATGTATTTTAATGTAGAACTTGCTAATAATGAAATGGTTACAAGTCCATGGTATTGACTTGTTTCTCTAGTGACTGTTGATGGATGCCTAGTTATTAATTTACCATATTGAAAGCATCATTATTGAACAATATTTGTATTGCTATTCAAAACCGGTGGAATCTCAATAAATGAGGTGATTACAGGATTCTCTGTTTGTTTCATGACTCCTTTGCTGGCCTCTTTCTCATCAAAAGACAGCACATTGTGTAACACGAGCGCTCGAGTAAGGAAAAAGACAAATTTGGTGTTTTGCTAGAATTTTATTGATTTTTAAGGTTCCATGCATGCAAATTTGAACAAGGAGCAGCATATCACATTCAGTACACTTTATGTTGCATGGAACACATATTTTTGAAGTACATGTAATGAACGATAAAATACTTTAATTGGAGTAGAGTAAGATTATCAACTGAGTCACCATAGAATTCATTATTCTTCTAATATAAATACAATAGTCACTAACAATTTCAAAAGAGGAAAATAAAATAAGGAGTGAGCTATGTAACAGATTCCTCTATGACTTGGGCAACAATCTCATAACAATAAAAAAATGATGAAAATAACATATTTCTGAGAGAACTGCCTCCCCTTTGTAGATCACAAATACACGCTGATACTACCACAACATAAAACCTTCCGCCCAAATTGATTGATTTTACCGGTGAGAAAAAAATGCAGGGAAAATCTTTCAAGGCAAATATCACAACACCAATTAGGGCATAGTATTATTTGTAACCAAATATCTCTCTGCAACATGCTTGGATAACGTACCCCAATTGTACTACTATCACAGGTTTCAGGCTGCTTGCTTTTTTTTTTTTTTAACTTTTTTCTTTGGTTGGTTCTTTGAAGAAGGGATTCAAATGGCATTCTTTTTGTCCACATCTCCATGAAAATAAAATCTACATTGTTTCGCTTTTCCAAGGTCTAGAGCAGATGAGTTTTTAAAAAGAAAAGAACAAAAAGCAAATTGATTACTTGGCTTAACGAATTAACTCACAGAGCTGAGAAGATCTGTCAAAACACTGAAGACAAAACTGATGTATTAACAAGGAGAATCTCCACCAAGCAACAAATTATCAGCGAGCTAATTGGGTAATGAGGGCAGCACACATTTCGAAGAACTCCATTGTGTGATGACCTGTACTTTGGGTAGGTGCCACCGAGCTAGTATCTACAAAGAAACAAAAAGGATAAATGCTGTCGCTACATTTTAGTAAGGTCATTATTTTCAAACTTCAAAATATGTCTTACCTGCTAAATTGCACTCTGGCTCATCTGAGCTGAGACTTTTAAAATCTAGGAGGTAACTTTTGTAATCCACTTGATAAAGCTGAAGAGACATTTTTATGTACTTGTCAGGGCTACTGATTGATTCCTGTCGGACTCGTACATGATAGGCATTGATAACTTTCCATTCCTACAAGAAGAAAAAATTGTGAGCATGCAAACACAAATACAAAACTGACGTACTCAAGAGTTATTATATGATTCCTTACAAAATTCAACACTTTCATGGCACGATACACTTCATTCATTATATCATTTGGTTTACTCTGTGAACGTATACCTTAAAAACAATTAGAAAAATTAGTTATACACCAGAACAGCCGTGTACCAATCAAAATGAATGGTGAAAATAAAGTTTTCTTACCTAAGTGCCACTTAGCCCTTTTCACAGGAGCAGAGCGAACAGCTGTGTCTCCTTGTGAACCTCTGTCTATGCTTGCAACACGGCTACGGAAAGTAGCTGTAAATCAAGTGACATGACATGAGAGAAATATGCAGTATTAAAGAAGAAAGGATTAGACAAAGATAACTTACGGGCAATCCTTTCTGGGTGAGGGCGAACAGGAGATGGACTAAACTCAAACTGCACAGGGGGTGGGCTACTTGCGACATAAAAGTCCTTGAGTTCAGCTTTAGCTGCTTCGTCAGCAATTCGTTTGTTGTCAATAACAAGATGATATGCAATGCCAAGTTGGTCATGTGGATCTCCACTGAGTAAAGCATTGTGCACTTCACTTTCCTTAACAGCAAATTTCTACACAAACAAACAGTTAGATCAAAAATAAGCTTCTACATTTGGCAGAAAGATGGCAGAGAATTTATTCTATAACTATTACTATTTACCTCACAAACTTCGGTGACTGCATCAGTGTCAATGACTGAGGAGTCTTGTTCAACTGGTGATGGGAAAAGATAAGCGGGTAGGTCCTTTTGGAACCAGTCATGTTTCCTTCAAGGGCAGAAAAGAGAAACACAATAAATTATCACAGAATTTCGCTCTTCAAATTTTTTGAGGAATGGATGAGAAGATCTAGCTCATACTTAATATCTTCAATAGTGGCTCTTTTCATAGGGTCAATGTGCATCATATGGCACAGCAGGCTGACCACAGATTTGTTGAGATAGTCCGGAATAGGAAATATTCCAGCTAAAATTAAAAACAAAAAAATCAGATAAATATTCCAAATTTTTCCACCTTAGACATAGTTCAGAAAACATACATTTAATTTTCCGGAACAATGTTGGTACATGCTCATCATCGAAGGGGAGAGTTCCACAAAGCAGAGCATACAGAATAACACCACAAGACCAAATGTCAACCTCTGGTCCTGCGTATAATTTTCCTGAAATAACTTCTGGAGCAGCATAATTTGGTGAGCCACAACTGGTGCGAAGGAACTCTCCATCCATCATCATGTTGCTCAGACCTAAAACAGACCAGCAGAAGACAAGTAAATAAATTGTTAATGTTTGAGCTCTTTAAATTTTCTACAAAATTTACAGTTAAATATGATGAAAGAAATTTACCAAAGTCAGCAATCTTGACATGAAGGTTGTGGTCCAAAAGAAGATTTTCTGGCTTCAAGTCTCTGTGTACAATCATGTGTCTGTGACAATAGTCTACTCCAGATATTATTTGTTGGAAAAATCTACGAGCTTCATGTTCCTTCAGCTGTAACCATAGGGAGTCATGGTTTTCATCAACAAATTCAAAAATTTCTATGGCTGTAGCAGTGGCATTAACATCAAGCACTCACCTTGCCATGCTTCACAATATAATCAAACAGTTCTCCACCAGACACATATTCCATAATCATGAAAATGTCAGTAGGAGTGCTTATTACTTGGTACCTGGAAATGGCATTTATTAAAACTCTGGAAACCGTACTGCAGACAGGAAATAGTTTTAGGGAACGCTAACAACTTGATGCTTACAACTTGATAATATGAGGATGTCTGAAAAGCTTCAAATTTTGAATCTCCCTTCGAATTTTTCCAACAACATCAAGGCTTTTGATTTTCTGCCTGTTTAAAATCTTGACTGCAACCTTATGTTTGGTAAGCTGATGCTCTCCAACTGAAAGGACACACGGTAAAGAAACGGCAAGTTAACCAATGATAAGTATCCAAGGTGTTCGGAAGCAAAGAGAGACAGGGGTAGGGGGATACTGTCAGCAATTAACAAGGTGAAAAACAGAACTTGATCAGCTCGGGTGGCACCCTTGTTGAGTAGTGGGGCTTCTTAAACGAGTAAAAGAAGGGGTAGAGGGTCCAAGGTTTGATGCAGATATCAGTGAGGGCAGGTTAGCTTCCCAAAGTCTCGTTTGGGAGGCGCTCATCATAAGACAAGACCAAACAAAATTGAGACAACGCACTGGCCACACGTAAATTACTGAACAGCAGCGAACAAAATCAATACAATCCATTAACTTGTCAGTTCATGTCAATGCTGTTCAAGGTCTTCTGCCAGCCATTGGGATGCCATGAGCGGGCACGTACCACTCGGGACAATCGCTACAGAATATAGCTTACTTTTAACTTTCCCGAAGGTACCAACGCCGAGTGTTTGGCCCAGAGTGTAGTGGCCAATTTTAACAATGGGCTGGGGCGCAAGTTGCGTCGCGTTTTTCTCGATTGAGGCCATGTTTACAATGTTTACGTTCACAGTGTCTGTGTACACCACAAGCAGTCGACAAAACTCCCTTCCCTTCCCCTCCCCTTCCCCTTCTTCTTTCTGCCGACCCGTCGGTCCTGACAGTTATCGGGCAGTGCGGTACCGACAGGTTAAGACGAATTACTGAAGCGGGCTCGAAAAAGCACGCAAGTTTTCAACCAGGCCAGCAAAAACAGCATCAATAATAACTCAAACTGTGGCAAAAAGAAACGATGACAACGTTCGTGCAGTCCAGGTTTTCTGTGGTCAAAATGCGGTCGGTACCTTGCCCACCCCCCACCCCCTCCCCCCTTCTCAACCCTTTCCCCACGGCACGTCTCCCCACCGCGAGAAGCTATCGTCCATCCCGTGCTCCAACAAGCGGATAAGCCGACGAATAATAACAATTTAAAATGGTAAGTAAACTAAATGGATCTCTGACTTTGTGAAATTCTTACTATTTTCTCCGTCTCTCAGCTTTGAGGCATGGATGAATTGTAAATCTCAGTGAAAACACGCTTTATGAAATGTTTCTTTCACCGGGTGGTGTTGTCTTGAAGCATGGTTTGAACCGCTAGAAATTACACTTTTTGGTACATTATTCGACTTCCTTTCATTGCACTCTTTCCCAAAAGTTGTCCGCGTGCTGTTCTCATGATTGGTCAACCCCAAATCCCTCCAATGCAGGGTGTTTTTCTATTTTCCAGTGCCCACTGCAGGGGCCATGTAAGGTTAGGTATTGTCATGAATCATGTGTCTGGGTGCATTTCATTGTGTGGTTTCGACGCGGGTGCCTTGTTTCTGGTTGGTCAAAGTACTGCCAAATTATTAAGTTCGTCCATGGAGTAATTATTACTGCTATGATACCCCTTGCAACCTGCCATGACATGTTTTTATAATTTGGTGGAATTAAATTTTTAACTGCTGTCTAATCTCATCAATAACAATAATTTTTGTTTTTATTTTTTTGAGGTGGTTCGTGAGCTCCGTTGTTGTGTTTGGCAATTCACTTTTTATTCATTCAAAATTTCTTTCTGCAGGTGTCCCTCAATCCTGTCAGAGTGCTCAAACATGAAGCCGAAGAGGAGCGCGGGGAGATGGCCCGCATGTCATCAATTATTGGTGCCATTGCTATCGGCGAACTGGTGAAAAGCACATTGGGGCCCAAAGGAATGGACAAAATTCTCGTTTCTATGGGTCGCAATGAAGGACAGGTAAGAAGTTTTGTCTTCAAATCAAGCAAAATTCCCTCTGAAGGCTATTTATTTTCACACTCTGCATATTTGTGGCTCAGGTTGAAATTACCAACGATGGTGCAACGATTTTGAGGTCTCTTGGTGTTGACAACCCAGCTGCGAAGATTTTGGTTGATATGTCTCGAGTCCAAGATGATGAAGTGGGGGATGGTACTACATCTGTCACTGTTTTAGGTTTGTAGACATGTCTAAGTGCTACATGTAATAGCCCAGTTCTGTTCTTACTTTGGACTTACATAAGCTCTTTACTTGCAGCGTCAGAGCTTTTAAGAGAGGCTGAAAAGCTGATTGATCAAAAGATTCACCCTCAAATTATTATTGCCGGATGGCGTGATGCTACCAACGTTGCCAGGGAGGCCCTCACTAGTGCCTCCAGTGACAACAGGTGTGTAGATGAATTTATGTAGAGATCAGGCCTTTGCGACTCGTCAATTGCAAAGTTATCTCTGCAGTTAGGAGTCATAGGGGCCAAAACTAAATTGTAGTTTCAGGTGTGGTCATCCTCAAGCTTTGGTTGATCATGTATATTACTACTAACAATTTTTTTGGCTATTAGTTCTGTTTTCCACTGTCTTTCCCAATTGTTTATCCTTTGCTGATGCCTTACTTTCTTCCTACAGCAAAGATGAGGCTAAATTCAAGGAAGACCTTTTAAACATTGCTAGAACTACTTTGAGTTCCAAAATTTTGTCTCAGCACAAGGAACACTTTGCCAATTTAGCCGTGGAGGCTGTTCTCCGCCTTAAGGGCTCAGGATCATTATCTGCCATCCAAATCATCAAGAAGAGTGGTGGCCGTCTAGAAGATTCTTTCCTTGATGAAGGTATGTCCCCCTTATTTCTTCCATGTTCTATCTTGTGTATTGTACCTCACAACAGTTTTCTTTTTTTTTTTTGTTGCCACTAAAGGCTTTCTGCTGGACAAGAAGCCTGGTCTCCATCAGCCAAAGCGCATTGAAAATGCCAAGATCCTTATCGCCAACACACCCATGGACACTGACAAGATCAAGGTCTTTGGATCTCGAGTGCGAGTGGATTCTATGGCTAAGATTGCAGAGTTGGAAGTTGCTGAGAAGGAAAAGATGAAGGACAAAGTCGCCAAAATCTTGAAACACAACTCTAATGTGTTTATCAATAGGTATGTCCTAATGTCTTGTCCCTCTACGTTGTATCAGTTTCTTGGATTGTTACATTTCAGTTTTAATCTTGCAGGCAACTTATCTACAATTACCCTGAGCAGTTGTTTGCTGATGCTGGTGTGATGGCGATTGAACATGCCGACTTCGATGGGATTGAGCGCTTAGCCCTTGTTACAGGAGGTGAAATTGTTTCTACCTTTGACAACCCTGACTTGGTCAAACTGGGTCACTGTGATGTCATTGAACAGGTATTTGCAGTTCAAAATTCTCTGTTTCACTGCTGCAATTCATCATGAAATTACTTTGGCTTGGGCATTAAACTTTATTTCTTGCACCAGGTCATGATTGGTGAAGACACACTCTTGCGCTTCTCTGGAGTGAAGCTTGGTGAGGCCTGCTCCATTGTTATCCGTGGTGCGACACAACAGATTCTGGACGAGGCTGACAGGTCGCTCCATGACGCTCTCTGCGTTCTTGCCGCCACAGTGCGCGAGTCACGCATTGTTCTTGGTGGAGGTGAGTGATCCTTGTGAGTGTGGTGCTGCATTTGTATGACAATGCTTTAAATTCACTATGTTGGTTCTCTAGGTTGCAGTGAAATGCTCATGGCTTGCGCTGTCAACGCTGCCGCCGCCAAGACACCTGGAAAGGAAGCTGTTGCGATGGAAGCATTTGCCCGTGCCCTTGCTCAGTTGCCAACCACTATTGCTGACAATGCTGGTTATGATTCTGCTCAGCTGGTCAGTGAACTCCGTGCTGCTCACAGCCAGGGAAAGAATACCATGGGTCTTGGTAAGCTGGAATCATCAATTATTATAACATGTGTGTCTTAAATTACTCTTTGTTTCTCATATTTATGTTTTCCTCTCTAGACATGGACAAAGGTAGTATTGGTTGCATGAAACAGCTTGGAATCACCGAGTCCTTTGTTGTCAAACGCCAAGTGCTCATGTCAGCATCAGAGGCTGCAGAAATGATCTTAAGAGTTGATAATATTATCAAGGCTGCTCCTAGGAAACGAGTTCAGGACCGTGGACATTGTTAGTCTTGGAAATTATTTCACTCAAAAGCAGGCTTCTGTTACTTTTCTGCATTTAAGCTTCATCAAGTTTCACTATCATCATAGACTATCAAACATATTGTGCCTTAACATCCCTCTACAAGTTTGTGATTGCCCACTTTGTGGGTAGATATTAAACAGCAAAAAATTCTATTTTCAAATCTTATTTATTGTATTGTTTGCACATTGTTCTTACCTGTATCTTCTGTATTTTTAATTTAAGTCACAAAAGACGTATGAATTAACTTCTGCTTTCTACTGTATTAACTTCTTTCCAGTGAACTTTTCCAGTGAACAATCTATTAACATTGACACATCAATGTGGTCACTTATTTTATAAATGTAGTAACATGCGTTTTTAATGGAGTAATGGAAATTTCATTGTGATTTTGTAATGTTTCATAAAGATACTTTTTTCCGTCAATATGCTCATGTCTCAATATCTTATTTATCTATTCCTCTTCCATATAAAAGAAAGCTAAATGGAAGTAAATTTGAAGGAGGATGGAATGAACAGAAACTTCTGAGACTGGTGATTTGTATTTCATAGCTGCCAAAAATCACTCATGCAGTCAAAAACAGTCAATGTGCTACAGCCCACATTCTACCCTAGAAGAGACACCAATCACATTCTAACTCACAAGTTAACTTCCACACTAGTGTAAATTCTACAATCCATCAAATAAGACACACAGGGTTCACAACCCTGGTCTTAAACTCACAAGATGAGACCTCATGTTTTCAATTTGGTTATTAAGAAGTAAGAAGTCTCTCATGACATTCTGCTTAGACAAGGATGCAATAACTGGGTCGGAACAGACAAATCTTCCAATAATAGTTGAGGGCCAAAAGCGATCAAGTGAAATAAGATTCAAAGCACACGTGAAAACAGCCTGAAGAAGTAGAAGTTGTCAAGGGACGAAATCTTTCAAATAGCAAGTAGAAGACAAGACAACCAAATTTGAAAGAATTCATAATAATAATTAACATCCATTAAAAGTGTGCATAATCTTCGCTGCAACAAACAAGCAGTGACAACACCACACATGTGATAAATGGAAATTTGAGAAAATTGATCAAATACAATTCAGAATAAAACTTAAAACAGATACAAGGAAAGACTGCTTAGAAAATCCTTCAGTTGACTTATACACACATGATGCCCATTTGTTACGGGATACTTCAACAACCAGCCATATGGTAGAAACTGTACAGAGAAATAAACTGCATAAATGCTTTCACATACATTAAGCACATAACCCTTTGGGACACTGATGATACAATGATAATACTGTCGTCGATAATACTTTAACAGAGGAAATTAGTTAAGATCCTCTTTTAACACTTAATTCAGTACGGGTACAAAATATAAATTTGTTCTCAGATATGTACAAGGGTTTAAGTTTTTTGATAAGTTGTGTAATATGAAAAATATAATGTGTACATAAAATAATGAAATCTCAATCAAATTTTAGTTGAAACGTTGAAAGATGTCTCTGACTGAGACTTACTTCTTACTTGGCAATCTCATGAACAACTACAATGTCTTATGCACATGCCTAAGCAAAATCATTTGGTTTGATACAGGTAATGGTTATGAAGTGACCAAGATAAAAAAATTAGAGTCAGTTTAGAAGAGTACAATAAGAATTTAGAGAGAAAACAAGAGCACTTTTTCAACTAGGCAAAGGACGAAATTTAGAATGGAAAGTATGTTATCATCACAATTTAAAGGGAAATTCCCACCTCCACAAGAATTGATTTTGAACTACAAGAATTATGTTGCAAATTGACTATTGTAAAACCCATTCACCTAATCAGCAGACAAAACAAATTTTCTTGTAATTACAGGAACCTTTTTTGGCCTGGAGTTACACTGTCACATAATGAGAAGGACTTCACCAATCAAGAAATACACAAATTGAGTCATGTTATAAGTCTAATGGAAAATACTGGAGATATCACAGACAACCACAAGAAAGGAACCAAATTCTCAAAGCAGTGAAAAGCCATAGTCATAGTTATTCAAGTACATGTAAAAGCATGCCTCAAGATTATAAACTGGACAGATTTTATTTCATCATGCAAGAACACACTTCCAATTCTTCTGTAAAGATTTATTTTCAAGAAAAATTTGAACAAGAGGCATGAAAGAAGAATCACAACTTGCCTGACAGTTTTGATCCTACGGGGGTGACAAAACTCAACTAAGAACTTCCAGCAATTATTCAGAAAACTTGTAAAATGTAGCCAGCAAAGTACAGGGAAGTCTATGGACTTTTGTGAACAAGAATATCATCACATCAGAGTGGACTTAATCACACATTCCAGGAAACAATCTGAACCAACAATCCTAAACGCGACAGCAACTCCTAGAATAACCTTCTGGATCAAAGACCTACTCATACAATGCTCATTCACCAGAATTTTTTTTTTTTAAATTCTGAAGTGTAAAGGTATCACATGCTCTGTTATAGCAACATGTGGTTCAATTGGATGTGAAGAAGCCAAAAAAGAAAATAGTTCTGGGCTCCTTTCGATGTGATCTAATGGCAATATTGAGCAGAAAACAAAAGATTCTGTAGAAGTGTCTTCAAACCATTTCTCTTTTCACAACAAAGGCAAACAATGAAAAACTAAACTAACACGAATGAAATAGATTTCCATTAAAAGCATGGACTATTAACACACAAGTGATTGAATTGCAAAAATTTGATTAGAAAAACGTCCCTAAGTACAATCCTAGAAGGGAAATTCAGAAGAATATAGTTTGATTGAGACACAACCACTATTATCAGCTACCTTAAAAAAAATAATCAAATACACTGTCACACAGACATTTGATTGAATTTAAATTTATAAAGAGGGCAATAGAACCCTTTCAACGAAAGCCAGTCTCTTTCGTTCTATGTAGGCCAATTCAGTTTACCAAAAAAGAAAAACCCTGAAAAGATTCAATCACATGACACACAGTCCTAACAGAGGACTAAAAGTTGATTCACAATATTGAGGATGAAAACTCAACAAGTGGCACATTGCATGGCCCGGAAGAACTATACTAACACACAAACATGCAATATCCTCGTTTCAACTATCTTCTAGAATTCATACAGAGAAAATAAATTTTATAAAACAGATATTAAGAATATTTTTACACTTGAATGGATTCAGATGGTGAAACTAAAATTTTAAAAACTCTACAACACAAGTGTGTAGCCTCTTGAAAAACACAAGAACATGTGTTGAAGCATGGCATTGGGAAAGTAGATTATGACAAGAGTGACATGGCTGCACAGCACCTTAAAAAGTGCTAACGCAGTAATTCTACCTAAAATTAAAATATTTACTTAAGCTACTAATGCTAAAAAAATAGCAAAGGACTAGAAAATCGATGGGCAGTTCATCTGAAACAATAATTGTTAGTTACATCATTCTTTTAAAAAATGATTACCTGCAAATACAGTCATTTGAAATTGAAGAGATCTCAGATTACAAAGGCACAAGGAACATCACATGAAACAATACAAAGATGGAGATTAACAAAGATCATGACCACATCTTGTGTACTACAATCATGGCAGGAGACACAAGTCACAAGTTAATTTCAGCAGGCCACAACAAAGAGGGTAAGCTTTCTTTCTTCATCTCACTTGGTACTGTTTTCATGGAAAGTACAACCTACTTAAGACAAGATTTGTGATGTGTTCATAAGTAAAACAAAAATAAATACGTCCTAGATGTTCAGGTGTCAGTCTGTGATCCTATCCTGACAAACTCAAGATCAGTAAAGCAAAAATTAAGCCTGAATGAGAACAATTCTGTGCAGTACACAACCATGTAGAAAGAAAACTGGAATGCAACATCCATGGTGTTTGATAAAAATTCATAAAATTACAATAAACATAGGACTTTTAAAAATCAGTCAATTAAAGCAGCTTCATAATTTAAAAATAATGATATCTCTAAGGCTGAGAAAACACACTGGAGGATAAAACTCACTCGTGAACAACAATAGGATAACAGGTGGCCCACATTAGATTGTGATATGAAACATCAAAGCAGTCCCAGTAGAGTCAGGAACTTGCTTTATCTAACAATGCACACGTGTGAAAATTTGACAGTGCTTTCAACACAGTACCCATGACTTAAACATAAATAAATAAAATTAAATAAATTCAAGCAAGGCCACAAAATATTTCATGTAAGACACACCAGTGAGCGTTATTTTGATTGTCTTGATAACAAAGGACGGATTCAATAAGCCTCACTCGCATGCCAACTTGCTATCAAAACTGCTAAGTGCAATAGCAAATGCTTGGAGAGCACACATGGGATAACGATAATCCATGGTGAACACATCTTCAGCAACACGCCCAAACTGCATTACGACATACTCGACTGCAAAAAAGAAAGATGGTGAGACAAAATTGCTGATTATGCTTGTATCGATAAGAACTACAGTAGTCTGAGAAAACTTACCATCACTATCATGTACTATTTGAAAGTTTTTCACAGATGCTTGAGTGACTCTGCCATGGAAATTAAGAACATAAGACTGGGTATCATCATTCCAAACAGGGGTCTTATTGTGCAGCTCAATAAGGTTGTCCATATTTTTGTTCTTGTAACACTCTGAAAGATAAGAATATAAATAATTAGGAATGCTTTTGAAATAGCAGATTTGATACCAGAAAAGAATTGACAAATCTTACCCAGTAATGTCTCACTTTCATCTTGGGGACAAATTTGGACTCTTTGTTGCTCCTGAGTCATACCAGGTAGAATTACTGTCATTTTACGAGGACCCTTAAAGCCCAACACATTTGTTTCCTGCAGTGAACCAAAGTGGTATTAACAATCTAAAAAGATAATATTGAACTATGGAACCCAAAGTAAACCGGTTTTTCCATTACGTAAATCACTGCGGCAAGTTCTTGTCTCGGGGTGGTCCTTTCCTCTTTGGCATCGGATCGGCTTCCTGGAGCACGCCCATTGTCATACACCGTGAAATGTGTTCCCAACAAATTGGATCTTAATTTCCCGACAAAGGCCTCTCCCCCGCGTGACAAATCAGTAGGGTCAGTGGAAATGAGGTAATTGCTCGTTGTGCTCTTCTTCCTCTTGCGGCCTGCTAAAAGAAACACCTAAAACAACATAGATAAAAATTAATAAAGTAAGAAATTCAAGATAACACTTGATGCTAGATTACGACAACTTTTTAAAAGCAGGTACCTTTTTTCCATAGTCACGCTCAAGATGCAGGAAATAAGTCGGGTATAGCCCGCGATCCATACCCTTGCGGTCACGAGTAATACGACATTTGTAGTGCATACGCTGGCATGCAGGTTCCATGACAAAGGTCTCAAGGCTGCCCACAACATCACCTTCTACCTCTGGATTCTGTAAATAATTTACAATTCATGAAGGGATTCGTAAAATTCATAAAAATAGAAAATTCATTATCAACATACACTTTGATTGGTAATGACATTCTGAGTATCTGAGTACGGCACAACAGTGCTCTCAAGATGAGCATCTGGTGTAGGTGGAGCCACTGGCGTTGATTCTTCATCCTCCAGTTCTTCTTGATCTATTCGCTGAACTTCACAGATGTCTCCAACATCATCATCTGTGTAATATGACAAAATTATCAAAACAAGGGATACATGTTAAATGTGGACACAGCACTAAAATGAAATACTTACCACTCTCAACACTAACTGAACGTAGATCCGTCACACCATCTGGGTTGCCAGGGGACATCGTAAATTGAAGTGGACCGTCATATCCTTGAAAAGTTTGTCAGTTTACACACAGTGGAAACATTTTGATAATTTCAACCACAAATGAATTTTCTATCCAATATTCTCACCATGCAACTCTCTATGAAGGGCTCTTGACTTGGCTGATGCAGTTCTGGTATCAGAGGCTTGAACCATTCCTGGGGTTTGTCGTTTCATACGCATTTTCTGCTCCATTATTTGGCGCTAAACAGAATCAAGGAACAGTCTTTATTAATATTAAGTAAGTTTGAACAACAGCCTAAATTTGACTAAATGAGGTTTCTTTCAACAGGCACACAGTTCTCGTTGAAATGAATGAACAATTCACATTGAAAGGGATGAAAACAACTTGGAGGAGACTATTCAAGAGATGTAAGAAAGAATATTATGAAAAGAGTGCATCCAATACACATATACGTGCTTTTAAAACTTGAAATACCCTGGCCCATTCGAATATAAGTATCAGAGTTTGCAACACTAAACTACAGTTGAATGAAAAATCTGATTCATACACGACAGTCAATAAAAGGAATGGAATGTCGCAGTGCAGGTTATGAAGCTTTTGACAAGCAGAATCGTAAAATGCATACCTGCTGTTCCAGCTTTTGCTGACGTAAGTTCACGGAGGTCATCGTCTCCCTTGACAGCGAACGTGACACCACACAAAATAAATGTCCCACAACAATACTGATATGGTTGCAACAAAAAGACAACAAAAAAAGACGTTAACTAAATCTTATCAATCTTGCTGCTGTCAAGAAACAAACAAACGAAGCGACGGGTTCGAAGGCCCGACAGAGCGCAGCACCGTCGACCCCATTAAGTTGTCGCTTGTTGTCCAAGGGATTTGTAAATTCCTTCGCTAAGCATTTTACGCTATTACGCTTATCGGGGTTGAGTTTTTTATGCTCAAGTGAATTTTAGAGAGCTCAGACGACACATGTTTCGGCATGTCAGTGATCTTTAGTCGGCGGCGTCGTCTGCTCTCCCATGCTCCCGACGATGTGACAGTACCGTGGACAATCTATTCTCGTAGTTCCAAGGGTGGCCACCACGCCTGGGCAGGCGGCGCTGAGCTTTGCCTTCGAACCCCTATTTGTTTTGGTGCAGACAACGGTTCGTTGTGGCCGCGCGCTTATTTGAAGACGTGCGCTGAACGGTCGTTGTATGAGAAATTCACCAGACGTCCCGAGAGTTGGGTTAGCGAGAGTTTGCGAGGACGTGCGTGGACGGAGTTAAAAATAGTTTCACGTTGCTCCTCGGGTGCTGCGCGCTGCGCGCGACCAAGAGACAACACGGGCTGGCTCTGTGGATTCGCGGATTCAGTCAAAGCCCCAAAGGGCCCGAAGGCCACGCCGCTGTCCTTCGCGTCCTCGCTCGCTCGCATCCATTTTCATTTTTGTGGCCTGTATTTTTACCTGGCGGACATGGCACACGCAAAGGGGGCGAATCTCGAGACCGACTCCACCGACCTGAATCGCAGGTAGTAAAAGTAGTGGCATTTTATTTTTCTGGACATAGTCGTAACAAGCGCTTTCCAGCTCGGATGTGTCACTAAGGCAAGGAGGTCGGCGGGGAAGACCGGGGGTCGTATGGAATAAGGGTAACAGGCGACAGGCGACCCCCATTCATTTCGAGCCCCCACCCCCTTCCCCCGTTTCGGGCCGCAGAACAACAGTGCCACAGCGCACAGCGCCGCCTGCCAGTCATCGACAGTCATCCACCGGGCTAGCCAGGCTAGCTAGGCTAGCTCGCAGGTCGCGCCGCGTCCATTCTTATCCCCGTCTCTCTCGCCACCGACGGCATGTCCGCCGACTCCAACGTGTGCTCTCGTGTGTCGACGGCCAGGGGCAGCCGGGACGACGTGTGCCGGGCCGGCCAGTGGTCCTTCACGGCGCGGCCCTTGCTGCGCGTCAGCCACACCTGGGTGCTGGAGCGGAACGCGCTCTTGGGCTGCGAGTGGAGGCTGCTCAGCTCCAGGAAGTTCGGTAGCCCGCGGGACGAGGACGTCGTCTGGACCCTGAGCCTGGAGGTCGACTACCCGGACTGCGCGCGCCTGGACAGCCTGCGCACGCCGGACATGGTAAAGTGGGGCCCTAGCCAATCGCAAACAACAACAACGACGATAAAACAATAACAACCCTGCTGCAGGTCCGCGTGTGTGTGGCGTTCAGCACGGAAGTGCCCCACAAGCGCGTGCACTTCCGCGCGGCGCTGCACGCGCAGCAGGAGGCCCACGGGGCGCTCGGCGTGCTGCCGTCGCTGCCCTCCACCGCGTCGTCGGCGTCGTCGGCCTCCCTCGACGACAAGTACGCGATGGCGACGCAGGTTAGCGCGCCCGGCGCGCCGCCCAGCCCGCTGGCGGACATGATCCTGGCCCATCCCGTGCAGAGGCAGCACATCGGGGACGTGTACGTCGTGGCCTCGGACCGCTCGCTCACCATCCGCGTGGACATCGACTACCTCGCCGACGTGGAGGTGAGTTGCGCAGACCGTGGACCGCTTTGCGACGCGCCAGAGCGAGAGAGACAGCGCACAGTGGGCCAGAAGACCGGTGGGGTGGAGGCGGCCAAAACTCTAGACGCGTTTTGAGATCCAGGGTCGCTAAATGGGACTCGAACCGAGCGTGTGACCCCACCAATGGATAGCTCTCCGGACGAGGAATCCATTGGTGGGGTCACACGTTCGGTTCGAGTCCCATTCAGCGACTCTGGAGCTCAAAACGCGTCCAGAGTTTTGGCCGCCTCCACCGGTCTTCTGGCCCACTGTGCAGCGGCACGTTGGTTCCAGGAGCCCCAGGCGGGCCCGGCGTCCGTGTCGCTGCGCGTGCCGCCCTGCTCGCTGGTGGCCGACATGGAGGCCCTGCTCGTGGGCGGCGGCGCCGTGTCCGACGTGGTCCTGGTGGCGGAGGCCGACGGGCGGGAGTGGCGCGCGCACAAGGCGATCCTGGCCGCCCGCAGCCCCGTGTTCGCCGCCATGTTCAAGCACGACATGGCCGAGAAGCAGAGCAGCAGGGTGGCGGTGGGTGACGTCAGCGGCGAGGTGTTCGACCAGGTGCTCAGGTAAGGCACAGTGTGTTTGCCAGGAGACGGGTGGGGCGGCCAAAATCCTGGACGCGTTTTGATCTCCAGAGTCGCTATATGGGACTCGACCCATCGACGTGTGACCCCACCAATGGACTCCTCGTTCGGAGAGCAATCCATTGGTGGGGTCACACGCTCGGTTCGGATTCATTTAGCGACTCTGGAGCTCTGCACGCGTCTAGAGTTTTGGCCGCCTCCACCGGTCTGGCAGGTACCTGTACACTGGGTGCGCGGAGCACATCCGCACGCTGGGCGTGGACGTGCTGGCCGTGGCGGACCGCTACGCGCTGCCGCGTCTCAAGGCTCTGTGCGAGGAGGAGCTGGCGTGCGGCGTGCACGCCGACAACGCCCTGGAGGTGCTGGTGACGGCCGACCTGCACAACGCCAAGGCGCTCCGCGAGGCGGCGCTGCAGTGCGTGTGCGCCAACATCCACCAGCTGCTGGGCTCCGAGGACTGGCTGGCCGTGACGCGCGCGCAGCCCCACCTGCTGCACCTCGTGCTGGCCAAGTGCGTCAACCTGCCCAGGCCGGACTGAGTGAGGCACACTGCCTGCCACTGCAGACTGCACCGAGGGACTCGGCTTCGAGCAGCATGACGGCGTACCCCGTCCCGTAGCTCAAGGGAGTCAGCCGGCCGCCTGGTGGGTAGGCAACTTGCAGTACAACCTGCCTGCCCCTGCCGGGGAAAGCCCAGCCCGTCCGTAACTTGCTCGCCTTTCCAGATGCCGGGCCACGGCGGCGCCACGGGTCTACTGGAGGACCAATCGCACTGTACGAGGCGTCCTAAGCCCGAGCAGTCCAAGAGAGACAGAGCGTCGAAGCCACTGCTCGGAATTCGGCCTGCGAAGGACTTGTCGTCTCCCGCGGTTTTCCAATACTGTAAAAGGACTCGACGGGAGAAAAAGAAACATCTCAGTTGTTTTTGTGTACAAAATATTACAGGTGCATTTTTATTTGAAGCAATTCGTTTCACAAAACCTAAATTCTGTGCATATGAAATAGAATAAAACTCGTGGTAACAACACATCGAACAAAACATTCTCACACACACATTTCCAAAATTGAAAGGTAAGGGTACCACAGAATATACCCTGCTCATCTTTCTAACACAGTCAGATACTTCTATCTTTCATTTATTTCCCTTAATTAGTGCTAAAAAAATACCCTAACAGTCATTGTATCTTAAGCTATTGTAGAAGGAATAATATTCCAATGAGCAAAGGTGAAAATACTGTAACACTTTATTGCAAAAGCCTCTGAATGAGATGAAATGTAACAGACATACTCCTCTTCAAAAACTTTTCTCTGAAGTCCCTCTGCACAACAGGGTAAAACATGTCAGAAAGCTCATAAATATGACAACTTCGGTTATTCGTTGGTCATTGCAGAACATGTAAAAAATCCGCATTTCAATTGACACAATAAATATGGTAAATAATGCTCATGATTTGGCATTGCATGAAAGCACACTGAAATTTCTGTGGTCCTTAGAAACAAGAAGAACCGACGTAGTAATGAAGAGAGTATTGCTGCCTGATAGAGAAAATGAAACATAGAAACACTTCTAACAGAGTTCTTGCTTTGAAGCAGACACAGTAAAATTGATGGCTTGATAAATTTCAAACTTCATCAACTTGCTAAATGTAATATCTTCCTCCACAGAAAACAGAACTACAGTACCAATAGAGATTCAAGGAAATTTGAAGCAGTTACTCCCATAATTGCAGTGTATAGAATTTATATATATAAATAAAGCATGAAGCCTAGCAAAAAAATAAAGTAAAGACATGTGCAGAGGATGATGGTGATGGTAATGTGAATGATAAATAGTCACGCCTTTAACAATCAGCAAAACATAGAGAACATACAGGGTACAAAAAACACAATACAAGACTAATGAAATTATTGGCTAGTAGGAATCTTCAATATGAAGAAATAAGAGGTAAAATTATATGTGTAAAACTTAGTCTGTCTTTACGAAGAAATTGGTAAACACATGCATTTTAAGCACATACAAGTAAAAATTTGCAAATTGGCAAGTTAAGTTATTAACACTGGTAAGAAAAATAGCCAAGGTTAGGTCTTACCAAAGAAATTGCATTATCATGACTAAAGAGAACAGTTGCATGTGAACATGTGCAGTAACTCAAAATAAAAGTAAAAATTAAAACTAGAATAATTTTCTTTGCATGCAAATTGGCAGCTAAAGCTTGATTTGTTTGGTTGAATAATAGAACTAAATTTGATGGCAGAGTGGTTCAACACTTTGGAAGACACACAAAACCCACATATTGGTCCATACTTGTATCATAACAGTACTGTTCACAATGGGGAACAAAACAGTGAAGTGCTGAACAAACCTACGCTTTCCAATGACATACGGTAAATGCACAAAACGTGCAAGGCAAGATATAAAATATTGTAACTTAAGGATGACATGTCTTATTACATTAAAACTCTCTAGTGTATGTATGGTATAGGACTTCATATATAGCCTCTTGGAGAAAGACCCAAATACCTACCAAAAGAAGTGTAAAAATAAAAGTGCTGATGGACAAAGAAAGTAACTAAAAAGCAGAACACCACAAGAACTTTCAACTAATGCTCACCTTGACATGCACACTTACATAGCCTCTTTAAGGTACATGCTCCGCTAAATACTGATAAGTGCTTTGTTTTTGCTTATTGGTTCACTAATGAAGTCTTATGATCACATCAAACAGCCATCTAATGGAATGCTATTTTCAGAGGCTAGATGTAAAATAAATTAAAAAGTACCAGCACAACTTAACTAAAACAACAGCAAGCACAACTAATAACACACATGAAAACATAAATGACTACAAAAACAATGTATCATGCAATCACAGACAATGCAGAGAGAAAGATTACAAAATAATAAGACTTCAGCTGCTTTGTTCGTTATAATAATAAAAAATTAACTGTGTATTCATTGTTATTCATTCAACAAAAATATAGATTGTTAATTACAGTATTATCAATGCTGCAACCCTTGATTTGGTAAATTTGAAGAGCTTCTCCACCTTAAAAAAGCATATGATACTGCATCCAAAAAGTTTTAAGCCCAGAAGTAATCATGTGCATACAGCCAGTAAAACAAGAATACTACAAAATAGTATGAGACATCCGCTAGATATGTACATTGTATAGAATAGAACAGAAGTAAAGGGTGCTGTAATAACAATCAGAAGTAAACATACATCTTTTAAGCTAACTCTTTAGTGTCAAAAAGGAACAATATAACATCTTTAGGGACAAAAGCAGCTGAAAATAAGTCTAGACTGCATCAAACTCTGGCGCAAGTGGACAGACTACTGCTACAATTAAATGTTTATAAAATTATACAAAGAGACTACATATCACTTTCCCTCCTTTTACTAGAATAAAGAGTTTCCAAAGCAATTCAAAAAAATGTAATTGAAGAAAAAAGTTAATCCTACCAGCGTGTGTTACAAACACTACATCTCATTGGCACTTGATCAAAATACCAATCAACTGAGTGAGATTTGCTGCATTTGACAAACAGAAAGAAAAAGACCTCTTTTAATAAGTAGGCAGGGGTGAAAGAAATGAAATGGGAAAATACAGGTGTTTACGATTACTAAATATCATTGGGTAGCACATTCAAACAAAGCAAATCTCACTCCAATACTTGTGTTGCTCCAACCCTTGGCCTATCAGAAACTTAAGGTTGAGCCACACATACTACTGTTGGACCCAGAGTAAAGATAAAGTTGGCTACAAAAGGAATGGGGTAGGTCTACCCCATTTGATATTAACACTTACACAAAATTATTTAAAATTAAGTGAATAGACATTTGTGGGTAACATTGTAGTGCATTGCTTAAAGAGGTAATACGTAATAAAAACTGATTTACACCTTCTTGGTGGTGTAATCTTCAGCAACTCCACCCCAGAGTAGGCGGTAAGACCGAGATCTCCACTGAATATGTGGATCTCGAATTGCATGTACAAATATGAATGGGCCCATAAATTCCCTGAACAGCCATCCAAGCACGAATTCAAATTTACTGAAGGGAAGGGAACCATTCTGAAAGGGAAAGAGAGAATAAATCAGTTAGAACATTCATAAAAATAATTCTAATACCAAACACTCAATTCTCACCTGAATAATCTTGAGGAGAACAAAATCACAAAGGAACCATATAAGAAGGTGCACCATATAAAAGACTAGTGGGTCCCATTTGAAGAGGTAATGGCACGCCCATGCGCTTGCAGCTCCAAGAATAACACATTCTGAGAGTGGTTCTACTAATGTGGTCAGTGGAATCATAGCCAAACGTAATTTAACCCATCTAATACAAGATGAAAATTCAAATTAGCAAAGTAAATATTCCTTACAGTAAGATAATTCAATCAAGGAATGAAGACATACCTGGCTAATCTAGCTTGGAATGAGGTCACTTGACAAATTCCAGAATTTTGTAAAGCAGGTTGACTTGATATTCTAATACGCCAGTTTCTATCAGTTATGCTTTTAGCTATGAAGAAATCTTCAGCGAGGTAAACACCAAAACTTCGCAAGCCACCAACATCATCCAATAGTTTTTTACGAATAAGTGTTGACATGCCAGTATGACAGTTGATGCGCATGAAGTCGGCAGCTAAGTACATTCTTGCCATCGCAGTACCGAAATAAATCTGTGGGAGAAAATAAGCTGTGGATAAGTAAGTCATGTATACCACTTTACACAAATATAAACTTACAAAACCAACCTTCTCTAAAGTTGCAGCAAAACCTTCCCTATCACAAGTAAAAGGCATCTGGTGAACTAAACCTGTGTTATCAGTAAGATGTTGAACCATGTCCCAAAGGGTGTCATCTTTCACTGCGGAAAGATTGGCAAAAAATGAAATTAGCGAGATGAAATGAAGGTATCGAAAAATGTCAGAAGAATATTGTACTCACTACGAATGCCAGCATCTGAGATCATTATCAAGTCATACTTTGCTGCAGCATAACCAGTTTGCATGTTGTTTATCTTGGGGTTGATACCAACCTGCTGGCCACCTGCACCAGCAAACAAAAAAAAAACAATAAAAATTAAATGCATCCAGGAGGCAACAACAGGCTTAACCACAGGAAAATTAATAACTCACCAATGAATAAAGATGCATTAACTTTTTTGTATTTCTCAATAAGGGATTTAACTTGTGGGATTGCTTCATCTTTTTCATCTTCAATGCAGAACAGAAGTTCATACTGCAATAAAATGTCAATGTTAATACTATTATAATCCTGGTCACACTAATGCACACATTGTAAGACAACTTACATTGGGATAGTCCATAACAAAGAAAGTTTCAAGATTGCTATACAAATTTGGGTCAGTCCCTGTAAGGGGCTTTAAGATTGAAATGCCTGGAGGGGGAGTTTCGGCTGAAGTCTTCTCTACTTTTCTATGAAGGCGATATTTACTGTAACCAAAGAGATCAGCATAACATTTAGACTAGAAAACACATCATGTGTTAACGTGTAGAGCTTCAAAATATCGAGAGCCAAAACATAAAAAAACAAAATTCATGTACTTACGCATAAACAATGGCAGTGAAGTGTAAAAATCGTATGCCTCCCCAAAATATGAGAAAGAAAATGGCCAAATATTGGGGAATATTAGTTATAAAAGTTGACGTGTCCCACCACATGGCACCGATGGCTTCGGAATATGGTTTTCCCTGCAAGCTGAGGGCCACCTGTAACAAGCAGAGAAAAACAAAACACGTAAGTCTTCAAAACTTAAAAAAAAAAAAAAATCCATCCCATGGATATTTAAAATTAAAGCGCAGGGAATCCACAATTTTTAACAGAGTAAAGAATAAATTGCATCAGAATTTTCCAAAAATTTATGAATACTATACTCTTGGAAGAACAAGCAAGAGACAGAAAAAAAATGAGTCTCTTAAAACATTGTCCTCTTATTTTTTTGACCCTGGATTACAGCCAATGAGCATTGGGTGGGGGGTGGGGGCAAGTGGTCCTCTCCTCCAGCTCACATAATGGGAGTAAGTGGCCTACTCTGCCCCCCGCCCCTTCTTTCCGAAAGAGAAATAAAAAAGAGGACGATTAAGTTTTAAAATAGACAATGTGTTTTTCTTAAGTCTACAGTTTCTGTAATAGTTGGTTTTTAAATTTACTATTTTTCCCCCCTCAATCACTCTAAAGCATCCTGATAATTAGCTACTGAGAAAAAGTGAGGGATGGAATCTGGACTGATAAGCAAACAATGCAAATTGTCGTGCCACGGACCACGGCCTCCTTTATCTGGCTTCTAGTATCTTCACGGTGACTCATCCAGCAGGCAGAAGTAGTTCAAAGGCCCACCCACACCCACCCGCCAATTGACTGACACATTCTCAAGATTCACTTTCATTCACGATAATGAATTTACCAGAAAGGAAACAATAGTAACTAATATTAACGGCTTATAATAATTCCGGATAGGGCATAAGGCTGGTCAGTATCATAAATAATAATTTTGAAAATACAATTAATTGTGTGGTGTGCAGACATGATGACGACAACTTTATCACTTTGAACCAAGACTGATAAAATTACTAAAATAAAGAATGTTCCAGAAAATGTTACCACGTAAGGCAGACGACACCTAAAGCGTGCGACTCACCGCAAGGGGTACACTAATCCACGCTTGGTCGGAGAGAGCCTGAACACACTCGGTGAGAGAACTTTTCATGTTCAGAACCACTTCCACATGATGAGACAGGTGCTAACCAGTCCGTCACGTGAAAACGTGGCGCTTGAAAGCAATCCGAACTGACTGGCTACGTTGGGCGGACTGAGCAAACAGAAGGCGGTAGGTGGGAAGTGAGGTGTCCACTGATAAGATAAAAGCTGTCCCTGCGGGCCGGCAAGCCGCCAAGGCCCAGCGCGGGACGCGCGTTCAACGAGAGGGGCAACTCGCTAAATGGACCAAACACCAGCAAACTGCTCCTGCAAGGCACTCCTGACAGCACTGGCCTCAACGCCTCACATCCCCAAGGACTCATTCTCCAGCGCAAACCACAACAGCACAGGGACAACTGCGCGCAGTAACAAATAGCAGCCCCTGCAAAGCGGCCGCGGCGTGCCAAAGCTTGACGCTGCGGGGCGCGATGCGCGTTCCCAACACTGCCGGGGCCAGGGGCAGCCAGGGGCTAGGGACGGACCCTAACCTAGACGGCGGTCGGGGCGTCGCGTCTCCTGGAGGGCGGGACGGGGCGTCCCCAGCACCGACACTCCCACCATTTTCGCACTCACGTGTTCTCTATCCGCGACAGGCCGTTAAAAGTGCAGAGGAACCGAGGACAGCGAGGCGACCGAGCGAGCAAGTCCACGGAGATGATCTCCGCCATGTTTTCGCGTCAAACCGTTGCCATCGCCGTCTGCTTGCTGCTTGTGCTTGGCGTGTCTGCTGGCTGGCTGGCTGGCTGGTGCGTCCCCGCCCCCGCCTACCCCGCCACTGCTACTGCTGCCGCACTCCCGGCGGCGGCGGCGGCGGCGGGCGCAGCAGTAGCAGTGGCGCGGCAATGGCGGTGAAGGTGTGGCGGCGGTGGCAAGTGGTCATGAAGGCCGCGTGAGTGAGGAGTGCGAGGCGAGGCGGGTTGGCTTCGGCTTCCCTGTGTCTCTTGTGTCACCGTGCTAGCCTGGCCTGGCCTACCAGTGCCGTGCCGTCGATAACCCGTGAACCTTCCACGCGGGAAAGACAGAGACGGAGCGTGACACGAAGCAACCGCGAGCCCCGGGGGTTCCCCGAGTGTCTCCCCGCCCCCTTCGGAAGGACGGGAATCGTTGAAACCAGGCGCAGACGGCCTGGCCTTCCCTCTCATCGGCAGTGGCGTGCGCAGAGGGCAAAATAAACAAAAATTAAATAAATAAAATAAAGTCTGCGCACGCCACTGTCAGCGGCGTTGGGTTGCGCTGGTATCACTAGGTACCCCGATAGGCAGTGGTCGACCCTAAGGGGTGCCTAGCTGTACGTAACAGGGGTTGTAGTCGCCCTCTCTCCCTCGCTCTCTCTCTCTCTCTCTCTCTCTCTCTCTCTCTCTCTCTCTCTCACACACACACACACACACACACGCAGAGTCACACGGTGTCCGCGAATATCGAGCGGGGTCATTAAGTATGCCGCCGAGCTATAGGGTAACGTAATGGGCTAAATGGGCGGGTCAGCCAGAAAAGACAGAGAGAGAGAGAGAGAGAGAGAGAGAAAAAGTGTGAGGTTTTATTTTTTCGGACGGTCGTGTATAGATCCGGCCTACCGCTCGGTCACACACTCTGTGCTCTGATTGGTCTGTCGGTCGGTGTTGTCAAATTGTTTCGGCACACGGCTTGTTGGTCGTTGCCCCCTTTGGCCTTGTCGGCAGCTCTTTCTTTATCGGACCGCTTTCGACTGAGCGTCGCGTTTTAATAGTTTTCGACGAAAAATTACGTCGCAGTGGAGAGCCAGACGGAAGCGCCCGACGTTCGAGTAAGCAAAGCAAAGCAACCGCGATGCACCGCGATGCAGCAGTGTCGAAAGGATTGCCAACCTCAGCCCGACTACAGTGTACCAGGCAATCTTTTGCAGAGCAAAGCCCGCATATTGCCTACAGTAGGCAACCCATTCGACACTGGTGCATCATGGGAATTGCCGACTGAACCAAAAATGACGGCGTGCCATTCGGGCGCGGCGGCACAGGAAGCCGTCGCTCACACTGTAGTCTGACTACTGATGAATCTGAATCCACCTCCATCGGCCTTGGTGCTGCACAAGTGTGCGAAGCTGGCGGGGCATGCGGCCTTGGTGGCGGTGCCCGAGGCCTCCACAGTGGGCCAGAAGACCGGTGGAGGCGGCCAAAATTCTTGACGCGTTTTGAGCTCCTGAGTCGCTAGATGGGACTCGAACCGAACGCGTGACCCCACCAATAGATTCCTCGTTCGGAGAGCAATCCATTGGTGGGGTCACACGTTCGGTTCGAGGCCTGTTTAGCGACTCTGAAGCTCAAAACGCGTCTTTTGGCCGCCTCCGCCGGTCGTCTGGCCCACTGTGGCCTCCCTCCTTCCTGTCCCTGACCCTCACCGACGACCTGAAGGCCGATTCCGAGAGGGAGGTCCCTCTCTGTCTCTCTCGCACTCGTGGGGCGGCACGCTAGGGCGCGAGAGAGACCGACCGACGAAAGCACTGTTCGTAATCACTCACTCCCCTCGCCCTGGCGCAGCGCTCCGGGCTGGGCTGGGGTGGCCGTCGACGCAACCCGTCCCTCCCACCGGCATAGGCCGCCCTGGGGGTGCGAGAGAGACGGCTGCTGTTTTCCCCCGACTGCGGGCGGGGGGGGTGGGGGCTGGGGGCGCAGTGGCGCGACACGGCGCAGCTGTCCCTGCCCCCCCCCCCCCCTCACGCAAGGGCGGCTCCACCCAGGAAGCGCAGCCCGTCCCTTCAAACGCACCCAGACGCCTCCCGCGTCTCTCATTCATTGGTGCCATTCATTGCGTGGCGCCGTCTGTCTCTCTCGCGCGTTGCACGGCAGTGCGAGAGAGACAGAGCGACGGGCGGCGACCTCACCTGGCCGCGAAGCACCGCAAAGCGAAGTCCCGGGGCGTTGGCTAGCCTCTGTCCACGCCGTGGCCGCGCGGGCCGCGCGCTACGCGCCTGCACTGTACGTACGTGGTACACTACACTGTGGGCCGGGCGCTGTGCTGCGTGCTGTGCGTCGTCTCGTCTCCGCCGTCTCTGCGCGGGTCGTCCACTTGTCGCACTGTGCGACTGTGCGTGCCCCCGGCCAGGCCCGCACGGCCCACACGGCCCAGCCCGCCCAGTCCCATGAGTGGAGGCTCCATTGGGGGCCCTCGGGCCGCGTCCGAGACACCGCCAGGGCACCAGCAGGGCACCGCCGGCTTATCGCCCAAAACCCCGAAAAAAGGGCAGAGCGAGCTAAACTCTAAACACACGCCGAGATAAACGGCTAGCATTCGCCCGCTCCGTTTTGTCGTCTTTTTCGGTCCGTCCGGCGCCCTGGGCGCTCTGTCTCTCTCGCACCCACGAGTGCCAGAGCGATGAAAGCGCCATGATTCGTCACCCTGTCGCGTCGTTATTGTGATCAGCAGACTGATTCCGAGGGTCGCTCTGTCTCTCTCGCACTCATGCGGCGTGCCATGGAGGTGCGAGAGAGACAGCGCGCTCGGCGGCGCCTTCGCTCCGGGGGACAGGAAGCCAACGGCGGCGCCTCCACTGTCAATGGAGTCCGCAACCGGAGTCCGCACAAGAACCATGATTGGCCTTGCCGGGGGATCTGTGACCTTGGGCCGACCTTGGGGTCGCGTTGCCAGGAGGGACGCGCGCACACTGGTATCTCTCGGCCTTCCCTGCGCCTTGCGATATGACTAGGCGTGGATCCTAGAGTGTGTGTACGTATCCAGTGACGCACCTTGTCTCGAACCGGAAACTAGGACTGAATTCTCAAGAACGTCCAGAATACCCTCTTCTTCTCACTCAACGCCGCGCCGGCCAGGCCACGGCCGCGGGGTTCAATACGCGTGCGTTCCATCCGTAAAGAGATCCGACGTGGACGACGCGAGGCGCAAATAAACAAAAGAGGACGCGGGAGGAGGGAGGTAAACAAACACTCGGCGAGATACGGCGCGTGTAAAAAGGGCGTATTTGCCTTGAGCGTCGCACAGTGGGCCAGAAGACCGGTGGAGGCGGTCAAAACTCTACACGCGTTTTGGAGCTACAGAGTCGCTGAACAGGCCTCGAACAGAACGTGTGACCCCGCCAATGGACTGCTCTCCGAACGAGCAATCCATTGGTGGGGTCACACGTTCGGTTCGAGTCCTGTCTAGCGACTCTGGAGCTCAAAACGCGTGTAGAGTTTTGTCCGCCTCCACCGGTCTTCTGGCCCACTGTGCGGCGGTAACTAGATTTACTCTGCGGAGATAATATCCCTTTCCCCACACCCCTGGCGCGCTTGGCGCCCCCCTTCCCCTTCCAGCGGCGGGGCGGCCAGTGGCGCTGCCTCCCTCGCACCCGCCGCACGGGGCGCCCCGTGAGAGAGACGTGGTGGGCCAGCCGCTCCAGATGGCGCATGGCGCGCATGGTTTATGTTTAGAGAAGACCTCGGAGAAGACGTTTACAGCCAAGGACCCAGCGCAGCGAGCGCAGCGCGTTTAGATCCCCGCGCAAGGCCCGCTTCGGGGAAACGCGAGGGAGGGCTTGGCCCTGTCTCTCTCGCACTCAGGGGGCGTTCCGCAGGGGTGAGAGAGTGGGCCAGAAGACCGGTGGAGGCGGCCGAAATTCTAGACGCGTTTTGAGCTCCAGAGTCGCTGAATGGGACTCGAACCGAACGTGTGACCCCACCAACGGATTACTCTCCGAACGAGGAACCCATTGGTGGGGTCACACGCTCGGTTCGAGTCCTGCTTAGCGACTCTGCAGCTCAAAACGCGTCTAGAATATTGGCCGCCTAGCACAGCATCGGTTTGCAGATGGATCCAGGCAGGCTGACCCCCACCTCCACCCCTTCAGGACCCGTCGCTGAAAGGAACCTGCTCGCCACACCGCAAATCAAACCCTGTGTGTTTCCGACGAACCGTCGCCATGGCAACGAAACACGCCGCACGTGAGGGCAGGGTTAAGAGCGTGCAAATGAGTGCACACGCGCTTGTCTTGTGTGCGTAGCGCGCACGAGTGTGTGTGAGTGTGTACGTGAGTTCAGTGGTCCGCAAACAGGAGAATGGAGCTAGTTGTCTTCCAGGCACGGAGTATGACTGCTAAATTACATGGACCGGAGCGACGACCTGCCGAGTCGACGCCGCGCGAGAAAGATCGTAACTACCTTTCCGGAGAGGTTAGGATCGTCTTTACACTTGTCGTTTTTATGAGTAGCACTCTACAAATCACGCTACGCCGTAGGCCACTTTGCTCTGACACACTTTCGACACATTTTGGCGTCGCTCTGGTGAAGGCAACTAGAGCGGGTTCAAATATTAGACAAGTCCAAACTCGCGAGGTGGAGGAAGCAGACGATCTGCTTGCTCCCGCTGCCCAGACAACTTCTCGCAGGACGCGTCGAACTGTACTTACCCTCTGACGCTCTTTTGGAGTGGCCGCTCAGGTGTTCGTTGACAAGCCGTGAAGAGAGCAGACAAATCAA